AGAGAACTCACTCGAATTTGGAGGAACAAACGTGCCCTCCGTATAAATAGAGGTCGGCGATGGAAATCAGCGATCAGCGAACATGTCGAACAACCCAGCTTTCCCAGAGCATGTCGGCACAGTCGACTTCGTCGTTAGCGGGAAGACATACAAGACTTGGTACAAGGTTATTGGCGATCTCAAGTCTGGAAAGATACCTCTTGTCACTCTCCACGGAGGCCCGGGCCTGAACCATCGTTAGTGAGTACCGCGCTATCTTCTGATGGTAATCTGGTCTCACGAAGTTCTTTGACCAAAGCATGCTGTAAGCACAAGTCGGTTCTTGGTGCTGAGATAAGTCTTGACGAACGTTGAAGCCTGCACAAACATCTGTGGACGCGCGAAAAGTGAGCCAATATGACCTATGAAAAACGATCTGACAGTAACTTACGTTTCACATCGAGGATTCCCGTTGTCTGCTATGATCAGATCGGTAATGGCCAATCGAGCCACATTCTCGACGCACCGGCAGAATTTTGGACACCTGAGCTGTTCATGGACGAGCTCGAGAATCTCCTTGACCACCTCGGAATCCGGGATAATTTCGATCTAGTTGGTCAATCTTGGGGTGGTAAGCATATCATACATGAACAATCTCGACGGCACGCACTTACAACGCAATGGTAGGAATGCTCGCAGGCCATTTCGCGGCTGCCCGACAACCCTCTGGTCTCCGAAGGCTCATCGCGGCGAACTCTCCGGCGTCCATCCCGCTCTACGTCCAAGGAACAAATGCCCTGCTCGAAAAGTTCCCTCCCGAGTTCGTTGCTAAGCTCCGTAAACACGAAGCCGACGGAACCACTGATTCAAAAGAGTACAACGAGCTCTCCATGACCTTCCTGAAAAAGCACGTCTGCACACTGGACCCTTGGCCAGAGGACGTGATGGCATCCTTTGTGATGATCGCTGCCAATCCAACCGTCTACCACACGATGTAAGTCTTCTGTCTTCCATGCGTCTGTCCAGGTCTGAATGGTCCTGCTAGGCTGGGGCCGTCCGAGTTTAATGTCGTAGGGACATTGAAGGACTGGGATATCATTGACATCCTACACAGGATCCAAGCCCCAACTTTGATCGTCGGCGCACCAAACGACGAGGTCCAGGAACCTGCCTTGCTTCCCTGGTTCTTGCATGTTCCCAAGATAAAGTGGGTTGAGCTGGCGAACAGCACGCACTTGGGGATGTACGAAGAGGAGGACAGGCAAGTGTATCTTCGTCAAATGATAATGGTACCGCGTCTAAATCAATCATTAGATACCTGCACATTGTTCAGAATTTCTTGACAGGCTAAATGAATAGAAGACGCCTAGTAGTGCCCAACCATGTTTCGTGACTCGTGTTTCTCGTAACTGACAACGATGGAGTGGAAAGTCGAATCTTGTATGTATCGTTCGCGTACTGTACAATGTGTCATTTTGGGTACCACAGGCTAAAAATCGATTAACAAAGTTTGTGTTGTTCAGCATGCTCAAGCCGTAGTAGAACGTACTTGTCTCCAAGTCCCTGTCCCTCCCACTAAAGCAAACCCCCCAATTGAGAAATGCCTGATTTCTACTGTAGAATCTTGAACCTTGCCCGCCTCTGAATCTTCCCTGATCAACTGCCCCATGTCGCTCTAGAGTTTCCGACTTCGAGACACGGAATGGATGCAGTCTTTGTGGCGATTAATTTGCGTCGATTCATGGAATGAATGAAGATCACCTGCCACTGGTGAAGGTAACTATCCGTCGCTTTGATAATTTCCAGACGGGCTAGGTGGACTACGGAAGGTGCTTGCCATCGGGAGTCAGGAGAGTCGAAGTCAGGCTGGATGTTCGTTTGAAACGTTTCCCTGACAGCTGCTGTGCAAGCGTGGGAATGGAGATTAGATTTTATACTAGGATTTATCTACTGATTACGCTGCCTCGTATTTCTCTTCCAACTAAATTTCTGCATCTTCAGAATACATGTAGAAAGAATTTTATACCACACTTTATGTAATGAATCAGATATTCGAATTGTATTACAGATCAACGGTTTACACAACAAGAATTGAAAAAAGGGAAAACCCTGCGCATGGGCGGCAGTTTCGGATGGTGAACCTTGTCGATCCCATCAACATTTCCGACATCAAACCTTTCTCAATTTCTTTGCAACTCTTACAACGGGACGGAGCCCTTCAAGCGAGCATCGCGGCTGCTGGCACCGACAGTGACACCAAACTCTCCTTCGGGTTTCCTCCACCCCTGCCTTTCTGTATCCCAAACCGAGAGGTCATAGCGAGAAAGCGTTATCGTGACAGTCTTCTGCTCGCCAGGGCGGAGTTCAACGTCGGTGAACCCTCTGAGAACAGACGGTGGCTCGCCGGCGGAAGTAGGGAAGTGGAGGTATAGTTGCGGGATCTAGGAAACAACGTCAGTCATGAAGAGCAAAACGCCAATGAATACCTAACGCATACCTCACTACCAGCGACAGAGCCGGTGTTGCGAACGGAGAACGTTGCTCGGTAGGCGGGGACATGTAACCACGCAGCTCTTGAAGACCCAACAGCAACAGGTGTTGCCTCTCCTTTCTCCCACGCAGCGACTAGAGGCTGCTCGGCCGCACTGACAGCGTTGTTAATCTTATTGAGGAGCAGGCTACCATAAGAGAACTTGGTGTAGCTCAAGCCAAATCCAAATTCGAAGCGCGGCGCTATGTTATTCTTTCCGTCCGAGCATAAAATTCAGAAAGGCACAAGGAGAGAAGAAAGGAAGTGCTCACGGCATCAAAGTGGCGGTAGTCAATCTCCAAGCGATCGTCATATCGGATGCTCAGGATGTCGGTGTCGCCGCCTCCAAGGGCGAGCTGGGCCCCGTACTCCTCTGGCTTCTTCGCGATCGTGTATGGAAGGCGGCCAGAAGGGTTATACGCTCCGTAAAGAACGTCAACAATCGAGTTTCCTACTTCCTGTCCAGGAACACCTGCCCAGAGGACCTGTCGTTGACTTTTAGTCTAGGTTCGTGGTGCCAAAAAACAAAGAGCTAAACATACGGCAGTCACGTTGGGATGGTCAATCCAATCTTCGACGATAAGAGGACCAACGCTGTTGACGACGACAATTGTGTTGTTATTATTTGCAGCTACTGCGGCAATGAGCGCTTCGCCGTTATACCAGGTAGTCAAATTGAGCCTAACGAAGTTCAAACTATTAATTCCCCGAAGAAATGCTCTTGAAAAAAGACACACCTATCGCCGTTTGTACCCTCTCCGCTGTCGGCAGTGACAAAGACGAGGGCGGCGGACCTCTTCCTCGCGATTACACTCGCGCCAGCAAGGTTCCAGTCGTCCAAGTAATAGTCGACACTCGTGCGGAACTTCCTTGCCTCGCGCTGAATGGCATCGAGGGGGATGGAGACATACGACAAGTTAGCCGCACCAGAACCCCAACCCATAGTGATGACACCATCACTGCCCGCTTTATTGTTGAACTGGTTTGGCCCGGCGCGGCCACCACCAGCACCGGTTCCGATGAGCGCAATGTTTCTGTTCTTCTTCCCAAGGGGTAGGGCGCCGTTCACGTTCTTGAGAAGGACCGCGCTGGCCGCGCCAATCTCACGGACGACCTTGTGGTGGTCGTCTTGGACGTCAACACGTAGATTTGTTGCATCGTCATCGGGGGCGTAGGAGCTGAAACTAACAGGAGGATAAGATGGATCATCTTGATGGAGGAGATACCATGAAGCAATAATACGGATGGCTAGAAAGAAAGAGATTCGTGTTGTAATCGACATCATGACATTGAAAACGCACCCATGTCGTCAACTCGACCCTCGGGAACCTCACCATTTCGGACGGCCTCAACGAGGCTAGCACCAAACGGTACCTGTCCAGTGTCCCCACGCGAATTACCAGGCATCGACATCTCGGAGCCAAATCAGCGACGAGAAAGCAAATAGAGCCGAAGAAATGACTAACATCCAGACCGTGCGAGACGGATACGGTGTTGTGGTCGCTGTATTCCAAGCAAAAGTCTTTAGCATCGTCCCGCAGGAGATAGAATAAGTACGCACGCAAACCAGTCAGTCATGATAACTAACGTCCCAAGTCAGAATATGGCTGAGGTATATCAGCAGGGAGGCGACTCACACCCTTGAAACCCATACTCTCTCTTCACGATATCGTTCATAACCTTGTCGTTATCACACGCATAAGTTCCATTCACTTGATCTAAGGAAAAGGGTCGCGAATGAGGGACGGGGAAAGACAAGGCAGACGCGACGTACTATAACTGCACATCATGCTCCCCACGCCCGCCATAACGCTTCTCAGGAAAGGGTGGGCATATATCTCGTGCATCGTCCGGTCATCTATATCTGAAGTCGACGTCGTCCGCTTGTGCTCTTGCTCACTGCATGCGATGACGGCCGTCAGTCTCTCATTGAGCACAGACAATGAACAGTTGTGCCCACTTTGCGACCAAATGCTTAGCACAAGCGATGATCCCTCCTTCTTGCAGGCCCAAAATCGTTTCGTAGGCAGCCTCTCCGGTGAGGAAGGGGTCTCCGCCGAAGCCTTCCCAGTTCCTTCCTGCCCCCGCGACGCGTCCCATGTTCATCATTGGGCTCAAGGCAATGTTGATGCCCTTGCCAACAAACTCGCGTCCCATGGCGAGGCCACGGAGACGCATGAATCTCCGATTAAAGCTAAGGAATGGATATGAGCATCACTATCTTGAACGGCTACGGCAGAATCGTACGTTGCAGCAGCGTTGATGCCTGTAGGGAAACCGGTGATGTAGTCGCCAGGTCGGACACCCAGAGGACCGTCCTGAAAGGTCACCTTAGCTCAGAAGTATAAGAAACCGAAGTGATGTACGTACCTGAAGACAGAGCCCCTTCCATCCGCGTCCATCCACAGGTTCAACCGGGGCGATGTTTCCCTGTGAGCTGGCGATCAGCCACCCAAAAGGGTTGTAAAGTAACGAGGAAACATACCACGCAACGACCTCTCTGCCATAGAGTCCCTGTCGCAACGCTGACCTTCTCCTCGAGCGTGAATTCGGCGATCTGGAGACATGAGGTGTGAGGACCATGGGAGTCGGAGGAAAGAGGCAAAGGAGAAATTTCGGGATAGATCGGATGATGTCATCTGCTCTCCGATCCGATCCCGATACGATCGTTACGTTTGACATCAAGCGTCAAAATCAAAATGTGAAATGAAGGGGTGTCAAGAAATAGACGCCGTGTTTCTGAAGGGATTGGAAAGGGAATGCTCACTTTTTCCTTCGCCTTCTGCCATGCAGCCGCCCAAGCGGGGCCGAAATTGGGGACGGACTGGCTCCCTACCTATATCGTGCAGATTATTAGTTCTGTGTGCAAATATGACGGTGAGTGGGATCCTTCCTACATACCTCGGGTGGACGGAGAGGATCAGTAGCGGGGTAGATCGGGAGAGGCGCATCAGATGGGATGGAGAAGGGAACAAAAGTCGAGCCGGGGTCCGCTGGGAGTGCTGTAGATTGCGTTGCAGCCGAGCTAGAAACGGCGGAGCTGACATCCGAAGAGGTTGGTGCAGGATCTGCAATGCTAGAAGCAGGCGACGAAATTTGTGCAACAACGAAGGGCACAAGGGTTACCCAAATCCAAAAGCTGGATTCAGAACGCATTTTCGTGAGCGAAGGCGAATAAGTCCATAGCGCACGTCTTATAAACCTCTCTGAACCGAAAGCCAAGTACGGCCTGCTGTCATTTTCCGGCTACTACCTTCAGAGGGACCATCACATGCCCTTCATCTCCTCGCCTCGTCTGTGGTCTTTCAAAGGATCCACGCTGGTAAGAAGCGCTTCCCTGATGCAAACGGGATGAGAATAGACCTGGAGCTCGCGCCTCCACGGCTTGCAAGGTCTGGTGGCCAACTCAAGCTCAACTCTATTACCTTTCCTGATGCTCGCTCAAGCGGCCCGTCACGGACTTTCGTCCGAAGCGTTCGAGAAGCTTTCCATTCAATGCTGACCAGCGCTTCCGAGCGCATCAACTGGCCCGTTCAGCCGCTACGCGATTTCTTGATCTCCACTTGAAATAAAAATCTCATTCACCGGGAACCTAGAGACCATGCATCACCCGATTCCTTGAACTAAGGAGCGTGGCACAAGAGCTCTGGCTCTCCACGGCGTTCCGTATAGCGAGGCCGACAGGTATTTGTTGCCAACATTATTTCATGACATAATGAGCACAACAAATTCCCCACCCCCGGACCCGGCAGTGCGACGTTTTAATCGGTCCAGGGCGAAAATAGCGGAGTCCGGGCACGCACAAATTCAACCGAGAGCGAGCAACCCCAGACGCGGATCCTGGAGAAAGAACCTGGTGCTGGTCGAAGGCCGAAACTGCAGTCGAACCCGACGACCGGAGTCGGGACGCGCCGAACACGGAGCGTCGAGAGACACAAGGTGGCCTCGTAGTAGCTCGTAGTACCACGAAATTTCACGTGAGGACAAGACTTTGAAAGTCGTCGACGGTTTGGTGTGGGCGAACACCGAAAAAGAAAGGATGCCCTAGAGGGAGAGAATAGACATCCACCACTCGCCAGCCACTGGGCCCGCCCACCACAAAATCCCCTCATATTGCGCAGGAATTCGAAATCCCCAGAGCTAGAGCTCGAGAACCGGCACCCTTTCACGCACATCATCGACCACGACTTCTCAGAGCCGTCACACGAAGCCCAACCTTCGCCTTTATTCGCTCAACCGTCCCATCAGCCCCTAGGCGCTACACTCGTGTACATCTCCCAAGGCCGGCGCTCCACCTGAGTGCTCATCCTTATGTTTGGTGTGCAGGTTCTTCTCGTTGTGGCGAGCACGATGAGGGGGAGGGGCATAGGAAGCTCGTACATGTAAGGTGGAAAAGTATATAATATTGGCAAGGAAGATGCAGGAGGGGGGGATATGAGGATGCGGGTGGGTTTCGTGGGCGGTATCGTAGGCGGTAGGAAGGCAAGGACAGGACAAGGAGAGGAAATGTGTTGGACGGCGGAGGCGGCCGGGTCGGTTGGAGGAGAGGATCGAGGATGGCAACTGAGGTTGACGTTGAGTAGCGCATATCACGAACGTCGACTCGAGGCCAGTGACAAAATCGGAGGCAAGAGACAAGTTTATAAGACACGAGCGCAGACAAGCAGAGCAAGTGTCAATTGAAGAGCGAGGATCGCTTTGGTGAGATGGAATTGAAAGGATGATGATGAGTGCCTCTGGTCGTCGTACGATGTGCTTATCTAATCGTCGAACGTAACCGTTCTTAGCGAGTCGATCCTCACTACAGACCGCGCTCTTCGTTCCTCTTCGCTTGATCCTTGATCGTCACTTCTGCTGAGAACGCCCAAATCTGGCAGGCAGAAGGTAGTAAGACAAAGCCACAGGGTGCTCAACCATCAAAAGAAAAGGACCTGTATTGCACAAAGTTTCGGGCGAAGGGATGCCGCAGAGGAAAAGAAATGAATGTTCAAACGTTCACGCTTCGGCAGAGGGGTGTAGTAAGCTGAGTCTTCACGTCCAGGAAGCGTGGCCGACGCCGTTCGTCAGTGCGGCAGGATAGGAGAGTGTCGTGCTATGTACGTCGGACAGAGACGAGCATGTAAGACGCGAGACTAGAGCTCGAGGAGCAGAGCAGTAGCATGCAGGAGGAGGAGGAGGATTGATTAACTGGGGAGGCCTGAGGCCTGAGGTCCCATTACATAAGGCGTCGAAGATGAGGTTGGGCCTGGCGACTTCAATAAATGTCCCTCCTCCGCCACCGCTTCCCCCAGTTCCCCCTGCTCTCATGCAAGATGCAAGAAAGAGGCGGAGGTGTACGACATACCGAGCCAGTACGAGCTCGTTGAGTCCCCACCCCACTTTGAGACCGCCTTTCAGATGGAGTACATATGCACTTCATGTGCGTCCTCTTCCTCTTCCTTTCCCAACTTCTTCACTTACGCAGTCGACACCTGCTTGCATTGCTCAGATTTTGAATGCAAAATTTATTCTTATTCCGGCCCCCGAAGAGATACAATCGTCATAGTACCCCACACCCGGTCCAGAGTCCAGACACTCTAGGTCCTGATCCAATGCCAACTTTCCGACATCTCGTCGAATGAAGTATCTTCTTCCGTAATTTCAGCCAAATTTATGTGCCCTTCCCTATCCCGAGAAATCCTGACGAGAATGACGCCTGCACTGCCCCGGTTCCTGGAGATTAGCCGCTCGAGATGGGGGCATCGAGTCGCTAACACCCTTGTCCCATCAAGGACCGAAAAATAGGGTGACGGCGACCGCACGAAAACCTCGCGCAAACTAGTGAACTTGGACAGCAATTCCGCGAATGAATCAGCCGTCAGCGGCGCTTCCAACTCGCAGGGCAGGTCGCCGACCCATACTTCCACATGTGGGAAGAGCGACGAAAAATGCATCATGCATCTCGAGAATAGCCCCATCATGAGCTCCGCCGACTCGCCTGTGTAATATCCGACTTTCTTCATGTTGGGCAGGCTTCCGATATCTTGAAGGGCAGCTAGGAGATCCTTGAAGTGGTCTTCGATTTCGAATTCCGCCTCATGCCCTGTACCCACTTCAAGGGTTGTCAACGAGCGAAGGGACTGCGGCGCGTATTTGGCGAGAGCCCGAATCGGTGATGGATGCGCGTGTAGGCGGCGCAGGGAAGGAAGGATGGGAGTCGTGCCCTCTTGAAGGACATCTGAATCGAGATAGATACGACTCTCGTCGTCGCGGCAATATCCCAGACAAATTTCGGTGAGGGTTGGATGGGCAATAAGGAAGCGAGTAAGGGCGGCCGGAACCTCGGGCGAGTCGACGTCGTACCAGTACCCCAAAACTAATGACTGGAGCGAAGGGAAGTGGAAGGTACTGAACGGTATAAAATAGTCCTGCTCGACCGCATCGAGCACCCCAGGGAACCAAATATGGGTCAATGTGGTCTGAGATGCCTGCAGGAGAAAGAGCGAATAGTGGAATGGAGTGTCGGGAGTATCAACATCTACGACGGGAGTATTGATATCTCATCACGAAGAGTCAAAGTGAGAACCAACTTGGGAACATAGAAAACTCGTACCAGAGGACCAACACCATTCCACTTTTCGGAGACCTGGAAGATCGAAGTCGGGGCTAAACTCAGGCGAGAACTTGAAGTTGACCTCGATTTCCTTCAAATGCGGGCAGTAATTCTTCAACGCATCGAGAAATTTGTCCTGGACCGACTTCCGAGGAAATAGGGCGTCCCCCCGCAGCGCCAAGTGGCGAAGGTTTACCATGCGCTTGATGCTATCGACTGGTGGCCATTCGACATTAGGCGTCCTCGATGAATCTGTAATTAACTCCAAATTTTCGGTACTGAAAGCCACTGCCGATCGTAGCAGAAGGTATTCTGTCTCTGGGGCACAATCCGAGCTCCTGAGAGAGATGCAGCGATAAATCATAGGACGAGAAGTATTGAGATGCATGGAGGAGACCCTCGCAAGGGACATGAGATCTTTCCGACGCGCGTATCCTGCGATCAAGAGCCATAACTCGGGTGGAAGGTAGTTCATGAAGGGTTTCGAGACTCTGATCTGGATTTGGTTTGAGCATATACACCATAATTCAAATGGATCCCTGAACTTACTTCAAGCGAGAATGTAGTTAGTATGTGAGAGATGGTGGTAGAGAGTAAGGATGCGGGGCCCACAAGAAACCCGGGCCGGGCCTTCACCACTTCTGTCGCCCCACCATCGGACCTCAAGGTTATGGATCTGGCCCTATTTATTGCTATGCGTTGAGAGCTGCAGCACCTGAGCACAGAGCACATCCAACAAATGGAGAGAGTTTACGTCGTTCGCTCGGTGTATACTTACTGAAAACGTTCTCGCGAGAAAATTGTTGAAGCGAGTGTCCAGCGTTGGATAAATGGGTCTTGAAGGAGTCACAAGGGCGAGTAGCCTCTGTACTCATTACATATGCATTCTTGTTGACGTCTGACGCAGGCCATTTACAAGAGGACGATGACAGGAGTCATGGATGTACTTACAGGCAGAAAGAGCACCGAACGCCCTGATCAGTGTTTCCACAGCACCGACGAGCTCTTCTGTTGTTTTATCCTGTGGATTCAAGTTCGGTATGGGTTTGATTTTATCGTCGAATGGTGGCTCCGATTGAGAGGGCCGCTCATTGTTCGCAATGTAAGATTTTCCTGAGGACGACTGAGCCATAGCGAGGCAGTATAATTCCGGGAGAAACTTTTACCTCGGTTTAGAACTGGGAAAGTTTCATATTATTGAGTAACCTGAGCTATCAGACTATTGCGAGAGTTTGAATTACCTTTAATCACCCAGACCATGTTGTCCGTCTAAGGATACCAAGTTGTGATTAAATCGACCGCTGGAACACGCAGGAGGAAAGAGTCTACCTGGTCGATCGCGCTGATGATTTGAGCTTTCAGCTGTCCATTACCATCTGGATCATTATCCCGAGCGTTCTCCATCAACCTGACGGAGTCATAAGTTTACACGAACGAACAGATGGATGGATGGCGCACCAATTACAATCCGCGTTTGTGAACTCATCGCCAAAAAAATCCACTGTAGAGTATATCAGAATCTAGAACAGAACTTGAACATTATTCAAAGAGTGAAATACGTCGTCGCCCACTTGAATATATGTTCCTCTGATTGACCAAAATATGTTAACTTCAAGGGGTATGCTATCTTCGAGATGCAAACACATACGACGAGTCTTGCCCTTAATACGCCTCGCATTCCCGAATGTATGACAGTCATTGATATTGGCGGATTATTGATCGAAAAGAGAGTTGAACCACAAAGATTGATATTGATTACTCTCTTCGAATGTTTGTCACCGGATTCTGGGGAAAGGACCTGGGGATATACATCCGAGTTCGAACCCCAGCCTGAGACGCATGAGGGATGAAATGACATGCACGATGTGGACGGAAGGATCGACTATCATATACATACGTTATACGTATGATGGACTGCCAGTAGGTAGTGGGCGTGGAGTAGAACGATAGGTGGGGGTGGCGATAGGCTTTTTGGGGGCGGGTCGAAGGCCGAAGCTGAAGTCGAACCCGACGACCGGAGTCGGGGTGCGTCCAACACGGCGCCTGAGCGTCGAGAGACACAAGGTGGCCTCGTAGCACCACGAAATTTTACGTGAGGACAAGACTTTGAAAGTCGTCGACGGTTTGGCGTGGGCGAACGCCGAAAAAAGAAAGGATGCCCTAGAGGGAGAGAAAGGGTATCCATCACTCGCTAACCACTGGGCCCTACCACAAAGGCCCCTCATGCTACACAAAGCATCCCCAGAGTCAGAGCCCGAGAACCGGCACCCTTCGCGCACATCATCGACCACGACTTCTCAGCGCCGTCACACTCTGCCCAACCTTCGCCTCTACTCGCTCAACCGCCCAACCAGCCCCTGTGCGCCACACTCGTGTACATCTCCCAAAGCCAGCGCTCCAGCACCGCGCTCATCCTTACGTTCGGTGCGTTCCTCGCTGTAGCGAGCATGATGAGTGCGGAGGGGTACAGGCAGCTCGTACAGGGATGTGAGAAAGAAGATCGTATTGGCAAGGAAGCAGGAGGGGATACGAGGATGCGGGTGGGTTTGATGGGTGATATTGTCGGAGGGAGGGAGCGAGGACAGGACAAGCAGAGGGAATGTGTAGGACTAGTGGTGTCGGAGTTCGGTCCTGAACTTCGGTTCGAACCTGAACTGGCAAGAACCGGACTCGATGTTCGGTCCAAGGTTCGACGAAAGTGCTGAACTGGACCGAAAGTCCAGTTCTCGGTTCAGGCCTCGCTGAACAGGTTCGAACCGGTTCGAACCTGCAAGCCAAAAGGGTCAATAAAAGGGCCTTTTCGAGACAATTTTGTGTAGATTTCGCAAGAGAATCATTGGGAAAAAATGATTACCCACCTTCCTGGATATTTTAGGGTACGTAGCTTCTGTGTCGGGGTGTGTAACCGCTCTCGGCAAGCCCCGAAGCCCCTATCATTCACATCCACGAAAGGCGGCCTACAGAATCTCACTCAAATCTATATACAATAGTGCTCTACAGTTTATTTAAGCACCTAGTAATACTTATAAGTAAAATTGACAGTGCTTCCAAGAAAATTCTATGCCAAAAAAATTTCAAGCCCAAAGAAAAGTTCGAACGCGTTCGAACCTAAACCGAACCTGAACTCCCCGTTCGGTTCCAGGTTCAACCTATGGGGGAGAACCGGACCTAAAGTTCGGTCTCGGGTTCGGGCAAAAGGTGCCCTAAACCGGACTGAACCGAACCTTGACACCACTATGTAGGACGCCGGCGGCGGGAGGGGGGTCGAGGACGGCAACTGAGGCGGAGTTGAGTGGTGTATATCACGGATTCGTGTTTTGTGCATGGCCCGTCGATCCTCGACGCCAGTGACAAGAGAGGCAAGAAGAGACAAGTTTGTACGACACGAGCGTAGATGAGAACAGTAGGTGGAGATCAACTGAGAGTGGGGCTAAGCTCAGAGCGTTGTCGAACGACGATAGTTGGGCCGAAGCAAGCGTCATACCAAGTAACCGCTGTCGAGCGGAGGGGCTTGCTGCGCCATCTTACTTTCGAGCGCCATCTATTCACAGAGTAAACATTCCAGATGATTTCTTCCTACCTTGAGGAAATGAAGCATAATGTGTGTGAACCTGAACGAGGAAACTTGAAAGGCAACAAGCAAGCCCCTCACCATCGTGTACGTCTCCCCAAGGCCGGCACTCTACCGTCGTGCTCGTCCTTATGTTAGGCATGATGGTGGTTCTCGCCGTGGTAGGCACGATAAGGGCGAAGGGGGTACAGGTAGCTCTCAAGGGCATGCGAGAAGGAGAAAAGGACGGTGAGGGGATGGGAATGCAGGAGGAGTCATGGGGGAACGCTGGGGGTAGGAGGGAGAGGGAGGAGGGGAGTGGCGGATGGGACTGGGATCGTTCGTCGGGGCTAGTGAGATTTCAGCAGGAGCAGACGAGTTTCGTACGTCAAAGATGAGAGACAAGTATGCAAGAAGCGAGCGTAGATTAGCAGAGCAATAGGCTGCAGGTGTTGGAAGATGAGCCAAGCGTTGGAGATGGCTTCTGTACGTCGGGGACCACGGACGTAGAATGGAGGGTGCGAGGCATTGGGGAAAGCGAAGGGAGCAAAACGGAGGGAAGAAGGCGTGCGTCTCGGTGAAGAGCAGCGCAAGAGTAATCAGTAGCTATGCATAGGTGTCGCTATTTCGTGGCAGTGGGCGTTGTTTGGGAGGATGTGGCGCATTAGAGAACAACGGGCCCGAGTACATGTCGTCGACAAGGCCAGTGAGCTAGCAGTCGAGGGAAAAGTGGGAGGAGAGGCGTTGGGTATCCTGTGCGTACCGCCGCTGTACGATTAGCCCGCGGTGGAGGGAACGAAAGAGCTGCGGAGGATACGAGCGCAGTGAGTGGCTGTGCCGATGACCAGGATTGGGCTGCTTGCCTGATAAAATGCGGGTCTCAGCCAGTGTCCGTCATGTCTGCTCCCCCAGTCCCTCCCCGTCCCTACGAAACAACCCTCAATGTCCCTCCGCCGCCACCCCTACCTCCAGTGCCCCCAGCTCTCAAGAAGGAGGCGGAGGTGTACGACACACCGAGCCAGTACGAGCTCGTCGAGTCGCCGCCCCACTTTGAGAACCCCATGATCGCGCCCCGACCCCATCGCCTCGATCCATCCATCCCAACCAATGTGAGTCCTTCCGTGTATATAGTGGAAGCAGATGACGGATGTGTGCAGATGGCGAGGACGCTGGACGATCAGCTGCAGCAGCACGCGCAATCGCCTTCGATCAACTTCGCTCCTGGCTTTGCTCTTCCCACTCCCGGACCTCCACAAAGCGCGAGCAGCTGGTCACCGTGGGGCGCATCGTCGAGTTACTCTCAGCCCACCGCCGCCGACGTCACCCAGTCGCTCGCCAACCTCTCCATGGCACCCACCCTGCCCATCTCCATCGCCCCACCCGCCCAACCACCGCCTACTGCACCCAACCCCTACGGCTCCTCCCCTCCCCGCCAACAGCAAAAGCAATCCTCCCCGCCCCCATCCTCCATCCCCTCGCTCACCGCCCCCCTGCCCGTCCTCTCCCAACTCCAATCCGCCAGTGCCATCGTCCAAGGGCCGACGCACGACCCAGCGCTCAAGGTTGCCTGGTGCCGCGACGTCTTCTTCCTCGTCGAGTGTGCGCTGCCCAACCCTGCCCCATCCACCGACCCCGTCGTCGGCCCCATCACCATACCCAACCCCGACCTCGCCAAGCTCGCACACGCCGCCGTCCCCCTCTGCCTCTCCATCGCGTCCTCCTTCACCCCTGCCCCAGGTGCGAAGATGCCGGCTTACGTTGCAGAGGCGATCGCGATGCGTGCCGCCCTCGCGTCGACAGGCGCGTACCCCGAGTTCGTGCGGCACAACCCGCGGCAGGCGTTCCGCGACTTCGAAGCGGCGGCGCGGGGCGGGTACGCAGCTGCGTGGTTCCGGCTCGGGCGGGACTATGAGAACTTCAACGACCACGCGCACGCAAAGGAGTGTTTTGAGCGCGGTGTCAAGCTCGGTGTCGAAAGCTGCCTCTACGTGCGTCCTTCCCTCCTTCCCTCTCTCCCTCTCTAACCCCCTCCCAACAGCGAATGGGCATGGCCCACCTCCTCGGCCAGCTCTCCCTCCCCTCCAACCCGCCCCTCGCCCTCCCGCTCCTGCACCGCGCAGCAACCCTCGCCACGCTCGACTGCCCGCAGCCCGCCTACGTCTACGCCCTCCTCCTCCTCTCCGAGTTCACCCAGCTCACCGTGCCCCCCGCCCTCTTCTCCCCCTTCATCCCCCCGGGGTCCTCCCCCACCCTCGAAGCCCGCAAACACCTCGAGCGCGCGGCGTACCTCCACTTCCCCGCAGCCCAGTACAAGCTCGGGCACGCGTACGAGTTCGCGGAGGCGCCCTTCCCGTTCGACCCGTTGCTCTCCGTGCAGTACTACTCCCTTGCGAGCCAGCAGGGCGAGGTCGAGGCGGATATGGCTCTCAGCAAGTGGTTCCTCTGTGGGAGCGGGGGTGCGGCGCTGGGTGCGAGCCCGTATGGCCCGGGGAGCGGACAAGGGGGGTTCGAGAAGGACGAAGGGCTCGCGCTCACCTTCGCCCAAAAAGCCGCGCGCAAGGGCCTCCCCTCCGCCGAGTTCGCGATGGGGTACTACGCCGAAGTCGGGGTCGGCAGACCCAAAGATCTACGTTCTGCTTTAGCATGGTACGCCAAGGCCGCGGAGCATGGGAACGACGACGCCCGTGAACGCCTCGGCGCACTTCAGCCCAACGGACCTGGGAGGGGTGAGGGTGACGTGGATGGAGGCAAGGCGCTCTCGCGGCAGGAGCACGAGAGCATCACGCAGCAGAAGTTGGTCAGGAGACGGACGCTGGCGGCGCAGAAGGCGGAGACGCAGCCGCTCAGCCCGCCGTGGGAGGGGAGGACGTTCCCTACTCTTAGTCAGGCCCAAGCACAGGCGCAGCAGAGTCAAGGGCAGAACCAAAGCCAAAACGCGCAAGGAGGGATGGGAGTGGGAGGTATGGGCGGTATCGCAGGCCGGCGACGCGAAGACGGAAGGCTGGTCGTTGAGGTTATCCGGAAGAACTCGATGGCGCATGGATATAACCCCTCGTCGTCGTCTTCTTATCCTACGTCCTCCTCTTCTTATCCTACCTCCTCGTCCTCAGCACCCTCAGGAAGCGGTGGTGGTGGTGGTGGTGGGAAGCTGGCGGCGCTGAGAGAACAATCACCCTCCCGCTCCGGTGGGCGACACCGCTACGACTCCGAAAGTGGCCACTCCTCACCACAGCGGATCGGGAGCCCCGCCCGCGGGAGGCGCACGGAGAGCCCGAGTCGGGTTGGGGCCAATGCGTCGTACTCCTCGTCCTCCTCTTACGGTGCGTCCAACCCCTCCTCTTACGCCGCCTCGGGATCAAGCCCCGGGCGTCACGGAGGCGTCGGCCCAAGCGTGAACGCACCCCCCACACCCACGACACCCACCGGCCACAGCTCCCGCCCAACAGGCGGTCGGGCACCGTCCCCCGGTCGACCCGTAGGTGGGAGGGCGCAGAGCCCAGGCAGGCTGGGGAGGATGAGGTTGAACTTGGATGACCCGCCTGTTCCTGACCAGTCTTCTTCGTACCCTTCATCGTCGTACCCTGGAGGACAAGGGCAGGGAGGAGGGCCAGGAACAGGGACACCGATGACGAGTATGAGCATGACGCCGTTGAGGCCGCCGCAGACCGCCGGAGCAGGAGGAGCAGGAGGGAAGCCGCAGACGTTCGCGGAGATGGGGTTCCACGGGACGAAAGTCGAGGATGAGAAGTGTGTTGTCATGTGAGTAGACTGGAGGTGGAGGTGGGGAGGTAGAGGGGTATGGGGAGGAGTGGACGTTTGTTCTTTTTCTTCGACTTCAGATTCGTCCGAAGCTCTACTACCTAGAACGTATCTTGGAACGCTATACAGACTATACCATAGAGTGCTCCTTCGCTCAGCTTTCTTTGTAATTACCTTCTCGATCTAGATCTTGATACCCTTTCGGACCCAACTCTATTCGAATGCGCCTAGATCTGCACAGGCGCCTGTCGAATCTTCGGCGCTAAGTTCTAACTCGACGGACCCCGTGGCTGTGCACAGGCACCTCGCGGGGATGGCAACTTTTCGCTTCTCGCCCATTGTCGCATTTGCTTCCTTGCTTGAATTACTGAGCTGAATGCAGCATGTGCAAATTATTATATATATGCCGATTTCGAAGGAGTTTAAGTTTGAGGACGATGAACGGTGTCGAACCTAATGACACCGCCCACTGCCACGAAACATCGACATCTATGCACCCTAGTATACTGATCACCCTTACTTTTCTCTCCCAAGAGGCACACGTCATATCCCTTTGCCCTTCTCTTCGCTTTCTCCAGAGTCCGGCCTGGCCATCGTCGTTCCGCGACGTCCCCGAGCTTAGCTTGAACTTACCGACGCACAGAACCCATGTCCCCTCCGGAGCTGAGCCTATCTTCGACGCCTGTAGACTGCTGCTCTGCCTCTGCCCCTCTCGCGTCATACATCCTCGTCTCTGTTTACGGAATATACCACCTCTCTCTCCTGTCCTGCTGCGCTGATTCAGGCGAATGATAAAGCCCACTCCAGCGCTGACACTCCCCAAACGCGAGCCCATCTCTAGTCTCTGAGATATACACCAATCATACACCACATCCCATTCGCTACTAGAACTCTCCTTTCCACCTCCGCTATATCCCAGCCTCATCCCCCATCCCCCTATAACACTCTCAACCCCTCATCGTTCCTCTCTCCATCTCACACGCCCTCGAGCGCTGTATATACTCCTCCGCCTTCATCATGCCCGCCACAGCGAGGAGCACCATCGCACCTAACACCAGGATCAGCGCGATGACGGAACGCCGGCCTTGGAAGACGTGCACAACGGTGACGCCAGGACTCTGTACCTGGTCCAAGGGTTCGTTGGGTCGAGGTGGGGCCGAAGGTGGGTATTGGGGCTCTTCGGAGGCCTGGCGGTCCTACAACGACTGTGCTTCCAGGGATTTGTTTCGGAGCACGCTCGAGGGTCTCTGGTGGTGCGCTTTGTCCGTGGTTGGGTTTTCCTCTTCCTCTTCAAACTTTCCTCTGTTTCTCCCCTTTTCGTTCTCCTCCCCCGTGTGTATTACGCCCAGCGTCAGTGGGCGTATCTCCCCAATGCCCGCTTGCCTGCCCGAGAGTCCTTCCGCCGTTCCTGGCTACTTTTGGCCTTTGGCTGCCTCGAAACGTGTACTTGCCTTTCCTCAGTATCCTCCCTCAGGCCTCAGCGTTGATGTTCGTAGCACTGCAGGGTCCTTTATCCTAGTCAACGCTCAGCGCTGCAGCTCAGCGGCGGTGGACGTGTTCATCGCCCTATCTGGCTACATCTTGTCGACCATGTATATCTAGCGTCAGCTTTCGTCCGGATTGCGAAAAGCGCCTATCGCCCCACCTGTTTCTCCATTTTACCCGGCCACATTCTTAGTCGAAACTTCAACACATGCCCCAGCTCCTCAATTAAGCCCCGGCCCATAATCCTCTTCCAACCTCAATGTCTAACCTCAACGTTTACTACGTACCCGTATAACCTCTTCATCTGCGCGAGCGGCTCTGCGTCGACCACCTTCACCTCGTAGTCATCTGCACCTATCACGAGTGAATCTACAAACGCGACAAACTTGGCGTCAGCAGCGAAGCGCGCGTTCCTTCAGTGCCTCCAGTCCGTTGAAGCGTTCTGCACACTGAAGCTGAAGCCTCGCATTGAATTGCCTGGGTTTGATGACGGCATGCACGCGCTTTGCTTCACCTCCCAGCAATTGACTGATCTTCACGCCGACAATGCACCGAGCTCATTTCCCACATACCGTAGATTCACTAGTGAGTACTTACGATGAACAGTGTTCATCTGGGATAAATTGACAGCCAACCCGATATTTCCTCAAAGGATGTGTCTGCCTCTGTAATCTTTTCCGAGGTCACCCTTCTTTTGTCGTCGCGAGAGAAGTGTACGGAGCGAACGCCACCGTGTTCCTCTGCCTTGGAGACAAATCGACTGAGGTGAAGGCAATGGGACGCCAACTCCATCGTCGCATCGACAATGGGAAACTCATCTGCTTCCCTGATAAATATCTCGCGTAAATTCTTGAACTTGGAAAACGACTTTGTGAAAGAACCGAGGGTTAGGCCCATCGGTAGGTCGCCGACCCAAACCTCCACATTAGGGCAGACCGACGAAAGGGTGTCAATGCATTCGGAGAAGAGCTCTATCTTCTCTTCTGCAGACTCGCCGATGTAGTACCCAACTTTTCGCATGTTCGGAAGTTGTCCTATGAGCGGTAAAGCGCAGAAGAGGCGGGAGAACTCGTCTATAACGTTGGAACAGCCGGACCCCATCTCTAACGAGATTAAGGAGATCAGGCAGTGCGGCGCGGCCTGTACGAGAGTGTAAACGCATAATGGGTGGGCGTGCAGGCGACGCAAGGCAGGAAGGATGGGGGCTTTTGCTTCTGCAAGGGTGATTGGGTCAAGGACGATAGATCCTATGCCATTAGGCAAATAGCCCAGGCCAAGTTCGATGAGAGTTGGATGCGAAATGAGGAACCGAGCTATGCCTTCAGCGGGTCCTTCATCGTCTGGATGCATGTACGGTCCCAATATCAGGGACCGGAGCGAAGGGAAACGGAGAGCCCCGAGCAACTCCGCTTCTGCAAGGCCAATGAACCCAAACAAGCAGAGGTGAGTTAACGTCGTTCGGGATGCCTGGAGAAGGGTGCGAGGAGCGGGGTGGGAGAATGAATCGGGGCCTGCTTGAACGGCTAAGAGAATTGTAAAAAAAAAAATCGAAAGGGCAAGGAACCGCACCGGAAGATGAGCACCACTTCACCCTCTGAAGTCCTTGGAGGCCAAAATTTGGTCCAATCACATCATGTGGAGGATCCACCACGATCTCTTTTAGGTTTGGACACGAGTCATTAAGTATGGAGATGAACCGCCCCTGCTGCTCGCTACTCTGGAAAGGTGATGGGTTCCTGCTAAGGTGTGGGACGCCCCGAAGAGCCAACCATCGGAGGTTGCTCATCCGTCTGACGCTTTCCAAAGGAGGCCACACCACATGAGGTGTTGAAACCACGGCTTCCGAGTCGTCGGTAACCAACTCCAACCTCGCGACTCTGAGAGCAAGCGTCGATTCCAGGAGTAGGGATATAGTCTCGTTCGTACACCGCGTCTTCTTCAGGGATACGTCACAATAAAGGAAGGTGCGAGCAGCATGTAGATGGATCTTTGAGACTGCTGCAAGAGATGCGAGGTCCTTGCGACGGGTGGAACCTGCAATCAGGAACCAGACATCTTGCGGAAGGTTGGCCATAGGGAAAGTAGTAAAAGCCTGAATAGCGGACATTAGCAGAAGTAGATAGAGCCGTAGATACACGGTACCGGTTGTCTGGAGCAATGGACTGGGCTGTGAGCAACGTTGCGACAAAGCTGAATGTTTGAGCACGTTGCCAGTGCCCAGTGGGCGGCCGGCGGGACCGGCCCGATAAGGTTCGAACATCGGCATCCTCGCACCTCCGGCATCCAGGATTCGACCTGCTAAAGCATAGAACACAAAAAGTGCCAATCTCGACGAAGTTCCTTCCACTCGAGCTGTGGCTTCTTATTGCAGGTTGTGCTGATCGGGATCTCACATGTATGTGTTCCCTTTGTGGACTTTTTCCTCTGAGCAAGTCAGTCAGCCATCTCAGGACATTGTGCAACCCTCGCGTAGAATAACACACCCTCCACAGCGTCCACTTGACTGTGTCCGATCTTGACCTTCTTATGGATTCAGTACATTGTGCCGTTCCGTCAACAGACCTGACCGGGATGCCCAATCGCGTCGAAAAACTATATAACGGCCAAGTCTATCAAGCGCTGGTATGATTGCCAGCCAGACGCCATGCGACTTGTGGGTACTTTCAAGTACTTACTCTCTTGTCTTCTTTTCGGTCATCCGATGGATTGCACACGCCCAATACTTCAATGCGTTGCGCCTCCAGAGGCTTGACTTGACCAGCATCCCATCGGCACCTCGTCCTTACCTTCCCGTTTTCTCCCTGACGCCCACTTCGAATGCCCGGAGTAGTCTCTCCGTCCCGGTGCCTTCTCCAGCCACGAGCTCCTTGGCTTCGTCAAGTTCATCGAACACGACCATATCCTCAAACTCGACTTACACTCCTTCGAAACGGGCACTCTCTGTGTCTCGAGTCTGTCGAGAGTTCCTGCACCAACTTGGCCGCGAATTGCATGGATTCAGTCACTATCAGTGTTAGTGAATCATTCTTTCTGTAAGTCTTGGTGCTACACGCCGGGATCCCTCCAGAATCGGTTCAATCTCTGCGGTATCCGGTCTTGCGTCCTCGCCGTGACTTGCTATGGAGTAGGGTGCGTCGTGTACCTGGGATAATATCAAATCTCTCCTTGAACTCAAATCGCCTCAGGTCGGAGATCGTATCTCTAGTGTCCTACACCAAATAGGATTCGACATCAGGAACTCTGATATGGCTTCGTTGGACTACAAACGTTGGTTCATGTTGAATCGCCCTATCGCGCGATGCTCAACGCCAGTTCTTGCAGCTCTACGCCGTGGGTAATTGCGCTTGGCTTCTTGGAGGCTGGTACGGGATCCTTTTTATGGTGTTCTTTCTGGAGCTCAGTGTAGTCTTTCAGCCCTATTACCCAGCAAAACTTCATCGACTGGTATTACTCGACGCTTTCTTTGATGAATACCTCCGCTTGGCCAAGGTTGGTTTCTGGCTTAACTCGACATCTGAGCTAAATATTCACACTGGAGCTCGCAGTTCCCCAGATATCGTCCTTGGGTCAGATCTTAGTCTGCAACGGGCGATACGATTTCTTACCTAAAGTGAGTGCAAAACCTTAACGAGCAAATGATCTCTCTTATCAGCGACTGGTGGCACCGCTTGGACGACTGGTATCATTTCTCGAACTTCCCTACTCCTAACACACCCGATCCCGACCCGCTAACTGTATGCACTTCTCGACTTTCTACTCGCCGCACGACCGAATTTGGATGAGGACGAGGCGGCCAAGAAAATCAGTGCCATCACGAACCTCAACAACGCAAACCCAACGTCAAGCAAGAATGTCGGAGAGGTGGAATTTTTGATCGGAGCATTCGATGCACTGGCAGAGTGTGAGTCCATAACGTTCCATCTTCTGCCGTTACTGAATAATTTCGGAAGCCTTAAACACCAACACGGCGGAATTCAGAAATACGGCGCGGATCATTCAGACGATCTTCGCTTTGTGACGCCAATATCCTCCATTGGACACACGGTGGAATAATTATCTGTCGAGAACGTTTCCAACTTACACCGAAGGAACTACGACACCGCCATCTCTTTCGACGGCTTATTTGTGTGAAGCCCTTGTGGAATCAACATGTTAAATGCACACAATGGACGTCTCGATCAACTACTGTTCCAAGCTGGGACTACCGTTCCTCCCCCTACGTAGCCCCCGTTGTCCCTGTGTGCTGGCAGGTCTGTCATGATGCGGAAGTCAGTATACTCACTTCCGCGGCGATCTCTCTCATACCTAGCACGCAATGGACAGATACGCAGCCGCATTTCGGGCTCTTTCATAACTAGCAGGTACGTATTTTCCCTCTCAAAGGCTCTCTTAGCCCGTTACCGGCCTGATTTAGGCTCTTGTACCTACACCGATCCCTCACCCCCTCTGCAACTCTGCTGGAACGTGGGGCTCCCTTGTCCTCTATTTCGACAATATGGGATTCGATGTCACCTTTCCTTTCGATCCACAGCTCCTCATTCCAGCGACGGGGACGGTTAGCACTCACTTTCTACCTTGCGCACCTGAGAAACGCTCATCAACATTGATAGCAATTCTACTACATTGACCAAATCTTCAGGGACATCGACCTATTCCCTTTATGCGGGCAGCCATGTCCGGGTATATTCTGGCTGAACGGTCCTTTGGACTCATCTCCGAGGACCATGTTCGAAAGGGTCTGTCGGGTTGCAATGGCGAAGTGGGCACTACGCGAGCAAGGATGCTTCCCGTAACTTAAAGCGGAGCACCTCTCCGATGCCTCCACAATTCTCATAGCGATGGCTCTGGTCTATTTGAGATCGACTGTGGTCCGAGTGAAGCTGCCGTTCGGACGTGCATTTACCATATGTATTATGAACACCCAACATCCAGACACACATCATTGGTCAGTGGCTCCTAGAGTACATATTTTCGACTTCCTAGGATAGCGATAACATGCGTTATGAAACAGTTCCTGTCGTTCACCTATGCATAAGCATTTCTTTAGTTTGGCATCTTCCTGCCAGCTAGATTAGATAAGATCTTGGATCTCGCATACGTAATGCGATGTCAACCGACAACCTCCGACCCAAGTTGAACCTGACCTCCACCATTCAAACCACGCTCACTCCGACCGCAGGATCATACCAGGCTCTGTAGATGGAAGCGTTTTAATTGCTAAGTACTGAGGCGGCGTTCTTCTCTGCACTTTTCACCTCGCCGGCGCAGCTTTACATTCCCACAGGCATCTGCTTCGGAATCTACTTGCTTGGAATAATGGGGACACCTGTCCGCCGCCGAACTTAATGATCTACGATCTGTATGTCACGCTACTGCTGCGACTCGGACGATGCCCACAAAATCGCGTCATACATTCAACTTGGACCCGTCCCTATCCAGCATATCTTCGGTGATGAAGCGTGGTAATGGTGAATCGCCGACTCCATAAGCTCATGGCCGCCATTCTACAGGTCAGGGTATCCTTCTAGGTACCTCACAGAGGTCAAACTGGGCCTGAAAGCGTCATCTTGCAATGGTGAAATGGCCTCCACTGGCCTTTAGAGACCTTGATCGATCCTCGAACATCAATCTTGGCCTTCACTGCGTCCTCCTGTCGAACCCGGATCTCCCGTTGAAAGTCGCTGTAACGCTACCAATCTATCTTTCAAATGCGCAACACCGAATACCACCACGAGGCTCGCGTCCAAGAACGGTTTCTCCTTCCTCTTGGCCCGTAAAAGGTCAAATTGACGTGCTCTTCCGACATAGCTTTCGATCGATTACTCTGCACAAAGGGGATGAAGAACCTTGTCAAGCGGCAGACAAACTCCGTCTCCTGACCGTATACCCTCGTTTGGTGCAGGACCTCGGACTCCACGCAAGGGCTCTCCAACGTACATCGATTCCATAAGATCGCCTTATCATTGATGGACCGCCACCTTCGAAGACGGCGTTCATTTCCTCTCCTTTTTAATTCTCACCGGCCTTCAACCTTTTGTTCTGTGGCAGCTATCCGTCTGTATAACAACCCTAATCTGAGAAGTCTTGTCCTCGTGCCCGAATTCGAAGTCTACGCGGCCCCCGACGAGCAGAATGCATCACTCACTCGTCCACCGTCATTTTTGAGTTGGCCGACTCGCATATTTTTTCGCCGTCAAGCATGGACTAGTGGCTCTATGCTTAAGGCGGCACCCAGCACCAGTTCAAGCGGAATACGACTGGTACAGGCGCACCACTTCTCGACTTTACTTGGTTGGACCCCAAAGGAGAGAATACTATCTATTGCCATCATGTCGGTCACGCTTCGTTGGGTGTCTATAAGCAGGATCTCGCTCGGGCGATGCATGCCGAGTCGCCGACTATCTTCTCCACAGGTTCGCCAAATTTGCTTTCTAAAGTCTTGTTAGATCTCAATACGGAGAGACAGACCGAGGAAGCCCACGCGATCTCAATGCCGCCTTTCGTTCTTCCATTCTCATGGCATGGCAGTGCTCCCCTTCCCGCACCTATCTGAGTTGGTCCGACGTTCACACATTTCATGAACTTCAGCAAGCTTCAAGCTTTTCAAAACCCAGTGAGGCCTAACTGCGATCTGATGGTTTGGCGGCTTCCCGCGTTCTATCTTTTTCTATTTTTTATCGCATCCCCCTGGTATGTCATTCGCCTTCAACAAGACGCTTGGGGTAAAGTACTGCCTCATCAAATCCTGCGCCTCCGTTCAGCCTGCTGACGTACCCCAGGCAATTACTTCCCCGACAACCGACGCCTTGTTCCTCGCTCGGTAATACCATAAGGAGATGCCGTTGAATTCCGACAAAAAAACCACGCAGGTCAAGGCATTCACAGAACGAACGTCGAATGGACTTACCGCCTTATGAGGTCATTCGAAGATCTTAGGGACAGTTCTGAACATCAGGTGCCGATGAATCGTAGGAGTCAACTTCCCCGCTGATGGTTGCTCCCGATTCATCCCCCAGACATTTCACGTCGTTCACACTGCTCTGCTTGGGAGAACCACCAGCGAAAATCTGCTCGACCTGGAAAAACGCTGAACCAGCTCCATCCGACTTCGCTTCCAATTCGATTCTTATTCTTATCACCAATAAGACCTGGTTATGAACAAAATAACTCAATGGTCACGCGCTATTTCACGCAATACTTTCTGAAGCTGGCTTCAAATCCTCAAGCTCTAAATTTATTGACACTGCTTGAACGCCATTTGCTCATCTGACTCGTCCAGTCAGACCCGTTCTCAGGCACGTACATAATTACTGACAGCTATCAAGAAGGGGCTCTTAGAATCATGTGCGATACCGACCCGCCTTTCCCGACGGAAGTGAGCCCCCGCTTGTGCGAATAACTTGAGAGTGATCTCGCATAATGGACTGGTTGCTGGTCATTCATCACGGAACACCGTGATGAGAGTGGACCTCAATAAATCCTGGAACAGTCTTTTTCTAGAGTATGGTGTGCTGCGCCATTGCTACTGAAAGGTGTCGTAAGGCTGATTAGATTGTGCACTGGTGGTATGTCTCTCTCAGGCGCTCGGTCCGGTCCAATGCTACCGCATACGGTTTGATCAATCACCTTCCCTCTTTGTAGTTTTTATCTCCGTGAAAGAAGCTTCCGGTTTTAAAAACAGACATAGATGGCGGGATAGCTGACAGGGAGAGCACGCGGGTGCTCGGCCCAGTGAGTTCCAGAGTTCGACCTTCTTGCGCTGAATGAGCTCGAATCAGGGGTGACAGCATAAACTGTCGTGCCCTATCGCGCCCACGATCCCTTTGACTCTTCGAGGGTTTCCAGGTTCTCCATCAGAGACGGAAGTAGATGGTCGACTTTGCGAACGTGGTGTTGCCCGGAGCGCGTGATTCGATGCATTCTCACTTCGACACACGGAAGAGCGCCATCCCCATATGTTCTTTTCGGGGCATGAGGCTCTTTAGCGCCCTGAAAGGTATTTATCTCCGGATTTCTCACATCAGGGCAACAGGGTCTCGAGAAAGGATGAGACAATCAAATTTGAAAGTATGCCCTCTCTCAAAGGTCTGGATGGGATTGTATTAGCCCTCGCCGATTATTGTTAGTTATAGAACACCTCTCTGCATTTACCTTCGTTTCTAGAGGTGGCTAGTCTTTGGAAGGAAGAAAAGCGGCACGAACGATGGGGCTCCTCGGCTAAGTCCGGGCGCAGTTCTCTGGGTGCCGAACAACAGGCACAAATAAGAACTTGACTGCTACCTTCATCCTAGGAGACAATGACTTGGGCGCGTACCGCCAGATTGATCAACTTTCTTTGCATACTCCACTGCCTTGTCGCCGGGACCCCGACGCGAAACTCGGGCTTGGTTTCTCTTGGCCTTCCTGGAATTGATTGTGGCCAATCGATCGTTCACGCCCTTCTCCTTGCGAGTACATCCTTGCCGTTCTCAGGTTAATCGTCTCTCAGACAGATCAATCTGACTTACTCATCCAATGCTTTGGGACGAGCCCATTGGCTCGTACTGCATAATCCACGCTGTCAAATGTGCCTGTAGACCGTGCTGTTTCTCATCGACATCGAGATCTCTTCTCATTCTATGCGAACGAACCTACATTTTTGGTTTTTTGGGAGATCTCAAGGGTTCACAGTGAACCTCGAAATTCATTTCATTCTTTCTGAAATACAGCGACAAATATGTTTCTCGCTCGATATTTAAACCCTACAACTGCTGAGGGTCGTCGATAGCGCCTCCTTTGCATTTTTCTGCCAACATGGGATCGCGTCTTCTTACTTCCTGCCTTTTGGCCATCGTCAGCGCTGGCTTCCTCTCCGTGGCGCATGCTGCACATGTTAACTACAACTTCAACATCGTCAACGCCAACATCGCCCCGGATGGCTTCACGAGGGCCGCCGTTCTTGTGAACGGTATCTTCCCTGGCACTCTCATTGAAGCCAACAAGGACGACATCCTCCACATCACGACTAACAACCAACTCGTCAACCCCACCATGAGGTGAGTGACCTCGTCACAAGATTTCTACTTGAGGTATTTATGCTTCCTTACAGACGCAGTACTACAATCCATTGGCACGGTCTCGTAAGTTCCATTCAATTTTATTCCAGAGTTGTGGGCTCACCTTTCAATGTAGTTCCAATTCAGGACCGCGTCAGAGGATGGACGTAAGGAGATTCCCCCTTCGCACATACTGTTTTTTGATACCCCGGCTTAGCTGCTGGTGTCAACCAATGCCCCATCGCGCCTGGTCACTCGTACACTTACGACAGTAAGACTCTTCATTTATCTCTCAGATAAATGGCTCACTTTTTGTTCTAGTTCCCTTGAACGGGCAACCAGGAACGTTTTGGTAAGTCCTTAACTAAACCATGATTGTGCAAGTTGCTGATAAGCAACATCACAGGTACCATAGGTGAACAGTTTAACAAAGTCTCGTCAACACTATCTAATCGTGATGTAGTCACTTGTCCTCTCAATACGTCGATGGCCTTCGAGGGTGAGCTCCCGCTTCAATCTCGTTGATTTCCACACTGACCGGTATCACTCTAGCGTCTTGGTCGTACGGGGTATGTAGCCTGGATGTCATTTACTCAGTGTATAACCCGGCGTTCATAGATCCCGTCGACCCTCATCTCAGCCTCTACGATGTGGATGATGCATCTACTGTGATCAGCCTTGGGGATTGGTATCACAAGGTATGTCCTTTTATCTCGTAGTAGTTGACTCATAATACTGGGTTCCCTTTCATAGGCTGCACCTGGGATTCAGGAAGTGTACCTCCGAGGGAATCACGAACCCGTCTGTATTCTCCTCTTCTGCCGTAACTCGAGCTAACAACTGAGGCACAGGTTCCCGATTGTGGCACTATAAACGGCGTCGGGCGCTATGTGGGCGGTCCTGCGGTACCCCGCGCCCGTATCAATGTCGTCCAGGGGCAGCGCTACCGTTTCCGAGTCGTGAATCTGTCAGCTTATGGTCAATTCACGTTCTCCATCGAGGGCCACAGCCTGACCGTCATTGAGGTACGCGGCCTTTACTGAGCATGATGAGTAGAACTAACCCCGTCTTAGGTTGATGGTATCAACCACGTCCCGAAGACTGTTGACGGTTTCGAAATCTACGCTGGCCAGCGCTACTCCGTGGTCGTACACGCCAACCAGCCGATCAGGAACTACTGGGTTCGTGCGCCCATGGAGCTCCAGCACCATAGTGACAATGACAACCGTATGATTCCTCTAGTCCTCCTTATCTTATTATTTACCCTCAGTCTTTTAGTTGACGAGGAAAATAATTATGCTGTTCTGCACTACGCTGGTGCACCATCGGGAGAGCCTACGACCAGAGCAAGGGACGGTGTAGATAACCTTCTCAGGGAACACGAACTCGCTCCCCTCGAGAACCCTGGTGCTCCCGGAGGTAGCGCGCCAGCTGACCGCGTCATCGACCTCTCCTTCACACGGAGTACCAACAACAATCAGTTAAAGGTACTGGTCAATTCACTCCCCGCAATGATCCTTGCTCACCGTTTCGTTTAGTGGACTATTAATGGCATCCAGTATCATTCACCCACTGTCCCGACGTTGTTGAATATCATCGCCAACGGCGCCACTGTCGAAAGCGACTTCACGACTCCAGAGCACACCTTCGTTTTGAATCACAATGAAATCATCGAACTTGTTATCCACGGCTCGGCGAATGGTAAGCGGTATTTGTCCCCCCTGTGTTCCCTCTTACACATTCACCATCTTTCCAGGTCATGTACAGTGCGTACCTCCGTTTCATTCCATCTTTCTGTTCTGATGAAGGCTGTCATTTCATAGCCCATTCCAGTAAGTCATTCAGTCAACCCATATCTGACTTTGAAAGATGAAAGATTGATTGATCATTCTCTCCAGTCTTCATGGTCATGCCTTCGACATCGTGCAGGGCAATTCTGGACCATCGAATTACGTCAATCCACCCCGCCGCGATGTCGTGGGTGTCAAGGGTATGTCGACTCTTCTCGTTGAATCACACATTCGCACTCACCTTCTCCCGCTTCTCAGGCAGCACGGTAATCATTCGCTTCAAAGCCGATAACCCAGGCCCATGGTGCGTAAAAAATGTTTTCCCAAACCCATGGTAACTAATAATTCGATCCAGGTTCTTGCACTGCCGTACGTTCTCTCTAGGCGAGATTTCTTTACTTACCTACTCACCAAGTTCTCCAAAAATTCTTTCTTTCTAGACATCGGTAAGTTCTTCTTCCCTTCTTCTGCCCATTCAAATTTGCCTGACTCATTCTGTCTAGATTGGCACTTGGAAGCAGGTCTCGCGGTTGTTTTTGCCGAGGCTCCGAACGAGCAGCGGACCGGACCCCAATCGCAGATCATCAAGCAAGAGTGGTTGGACCTTTGCCCCATTTACAATGCTCTCCCTGCCGAGCTCCAGTAAATTACTTCCCAGGCCTTCCCCGATCGAACAATACGTGCGAATTGAACTATTATTCCCGTCCCCCTTCGTATTTATTTACTCGGATTTTGTTCCTTATTCGCGTCGTTTGTATTCAGAAGATGTTTGTTATGTAGTGCGAAGAATCGAATCCCAGAAATTCTCCTATTCATCTCTGTCATCTGAATTGTACCGGATGAAAATTTGCGAAGATCTTTGGAGCTTTGCGATCGCGCATGCGCTCGTGGATGATCGTTTCCATCGATTTGGAACTTCGGCTTCGGGTGCCAAGACTGGAAGCTCGAGCAGTGGGAAATACATCCGCATCTCGATCTGGGAGACGGTGGATCGGCATCGAGGTACCGATTCTCAAGATCATGACCCCGAAGAGATGGGTGTAACTCTCTGATCGTGCGCCACTCGATTGCGCGACATTCAGGCCCGGGCAGTCGAGCAATACAACAAAGGCCCACTCGGGTTATCAAGTCTCCTGTATACGCTGACGTGTGGGCATGACATTGACAGGAAGTAAACGGATATCTCTCCACCCCGAAACTTCCCCTATTTTTCTCGTGCTCAGAACGTACTTATGGTTCTCAGAACGTATGGTTCTCCGTTTCCATACATGGAATTTCTTGGCATTTCTTAGCATTCTTGGATGCTTCGCGCCTTCGCCTCACACCACCGAATCGCTGAGCTTCGATTTCTGATCATCCAGAAGCCGCCTTCCTGTGATTCTCAGCCTTTCGAACGGCCATTGCGATCGAGCACGTTCTTCACATGTTATCTACTCTTTCAACGCTGGTTGACCTGAGGACACTGATTTCTCTGCTTTGGGCTTCACAGAAGGTAGAACTCCGCCAAAGTCAGGAGAAGTAAAACGTGACGCAAGCTCATTGATGACTGATGCCACCTTCCCTCATCGCCCCCGCTGCGGGGAGCGGAACACAATAACTGAGCTGCGAAACTCGAAACTCTTACGCCAATGTTCAACGGCCAGAAGATCGATCGGTGGTGAACCCGAACGAAAAAAAGCCTTGAAGGATTGACATGCAGTGTATACTTCATTATGCGATCGCAATCGACTCAGATCAACTCGATCTGTGGGGTGTATTCGACATTGTATCCGCAATACACGGCCGACTGGTACCATGGTACGCGTCGACGGAGAACAGAACAGTGGCAAGAGTCATCAGACAATCTGCACCGATTCTACGGGCTTGATGGCCAAGGCATTGTAGCACCGAGTTGCACCCATGGTATCGGAACATCCAAGAGATCAGAGGGAAAACCAGAGAAACGGGGACAGATGGCCTTGGGTGCCCTTCTAAGTCCTTCTGGGGCTTCGGGTCCGTTTCAGACAAGTCCTAAAGCTGGGCTTTCTTCGGTGAGGCATTAATGCAGTATTATTATGTAAAGGGGCGCAGAACGTACAACGAGGGGCAGCGGGTTCAACGAGAGGAGGCGGTGAAATAACAAAACTTTGATATGTAGCTTCGCAAATCTAGCATAAACGTTGCGAACAAATTATACGGTACGGTATGAATAAGAGGGTATTGCACTATATCAATCCAAAGTTGAAGAGACGGCCCAAAGGGAGACGGAAATAATTTCTACAGAATTGAACAAGACGAGACAGGGATTCAACGATAAATCAAGAAAATGAACTGGAGTCAGAACGAGCAAGTATTGGACGAAAGGAAACGGGAGTAAGAAAGAAAGCATCCAAAAAAGTGTCACAAATCAGAGTCAACGGCATCCATCACATAGAGGACTTGCTGTGGGCGTACGAACAGCCCTCTCGACTCCGTGCCCGACATCTCAGACACCGCGGGGCTTGCGCTCCGCATGCGTTTCATCCTCTCCGACGCGATACTCAGCTGATCACCCTCCCTCTTCAACACCCCTTTGCCATCGACCCGCCCCCAGACCGCACCACCTACACTGCCAGCATCGATTCTGCGCCTTCGCGACGCCCGATCCTCACCATAGTCTACCTCTGAGCCGGCACCTCCAATCTCGAAGTATCGAATACCTCCCCACGAGCCGTCGTTCCACTGGCGGTCGTCGTCGCGCCTGCCACTACTGCTCATGACACTTCCGTCGAGGTCACGGTCGCCCCAGGTGTCACCGCCGATGGGCATGGGGACTTCCACTCCAACCCAGGGACCCGTCTCGCCGTGGACCTCTCCGATGTACCTTGCGTACGCCTTGAACCGCTTTCGTTTTGAAGAGATAATGCAAGGGATGCCGATTTCGAGCGTAGCACCTTGCGGGACGTAATCAGCCAGAACTTGGTCGATCGAGCTCGGTTGCGTGGAAAGCGTAGAGGATGCTTGGTGTTGTGGATGAGGGGCGAGAGGTGCACGCGCAGACATCGAGGGAGATTGTTCTTCCTGAGGTGGAGGTGGTAAGGGCCTGTTCTGCTTCCCGGAACCGCCTGAGGCAGAAGAGAGAGCCACAGATGACGCCGCGCCGGATTTAACGGTTTTTATCGTGTCCGTGGAGCCTCTCTTCGTGACAGTAGCCACACTAGAGATAGAGGCGGCGCTGCTGGTCTTCTTATGCTCGTTGTGGAGGATATCGGGGCGGGGGCGAGCCTTGATCGTCATCGTGCTCGAGGTGTTTGCCACCGGGGCTTCATTACCTTGCTGCTCTTCCGGTACATCTGCTAATGGAGCTTGGGTAGGTACGACGTTCTCCTTCTCGGCGTCGTTCTTCGGTTTCGAGTCCTTTGTGATATCCTTGACCTCGAGTTCAAGCTCCGAAGCAGGGTCAGCAGCAACAGACACCGTCTTCGAGGGTGGCGTCGGTGGTACCAGAGATTCGGTAGACTTCTTGGAGGCCAGAGACTTCTTGCTCGACGGAAGAGGGACAGGAACAGGTTTCTTCGGTGTCGAAGTACCACCTGGCCGCGTCGAAGTAGACGAGGGAATCTTTCCTGTGCTCGCGGACGCAGCGATCGCCGCCGCCGGGCTGAGCTTATTAGAGTCCGCCGCGCCAGCCGACACAGACTTCTTCATCACTCTTGGTGTTGTCTTAGTACTCGCAGCGGTCGACCGCGCGCTGGCTACTGAACTCACACTCGTGCTCGAAATCTTCCTCGAGCGCTCGTTGACAGGTGAAGGGGGTCCAGCAGTCCTTACACTGGCATTCGACGCGGCTGACGTTCGTCTGGAGCGAGCTGTCGGGGTGGCCAGTGCACCGCCAGTACTAGCAGTGCGGAACGTCGCGGCACTACCCGTAGCGGTCGAGACAGTCGAAACCCTGTTGGTCGATGTCGTCGATAGGCGGGATGTGGGACGGGAGACAGGCCTCGAGATGGGCTTAGCACGAGCTCCGGAGCCAGTGACGCTGACATTGAGGCGGGATGCAACGGTAGATCGTGTGCTGCCTCTCGAGCTTGGTCGAGGAGCTGCATTAGTGGGGGATCGCGCAGGGGAGGTTGTCGTGCTGGTTTTGCGAAGCGTATTCGTGGACTTGATAGAAGCGGAAGAAGATTTCGAGTTGGTGGGGGAGGTCGACGATGGCAGTATACTCTTCTTCGACTGCACGCTCGCCAACGAAGCCCGTGTGATGAGCGTCTTCTTGATAGGAGTCGAATGGTTCTCAGCTGCCTTGCCTTTCAGCACCCTGGAACCGGTAACCGAGGATCGTGGCGACGTCGGGTCGAGCTCCTCCCGTGCATTTTCGTACATCTCGCTCTCCGTCTGAGCATCCCCGTCGTGACTGTCCTCTTGCGCGTCGTCCTCGGTATCACGATGCCCGTATTCACTTCGCTCGTCACCTAGAACCGAGTCACCCTCCTTGTGGTCGAGATCCATGTCCTCCTGGTAACCTTCGTCCGTCACATCTTCCTCAGCGCCATAGCCCTCCTCGCCATCCGCATACTCGCCATCCTCGGTCATCGAGTACCTATCATCACCAGGAGGCTCGATGATCGACGGTGCCATGCTGCTTGCAGTATCAAGACTGACGTATGACGCTGAGGGCGTGAGCTTCGAGTCTGGTCTGTCGTGGTCTTCGTCTTTGTCCAATACGCCAGAGCCTCGTCCAGCGCGCACCTCGTTGGCAAGCCTCTTCGCAGGAGACATCCCTGGTCCTGAGCCATCACCGGCCACAACGCGCCGTCGTGGGGTAGCGGATACCGTACTATTGCTCGCCACAGACTCCGTCGTACTTTTCGCAAGGCTCCGGACCGAGCCTGCCGAGCTCTGAGTCCGTTCTCTGTCACGAACAGAGGATGCAGCGCTTCTCGTTGGCAGATTGCGGCTGAGCACGCTGACACGCATGCTGCTAGCAACGTCACTCTCTGGATCGACCTTGGACGTGTGGGGGTGACTAGAGATAGGCCGGAGGAGAAGAGCGGAGTGGGTTGAACGTTGGCCAGTGCCTTGAGCGCGTTTGGTGGCGGATGCAGGAGACTGTGACTTTGGAGAAGAGTAAGCTGGTGGATTGAGGAGGTCGTTGATTGGTACTTCGATGTCTACAAGAGTATCAACGAGTTAATTGATGAGGGGTTGTAAAGGAGAGATGGAACAACGAAAGACTCACGATCACTGATTTCTTTAATCGCCCACCCCTCAAGTGCATCAAAGCCTCTTTCCTGGCGGATGGCCAACCAGCGTTTAGCGATCCACTTGAGTAACTCTACACGCGTTTCCTCGACCGCAACACGGATGTGTGAAGTAGCTGATAGTTGTGGTGCATTTGTGTCGGTGGGGTGAGGCCGGAGGAGGATAGAGGACACTAGTGTCTATAGATCGTGCGTCAGATGAAAGAACGGAAGAAATCAAACAGCAGAGAGACAGAACGCGGAAACCGCGAAAATGGAGACCCACTTGATACAAAAGGGCAGCCCATCCATCCTTTACTCCTCGCATTACCGCCTTCATTGCCCAGTCGACCCTCTCCCCGTCCTCAAACCTCGCACCCTCGCTCTCGACGATCTCCATCCACTCCTCGCTCTCGAAGCACTGTTCCGCCTCCTTCGCCACACACTCATCCACGCCCTTCCTCACAGTCAGTATCATTTCCTTCACCGTCTCCTTCCACACGTCAATGTTGGATTCCAGCTTGGCCAAGGCGTGCTCCGCTGCCCAGAGGAGCGCGAACGCGTTCAGAGGGGTGGTGCGTTTGCCCACGCCCCTGACGACGGAGTCACGGATTTTCTGCGGAAGAGACGCGAACTCGACGTTACACCAGCCTTCGCCGAAGAGTCCCACTAAAGCTCTTCGCGCTCCTCGTTCCAGGTGGGTGTTACGTACATCTTCCGCCAGGGCGAACTCAAGGACCCTCGGAGCTCGCCTCGCGCATTGTCGGCATCTGCATCCGCCGGTGCCCCATCTGCCGCCTGTAATTGACTCGTATTCGGAGAAGGGTAAGAAGGCATGGAAGAGGCCATGACACATCTCCTGCGCAATGCGCGCCTGGATTTCATCATGCAATGAGGGCAAGGTGAGGTACAGTGCTGCGCGAAGGATGGCGAACGCGGTGCTGAGGTCGTACGAGCGATGCGAGAAAACGAGTGTGCCGGTGTAGATGAAACCGAGGGTAAAATGAAGAGAGGCGGGAGTGAAGGGGGGAGAGGGTAAATTAAGCGTCGGTGGCTCGCCATCTGTGCTTGTGGTCTTGGTGGGCCAGGCGATAAGTGCGGTATGGAAGTAGGAACACCGTGACACGAGGATGAAGCGGTGGGAGGAGAAAATGGCCGTTGTGCTCTCGTGCGAGCCACCAAAATTGCCAGTGAGGGCAAGTCGCACGTCTGAATAGAGACGAGAACGCCACATGAAGACCAGGTCTTTCCTGAGTTTATCAATCCGCAAAGCCTCTGCCTCGTCGACCTCACTGCCATCCCCTGCCAATCCATTGGTTAATAGGCCGTGATCGCGTGCTTCAGAGGAGTCGAACAAAAATTCGAACGCCTCGCCGAAGCCTTTGCCGGTGTAGAGATACTCGAGCTCGTTCGAAAAAAGTGTCGGGTTGATAGATGTTGTTAAACGAAGGAGACTGGGGCCGGTCTGTCCAGTTGGTGCATGTGAGGTAGCGAGGGTCGTTGTCGGGCTTGCGGCGCGTCCGTAGGGTGATGGTGTACGAGGAACCAGGGCTCCAAGTGCGGGCGTCGATGCGGATGGGTCTGCATACCCAAGGGAAAGATTCGACTCGGCGGGATAGGGAAGGGGAGATGGCGCGCCACCAATGGGGCGGAAGTAGCGGCTTTGGAAAGAGGGCGGGGCGCGTGCATATACGATTGCTGTGGTCGTGATACATCGTTAGTCAACGACGGAAAAGGCGGCAAAGCCCAAGCAGTGCACACCTTTATGACCCCACACCTCCTCAATAATACCCAGCCCCGGACCATTGCTGTGCTTGGCCATCACACTCGATGGACCATATTCCTCTGGATCTTGCTCATCGGCACCTTCAGCAACGAACTCCCAGACCACATCTGGGAAACGGTCCTTGGCGTGGTGGAATAGGGATTCTAGATGGGTTTGCCATGCCTGTGTTGAATTTCTTGTAGCCTCCTGCAGAGACGGTGCAGGTGGTGTGTTGGACGCGACACTAACGGGCTGCGCCATTCGCGGTCGTCCTCGTCACCGTTTTTGTCCTCGTCGTCGTTGTGATCGTGCTGATCGATTTGCAGGACGGTTATGGGTTCAGGTTCCGGGCTCGTGCCACGTCAGATGCCGGAGAGGCAGGTGGGTGGAGGATGGGATTACGGGAGAGGAACGTTGAAGACGGCGGGGGAGTGACAAGGGACGACGACGACGAGCAGCCTGGCCAACAACACGAGGCCGGTCATGGGAGGTTAGGGTTCTGATGACTAAGCGCTAACCCCAACCAACTCCGAGTCGCTTGTTTGAATGTCTGAACCTTTGCATGTCTCATTGGAGCTACCTGACTGTTGTTAGGTGAACAAAGAGAGGATGGAAACCCGGGAGAAGAGACGGCACCTCATCCCATCCCTCCCTTATTCGCATGCCACCCCCATTTGTTCTTGTCCGGGGTTCTCGTCGAAACAGGTCACGGCATAAAACTCTTATCGTGGCTTACTGAGGTATTTTTAGGACTCTGAAAATAACGGGAATTTGAAATGGAGGACATATATCAACCTCAGGAGCTCAAGAGTATGTCCATGGGTCGTTAAAGCCGATAAGTCCGAGCTCGAAGGTCCATTCACCAGCGCTTATTTCGTGCTGAGTGATACACCCCATGTAAAGGTAAGCTACATAGTTTAAAATCTTCCAGAGACCTATACACAGGGTATTGATTAGATTACAATTCATATAAGCACACGAGTTTCGGTGCTGTCTTGGGCCTGAGGTTGGTCTACGATACAGTCTACGAGGAATAAGTTAATAAACATCGTCAGCGTCCCAAAGAGCGATATTATCGGCGTTTGAGGCAAATAACCAGGCTGCCTTCATCTATTCATCACTATCTCCCCATGGACAATCTCTGGATGATGCGGACGGTTTATGCGCTCCCGTATGTGTAGGATCGCCCGGCTGGTGAGCACCGCGTGAAGGCAGCGCGTCATTCTGTCATTACGATGTGGTTAATCAGTAAACTGTGGCGTCGATCGTTGGGTCAATGACATACGTTACTATGATGAAACGATATCCAACATCAATCTAGGCTGCCGTGAGCAAGCGCAATACAAATATTCGTAAGAGGACCCACCGATTGTAATCGAAGCAGGATGATGTTAACCGAGGACAGAACTGCAAAAGTCGTCAACACCAATATTCCTTTCGGTCACATAGCACGCACTGAAAAGATAGACGTAATATACAATTCCTGAACGATAGTCAGCAATCAAATATGAGTGATTGTAAGACATTTGAGTTCACCTTCCCCATAGACCGTGGCATACAGTGCAGAATGACCTCTAAATCTATCTGCAAATAGTTGATTCAATATCTCGTATGGACAAGAATGTAAGCAAGGACGCATACATGCTTTAATAGCAGGTATGATCATTAGGATCATAATGACTAGAATGAGTAGGGAGTCGCCAATATTAGCTTGGGTTGAGAGTTTAATCAAGAGTGCGTACTGGTGTCCCAGACCAATAACAGAACCCAGCTCAACAAAATGCCGTTATTCGCCGTCAAATTACCCATCGCAAAGCAGCCAACGAATTGCGGTATCGGAGGGTTGGCGACTAGATGTCCCAGCTTGAAGTCAGACACGAAAATCCACAGAATAGATAGTAAATGCCCATACATGACAAGGATCTCAGCGACTGAATGAGGAAGTAGACATGAGGGACCCATATTCCCATGAAGATAATAGGCAGGACGACCGTGAGCACCCGGTTTCGATTCCACACTGCCCACGCTCGGAAGGTTAGCACCACTGCCTCGAGGTAATTCCAGTCAGAAGTTGGACAGAAAGACGCAAAGAGAGCCTAAACGCACGTTCAGATGCCGCCATCCCCACAACAAACACGACCGCCCCGCATTCGTGAGCAAACGGCACGTCCCGGGGCTCAGATTGGTGCTTAGCTCCTCTGATGTCATCACGAATGCATGAGAATCGCTTGCGACGAAAGAGCCGTGAAGACTTACGATGAAGAACTGGCCACACCGTATCGATGAACGGGAGGTACCTCTGTATGAGGTACAGGACCTTCAGCGCCGTCCACTTCCCCGGCCAGACGTGCTCGATCTCCATGCCCATGGTGATGCAGTAGTCCCAGACGTAGATCACACATGCGGCGACTTAAGGGATAAAGGGGATTAAGAAGATGGTGAGGAATGAAAATGGTCAAGACTCACTGTCAACCTCCTGTACATCGAGTCGACGCGTTCAGAGACGAGACGAGAAGTAGGGAAGGTCGATAACGTACCCGCATGAGGATCCATTGTCGTAACCTATTACTCATGAAAGCCACCGCCGCCGAGTTATCCATGACCTTAACCTTCTCGAGTCTTGGGAGCCGTCTTCGTGGCTCGTAGGGTGAGAGGTTTACGGTTGCCGAGCTGCGTCAGGCAGGATTGCGCAAGTGCGACGCGCAGTGATGGATGGAGTCTTCTCCCCAGCTGCCTCAGCCAGACCACATGGACCCCCCCGCGACACTCTCGGGCGGCATTGGTCCCCGGGCACGAGGCTTGGCAACGTCGTCTGCCATAAATAGCAAGTGTCGGCGCCGTGCCAAGCCCTCTGCTCATCGTCCGAGGCAGCGAGCAGGGTATGTTGGCACTCCAGGGTATTTCAAAATTTCTTGGCGTCGAAAATACACCAAATACTTCTATTCTTTTCTTTTTGGGTAGTCAATTTTCCATGAAATAGTTAACAATTATGCAAGTTCCTTTCCGAAAGGCTCAGAAGTGGGAGACCGTGCCCCGTTGGACAGATCGTTGGACAAGATGAATTCGAAACTTCATCGGAGTCCACGACCAACAAAATGAGAGGAGGAGGATCAATGTAAACTCCTTCAGAAATTTTTTGGGGGTCACTAGTCAACTGCGCGGAAAGACGATCAACTAGACTGAATGCGCCGTACGTCATCTTACCATCAACGTGCTAATAGACGGATGTTTATCCCATAGAAGGGGGTATTTCCTTGAATTTGAATCTGCCCAAAGTTAGATCGAAACTTCGCGTAGGGGGTGGCAGGAAATTCTGACGTAGATGGGATACGACATTTTTCAGGTATTGACACGACTCGGACATACTTATAATTCAGTGGGATCACCCATTCAATGAGAATTGAAGGCAGCGATATTTGCGCCGTCACCGTCAGAACGTGGCCAGCAATCACGCCCGAGCGGCGAGCCTGCTCCACTTACGGCACCGGCGCTAAATACCGTCATCACGTCGTGGGCGCCACCACTTCCGTTCTCTTGATACCGTATGCTTTTCCTGCACTATTCCCTATTCCCTATTTTTATGCGATTTGTCCCGCTCATTCTGTCCCTTTTTAGTGCTGCTTTCCTTACTCATTTCTCATTTTGTTCTATGGCTATCATAGCTACTATAGTCCTTATGGTAGAGTTATGCCTCGATTAGAATACACATATAATTCCGCTTAATTTGTCCAGCCGCTGCCTCGGACGATGAGCAGAGGGCTTGGCACGGCGCCGACACTTGCTATTTATGGCAGACGACGTTGCCAAGCCTCGTGCCCGGGGACCAATGCCGCCCGAGAGTGTCGCGGGGGGGTCCATGTGGTCTGGCTGAGGCAGCTGGGGAGAAGACTCCATCCATCACTGCGCGTCGCACTTGCGCAATCCTGCCTGACGCAGCTCGGCAACCGTAGAGGTTGTACGTAGGCGGGACGGATTGGCCAGGCCTAGGGGATGTCGCGATGAACAGCACTCGCCGATCCCTTCTTTAAAGAAGTGCCATATTGACCATTTGTATTCCCGTACATCAGATAGGAGCACCGACTTGAGTGGTGCGCAGATACGACGGTTAGGCACCGTCAAGGCGGGCACAGTCCGTTAACAAGAAGCACCTTGCTTCGGATCATCGTCGCCTCGAGCAAGTTGAATGCCGGTCACAACTACCTTGGAACGTAGGTATGCGCGTTCGGGCTAAGGAATCTACGCAATAAAAGCGCTATTCAGCCATTGCTCAACATTAAAAAATAAGGCATCCACATCCTACCCGTTCTCGCATCCGAAACCTTGTCCAACTTGCCACAGCTCAGCCCCTAAGCCGCTATGTAATGCTAAGCAGTACAGATAAGCTTCCGCATCACCTTCTCTTCCTTCTAGCCAATAAGAGCGCCTCTCGGGCCCTTCTCGAGTCGTCGGCGCCCATTCTGGGTGTATCCCCATCACGGACCCACAACTCCGCTTACGCGGCAGGAGTGTGTCATTAGTGTTGACATAAGCCCTCGTCAGCGCCCTTCTCGACAAGGAGGTGAAATGGCACTCGGGATAGGCTGCTACGATCAGTTGCGATCGCGCGCTTGTGTCATCGGCGAGTCGGCGAAGGAGGTGGCTTATGAATCGAGAGGGTTCTGAGCTTCTTAAGAGGCAGGGTCATCGAAGGAGGAGAGGCCCAGTAGGGGGAAGTGTTTGAGGACAACGCGAAGGAAGGAGGAAGCTCCTTCGGTGCCTTGATCCCATTATGCCTGATGGTGAGAGTAGGTGAGAGTTCCGATCCAAGCGCAATTCAGAAGATGTTTGGATATCTGTGTCCAGGAGCCTATTAGTGAGGTCATGATTAATCGCATAATGCGCCACACTACCGTTACGCACACTGCCAATCAATGCATAGGTATGTCGTGCAAGACAGAAGAGATCGAGAACGATCAGCAAGCCAAGCAACGTTGACAACACGAGCGGGCGATCATGATCACGATCGATCGCAACCCTGACTCCCCTATTTCGGTGGCGGCTGCCTTAGAAGATTCATACATAGGCGCCTAGGCGCATACTCATGAAGAACTCAGAGGGTAGGGGCCGTCGGGTCGCAAGCGTGAGTGGCCTAGAAGACGCCACAGAGTTTCAAGGCGAATATCGCATCGCTCAGGGTACCCAATTTTTTTCGAGGACAAGAATCTTTACTGACGGAGCTATGAGGTTTGCCTCGATGGCCTGGCAAGAGAGGGGCGAAGAGGGCAAGGACATCAAGTGCTTGACAGGTTCCTGTCCTTGCTCGCCCTCAGAGCCAGAGCACTTAGTTGCGCAACGGCGATCAAGGGATCCAAGATGAGAAATGATTCATCCTTGCGTCTGGTATTCCTGAAAACCCCAATGAGTTTGCCAATGATGGTACAATCAATACATCCACTGTTCACGACGATGAGATGGAATGACAATTTGAGAACAAAGTTCCACGTACCACGCTAGAATACATCTCCAAGAACAGCCCTAACCTCCTCCAGCACCAGCTCGTTCCTTTCTCCCGACGTTTCCCTCGCCTCCAAACCGAGACCCGTCAGCTCCCACAAATCCTCCGGCAGCTCCGTATATCCCTCAACAGGCTCCTTGAGCAGCCTGTGCGTCTTGTCGAATCCGTATACACTGGTCTCCACATACTCTGCCTCGTAACCGTCGGGTAATGGTGAAGTCGCCAAGATGGACTTGGGCGACAGGATGCGCTCGATGGGTTGGCTGGTTCTATCCTGCTTTACCCGCCACTGATTCCTGAATCCACCGGTCTTGGGTAGACTCTTCACGCTCTCCGCGAGCGAGAGAATGCCCTCGTAATCATCCTTCTTGAGTGTATAGGCAGATCCTTTGGCGTCGACGGCAACGCCAGGGGCGAAGAAGGCCAATGTGAAACCCTCCGGGTCAGCAGGAGCGTTGCGAAGGACCGCAAGCTTGAGAGCAGAGCGGGTTGGCTCAAACTCCGGAAGAGCCCCTGCTCTTGCGAGGTACCCCGAGTACGGCGACGACCACTGAACTTGTGTCGAAGGCATGCCGGAGATGAAGTGCCTATAGCTAAAGTTGGAGGGTGCGAGGAGATTGTAGAGCGAGAGTGTGGCGACGCCAACGAGGGCGAAGATCAAGATGGTGGGTGGTGGCATGAAATAGACGTGGCTGGGGCTGCGCTGCAGATAAGAGGCTGGTCTTATGTAGTGTAGTCCATATGATACTAGTAGCGCATGCTTCGCTCCTTGTTCAATGTGGTCGCCTGCCGTTCTGGGCAAGTCCTGGGTTCTGGCAACAGTCAGAAGCATGGCTTGAGCATGGAGGCGATACGCAGGTTAACCTTCAAGGCAAAAAAATTAGACATACCTGGGCACAGCAGCTAGTCGAAGCCGTTCGCAATCAGACGGTGAGTGCACGAGCTGGAGTGTGGTGGGGATTTACGACAAAACCGCCAAATTCCGAACACTGTCTGTTTGTTCCAGAGGCCATCAGCGTGCCCAACCAATCACGACGTTTGGTCGAATCTTTTTCGTGGTTCGGAGTCAACAACGGTCAGCGAGATGCTACGGACCATGTAAGTAACGGTCTTTCATATGTGTGAACGTCTTTTACTCCATATTTCAGAAAACCCAAGAATGCTCGGTCAAAAAGAGTGCTGGACGCACGCCAACCGAAAGAGATCGAGGACGCCCGGACAGTGGTCTTTGTGAAAGGGACACATACGGGTGAGGTCCTGAAGTCTGTCTTCACAGAATTGGTGAGTTTGACGCAATCATATACGTTCTCAAGGCGGCTTATCCCTCCTGGTCTAGATGTCGCTGAAGCGTCCCGATGCAATCGCCTTCAACAAAAAGAACGAAGTTCACCCATTCGATGCGACCTCCTCCTCTGCAACGTCGCTGGAGTTCTGGTCCGCTAAAAACGACGCCTCTATGTTTGTCATCGGACAGACATCGAAGAAGAGACCTAACAACATGACCTTCGTCCGGATGTTCGATGGAAAGGTGCTCGATATGACAGAAGTCGGCGTGGAAAGCTGGAAGGGAATGACAGAATTCAAAGTGCGTCGATCATCCCACTCACCCGTTTCTCTCGCCCACCCCGCATCGTCAGACACCGAAATCAACGCCGGGCCACAAACCGTTAATGCACTTCGCATCAGAACTGTTCGACACCCACCCTCGGATGGTTCAACTAAAATCCATGCTTATCGATCTCTTCAACGGTGAGGAGATTGAATCAATATGTCTCCCCGGTATCGAGCATGTCATTAGCGTATCCTGCGCTCCCACCCCTGCCTCTCTCAATAATGCGACCTCTGCCGCCTTCACGGGCCTGCCCACGCCTTCCAAAGATGACGCTTCCTCTCTCCCCAAAGTTCACCTCCGAACATACACTATCAAACTAAAATCCTCCGGCACACGGATACCCCACGTCGAGCTCGTGCCGATGGGTCCATCGTTGGACCTTGTCCTACGGCGACACCAGCCCGCGGACCCGGAGCTGTGGAAGCAGGCGATGAAGCGGCCTAAGTTGAAGAAGACGGAGGTGGAGAAGGGGCTGGGCAAGAAGAAGAAGAACATGGAGGTGGACGACATGGGCGACTTGAGGGGACAGATCCATGTGGGCAAGCAGGACTTGAGCAAGCTACAGACGAGGAAGATGAAGGGGCTGAAGGCGGGTGTGGACGAGGTGCAGGTGGATGGTGGTTCGGAGGATCCGGATGGGTTTGGGGATGGGGCGAGGAAGAAGAGAAAACAGATGTAATCCACCTTCAATCCTTTCGATATGGTTCAATGCGACTTTCCTGTCTTCATTGACGACCGTTTAAGCCATGTTTAAAGTTGGCTCAAGGCCATGTACTTTCGAACCACGGCGTATGTCGGGCCGAAAGTCTACGCGATCTCATATCACCTTCGATGCTTTTGTCGAATCTCGGCAGTGCCCCTTGGTACAATTCTTCATCAGTCGTCTATTGAACGGGTGTGGCTGTTGCCGACTATGAACTGGAAAGCGTTCAGGTTGCCATTCTCGCTTTCCTCGTTTTCTAATGAGGTTGAATGTCGGTGTCCTACATTCAGGCCGGTGCACGTCTTATGCCTTGAAATCCATTGAAATTTCTCTCATTTCCTACTTATCCTTCAGAGGATTCGCTGATGGTGACCAGAGGTTCGAAGTCCAATCTCATTGGGTGGGATGCTTATCAATTTCCTGGAGCTCACTCTTCTAAATTCTCAAGGTGGGTCACATCTCCCAGTCAACATACAATCTCATCGTCATCCTTAGAAACACCTAACCATTTTGACCTTCGTCCGGCGATAGAAGTCGGCCAAGCTTAGCAGGGAAGTCAAATGAACAGACATCGCGAAATCTAGCGGTGATTCTCCCCCGAAAACCAATAGAAATTTATCACTCTTTATTTCGAAATGAAGATTCTCAAATTGCGCAACCTGACCGAGGTAAGCATGTTATTCGCATCGCCATGACTAGCGAGAAGCGTCCCACTCTCGAAGCAACAGAAAGATCATGTTGAGCGCTAACCACGTTTTGGAGAAGTGTTTCACCATCTCTCGAAGCTCACTGTTTGTCCTTGGTTTTCGAAACCGCATAATCGGTGGCGTTGGAGCGGAGACCATCACGCTTCGCTCAGCCCGAGCTCGCAGGCGCCTGCTTCCTCGACTTGGCGTTTTTGCGTCGATCACCTCTGGAAAAGGCAGCTATACCTAGCTTTTGGGTCTGGTTCAACAAGCGCCCGTAGCCAACTGCTTTAGGAAGCCCCTTGTTGTCTCCATACGTCTAGAACGCGACCAGACCAGGGACAATCCGAACCAATCGTCTCTTACAAAGTGTTGCAATTCGTATCACACGACCATTTGAGCACCGAGGTGGAAGGAATCCCACACATTTACTTCCATCTAGTCTCCTTTTGTCGAGAAGTGTGGCGACTGTCAGTTGTTGCTGAGCCAATGGAAGGCTTTCCCCGCAACGAGCCGACAAACGTTCGTCGAATATCTTTTCTTGGCGCCCGCTTCGGTGCGGGCCGAGGGCTCACACTCTGGTTGAGTCGACCTCAAATGTGTGGATTACAGGCTTGTTATTTTTGTTCTTACCAACTAATGGTTCTCATGACCCCGGAGTGGCTCAGAGTTGAGCAAAATGTGCTACTGGGAAGGTGAATCGGCGAGACCGGTGCATCGAGTGTAGCGGAAGAAGTATACGCCAAGAAGAGCGGACCACATGTCGACCCTGATCACGATAACAAAGCCCCCAGCCGATCTAGAAAATTGAAGAAGGAAAACTGACCTCACATTTAAGTGCACACGACCTCCAATTCCTGCTCTCTCCATCCCCACTCCCCCTCATCCCTCGAGGAAGAGTCAGCGATAGAGTCATAGAGGAGCTCAAAAGTTATTTCTGCCCCGCCAGAGCCACCTGCTGTCTTTGATAGCAAGCACTCGTTTGCTCATACCCCTCCCTATACCACCCCACCACCGACTACGCCCAGGAAGACGAAGGAGACAATGACTCCACCGGCCGAGCTCGCCAAGTCGAACCCCAAGTCTGTCACCGAATCGGTCAGGAATCCTACGGCGCTTGAAGAGGTAGATGGCGACAATGGACGGCCAGCGTTCATGCTCACGAAGACAGAGATCAAGCTGTTGGGCATTGCGGGAGTGAGTATCTCCTCGTTTATCGTCTGCTGGACGTAGCCCGACACATTTGCTGACGAGATCGTTTGAGTAGATTGGGTTCTTCCTTGACGGTGGGTCTTGGTGATCCGTTAATCTTACCCCTGCTTATCACCTCGTTATAGCCTACGACTTGTTCATTATTAACGTGAGTACTGTCCCCGCCTCGGTAACGGAATATGTCGCTGACCTGTTTTATCTCTGCTAGCCGGTGTCGACGATGCTACAATATCGCCTCTATGGAGGGAGTCATCTCCCCACGAACCTCGAGGGGTTCATGAAGGCCGGAGCCAACATCGGCAGTGTCCTCGGGCAATTCGCCTTCGGTCGGTAGCTTTCCCTGATACCTATAATCGTCTGAGCACTCACCATTTACCCAGGGTACGCCGCCGACGCTTTCGGTCGCAAAGCCGTCTACGGAAAGGAGCTCATGCTGATCATCATCGCGACCATCCTCTCCCTCACTGTCCCCACCGGTTCCCTTTCCCCCGATAACTGCCTTATCTATCTCGCCGTCTTCCGTATCCTCCTCGGCATTGGCGTGGGTGGTGACTACCCCATGTCCGCATCGATCACGACGGATCGCGCTAACCTCCGGAAACGGGGCACGATGCTCTCGTACATCTTCAGCAACCAGGGGTGGGGTAGCTTCGTCGGCAGCTTAGCGACGGTACTTGTGCTCCTCGCGTACAAGAAGACCATGGAGGCGGGGAACGTCAGTCGCGTCGACGGTGGTGAGTATTTCCTATTTGTTCCCAGAAGCGTTCTTGGCTGACTAAACTTGACGCACAGTGTGGCGCATCCTGATCGGCATCTCCCTCGTGCCGGCGTTCGGCACGCTCTATCAGCGCCTGACCCTTCCCGAGTCGACGCGCTTCAAGAACTCGCAAAAGCACCACCATCACGATGCCGAGGCGCAAAATGACATCGACGATTTGAAGAAGGCTCAACGCGCGGCGGAGGACTCCAAGGCCGGCATCACTTCTGAGAAGCGGGCGCGGGATGAAGACAAGAAGAGCGTCGACTGCGACAGTGCCGAAGTCGAGGAGAGCGAGAGCAGTGATGGCCCGAGCATCGACGACCCCACTGCTGAGCCAGAGACATTGGTCAAGAAGAAGGCGCATTTCAAAGGTGGGCTGCACTTGTCATTCTGTTGTCGACGGCTAGCTAACTCGCTAGCAGAATTCGTCCAGTACTTCTCCGAGTGGGAGCACGCCAAGATGCTCATCGGGACGTGCATGTGCTGGTTCCTCCTTGATGTGGCGTGAGTTCTCTGTCTGCTTTTACTTCAACCGCCGCTCATTCGAAACAGTTTCTACGGCATTAATCTAAACCAGAACGTGGTCCTCCAACAAATCGGGTACGATGGAACGGATGGTTCTCCGTGGGAGAGACTCTTCAAGGTCTCTACGGGAAACATGATTATCACCGCCCTCGGTTTCGTGCCTGGGTACTATGCCACAATTTTGACGATTGAAATACTGGGGAGGAAGTTCATCCAGCTCCAGGGATTCTTGGCCGCAGCTCTTTTCTGTGAGCACTATTACCACCTCCAACGGTCTGTCGGCTGGTTCCTGATATTAGAAAATTTCCAGTGGCCATCCTTGCCTCCAAGTTTCACGATTTGAACAAGGCTTCCTTCATCGTGTGCTTCGCCTTCCTTCAATTCTTCTTCAATTTCGGCGCAAACTCGTTCGTCCTTTCCCTCCATTCGTTCCATCCTCTCCTAACACTTTATTGTACAGGACGACGTACTGCTACCCCGCAGAAGTCTTCCCCACCCGCTTCCGAGCTTTCGCTCATGGTATTTCGGCGGCGGCTGGTAAGGCAGGCGCTATCATCTCCGCCCTGGCGTTCAACACCCTCAGCAAGAAGATCGGCACACCGGCTGTTCTCTGGAGTACGTCTTCTTCTACCTCATCATCGATGTGGTTCTCACAAGTATATGCTAGTCTTCTTCGCATGTTGCATCGGCGGGGCATTCTTCACTCTCCTCCTGCCTGAGGTTAAGGGACGTGACCCTGATCTCATCCTCATGGAAGAAATCAAGGCGAGGCGAGAGAAGCTCTCTGCTGAAGCCAAATGCACTCAAGGTGCTTAGCTGATGATGATTTCGAACGGGGAAAAATGGTAACGAGAGCAGGCAAATGAGCTTCAATGTACTTTTACGCAAAATCGCAACGATCGTTTACGATTACGGACTACCTGTATTTAGCTCGCACACCCTGGTATATTTGGCTGATGAAATTTCACGGAAATATTTATCCAACAATCTTCGAGGTTCCCTATAAAATAATTTTTTTTAAGTATGTGGTTTCGGTGGACTTCGTGGCACAAATTGTTAATGTACATGTCAGGTGCCAGTAAGGTAGCATGAATGACCTCTCCTCTAGCCTCCTCTAGCAATCTGAACTCTCGGATAATCTCTGCTCTTATGTTTGTGAATCCCCGAGGATCTTGCTGGTCAACGGCTGGCGTTCGACCATTTGAGGGTGATTTGCAAATTCGACCTTCTAGCCTTGCTCTGCCGCTCATAATTACCGTGAGAATCTCGGGTCAGACTCCGTCAGGCTGTCCGACCAAGTCCAGCAGGGCTCCTTTTAGACATTTAGGCGCTTCCTTCTCTCGAGGTTTCCAAGCCCAAATTAACTCTTGGCGTCAAAATCAACGATATCCACCATGGAGCTTGCAATCCTGGTCATCCTACGCTAGCAGGCACGCCGATGGCGATGTGACGAGGGAAGAAAAACCGAGGAATTAGCCAGCAGGATCTGCATGACAAGGCGAGTTTACTTGTCCGATTATCGTCGATCGACTTTTTGGAAACAACGGGTTTACACATCCGTGCGGTGCAGAGAACGTGGACGGGATCCCGTGAGCGCGTCATAAGCCGTTATAGTATCTGCAACTGTCTGCCTTGTGTACCCGTGAACAGGATCTTCCGAAGTGGACCCATCGCACGCGTTTTGGACGCACTCCCGCTTCTTGTCCAGTCCTATACCAGACTTCACTCGCAATTCGAGGTGGATGCGTTCCGTAAAGTCGTACAGCTCGCGTATGCCACAGGGGGCCGCCTCATCCGGACTTTATCCGTCGCGTTTCTTCAGAGTCTTGGTCTGGAGGCAGTATAAAATGCAGGGTTTTAGAAGCGATTTCCTCACCAGCTCTTTCGAGTTTGTTCGAAAATGTTCCCAAAAGCCTCTCTTGTCGCCCTCACCTTCGCCGCTCTCGCCTGGGGCCAAGGCGTCGGCACCTACCAGGCAGAGAACCACCCCCAACTCCCCTTCCAGCGTTGCACGACCTCTGGTGGCTGCACCACTGTCTCCACCGGCCAGGTCGTTCTCGACTCGAACTGGCGTTGGGTCCATCGCAGTGACGGATACACCAACTGCTACACCGGCAACGCATGGAACGCAGAGGCCTGCCCCAACGGTGCCACCTGCGCGACCAACTGCGTCCTCGACGGGGCCGACTATTCAGCCACATATGGTATCACAACTAGCGGCAACGCCCTCACCCTTAAGTTCGTCACCAACAACTCGAACGGCAAGAACGTCGGCTCGCGTGTCTACCTGATGAGCAGCGACACCCGATACGAGATGTTCAAATTCATCAACCAAGAGTTCACCTTCGACGTCGACGTTTCCAACCTCCCCTGCGGCCTTAACGGCGCCCTCTACTTCTCGGAGATGGACGCAGATGGAGGCATGTCCAGGTTCTCATCCAACAAGGCCGGTGCCAAGTACGGAACCGGCTACTGCGACTCCCAGTGCCCCAAGGACATCAAGTTCATCAACGGCGAGGTATAGTTTCCCTCTTTTTCCCAACGGCAAAGGCTGACAGGTCTCCTTTCTTACTTGAAGGGCAACGTACTCAACTGGACTCCCTCAGCGACAGATCCCAACGGTGGAACCGGGAGCTACGGAACGTGTTGCAACGAAATGGACGTCTGGGAGGCCAACTCTATTTCCACCGCCTTTACACCTCACCCTTGCACAGTCCAAGGCCAGTATCGCTGCTCCGGAACGGAGTGCAACACCCCCACCGAGCGCTACAACGGCGTCTGCGATCCGGACGGCTGCGACTTCAACTCATATCGCATAGGCGACACCTCCTTCTACGGCCCGGGCAAGACCGTCGACACCACAAGGAAGTTCACCGTCGTGACCCAGTTCATCTCCTCCGACGGGACGGCTAACGGGCAGCTTAAGGAGATTCGCCGTATCTACGTACAGGACGGCCGCGTCATCCAGAACTCCAAGGTCAACATCCCCGGCATGACCGCGTACGACTCAATCTCCCAGGAGTTCTGTACGGCACAGAAGAGCACCTTCGGCGATACCAACAGCTTCCAGACGAAGGGCGGCATGAACGGAATGGAATCGGGCGTCAACAGGAACGGCATGGTCCTCGCGCTCTCCATCTGGGATGACCACTACGCCCACATGCTATGGCTCGATTCGACCTACCCCGTCGACTCCACGAAGCCCGGTGCGGCCCGTGGAACATGCCCAACATCGGGAGGGGACCCAAAGGACGTCGAGGCCAACAGCCCCAACGCCTCAGTCACCTACTCCAACATCAAGTTCGGTGACATCGGATCGACGTTCTCTGGCTCCACCGGCGGTGGCGGCACCAACCCGCCCACCACCGTTACGAACCAACCGCCTACGACCACGACCACGGCGCCAGGTGAGACCCAGACAAAGTATGGTCAATGGTATGTTCCCTGGTTCTTTTATTCATCATCGAACCCTTCCTCACTCTTCTCGTTTAGCGGTGGAACTGGCTGGACGGGCCCTACCGCCTGCGCGGCTGGCAGCACTTGCACTTTCAGCAACCAGTGGTACAGCCAATGCCTCTGACCGGTCGACAATACCTTTCTGCTGTTTTTATGTAAAAGTCTTCAGTAAAACTTGTATATATAGTGTCCCCATTTCCTACTAGCAGCAATTCTGAATCGCACATCTTGATTAACGAGATGCAAGTAGCTGATATGCCCCGAGTGCATGAATCGACTGCTTACTACAAAAAACCAGACCGTCTTATCCACTAGTCATCATCAATCCATGTGAGATAGTAGTGAATCTACACGGATTGAAGGCACTTAGAGGCATCTGCACTCGGTACATGAGCGTGTATCTTGCTTTCTTTACATAAAAGGCCTGCAGATTCGAGATGTTGAATACAGAGGTTCTGATATCTGTTTTTGGACCAGGAGAACCCGAGAGAACCGAAATTCAATCGGAATTCGTTCCCAAGGCCGTCTATGATATCGCACTTCAGCTCTGCTCTGCATTTGTTGAATCCTGGTACGAGGAAGGACATCTCGTCAGACGGCAACATTGTGCGAGTATCAGAAGAACTTGAAGAGACTGCGAAATCAGACCAACGACCGTGAGCTCGTAGTTGGTAGGCACTTCGTCATGTATCAGAGCCAATATAATCGTTCATCGATCACCTTTTTGTCCTTCATCCGATGCGCGTTGAGTTCAGTGGGCGCCGTTGATACTCAATCTATAAGCCTAAGTGAGGTCCGGTGTCACTCTTGTTTGTAGAGCAGAAGTCAGACCTTGGGCCAACAGTGGGCGGTGATTTCTCAGAGCTCAGAGCCTGCCCACAGTTGTCCGAAATAGCATGTTAAATTTCAGTGGGTCCTAGGCCAGTTATAAGAAAAATGGTTCAAGGAGCCCACTCTTCCAAGAATACCTGTCATTCTAGATGGCCAATTGCAGCATCAGCCGTCTAATCAACCTGACTCGTAAGTAGAACGAACCTATTTCCCAGTCGTCCAGACGCTGAGGTCTTTTGTATTCGCAGCAATCTCCCTAGACGCACTCGAAGGCATCTGCGCTCGCGCATTTCCCAATGGTATACTCTCCCCCTACCTCCTTGCCAAACACTGGCGCTAACCTCTGATCAGACCCTGCCGCTCTCCTCCTTACAGGCGGCGATCCGTCTCTGATTGGGCCCCAGTTCCGCGCAATCATCGCAGCAGGACACCTCGCTGGGGAGGTCTACATCGCAAGCGCGAAGCTCTCAAGCTCGGACGCTCACGCAGAGAAAGATGTGCCGGTTGCGGTTGCGGTGTGGTTCCCACCTAGAACGAGCCTGTGGTCGACGTAGGTCTCCCTAGACGTCGGCCAAAATGTGATGGAGGTAACGAACAAATTCTAGGGAAGAACAGCGTCAGCTCGGCTTCTACGACTTCGTCTCGAAGATCGAACCTGTGACTCGAGAATGGTTGGAAACTACTGTTCGTCCTCCTAACCCTCCCGAAATCGTCTCGTGACGGGGAATGTCCGAGAAGTACAAGGAAGAGATCGGCAAGTTCTTCAACGATAGCATCAGTCCAAATGTACGCCTTTGACATCGTGATTTGGGATCTAGGATCTCATCGTTGTTGCAGACGGACGTCAGCTCCTGGGTGTGCAACGCCATTGCGATCGACCCAGCGTACCAGAGGCAAGGAATTGGTTCGGCTCTCATCCAAGATATGGTTCAGAAGGTATGTTGTTCCAGTCGATCTTGCTGGGGAGAGAATTAATAAAGGACTCGGGATACGATTTCCAGAGAGGAGGTACTCGTTCATACCTTGCCCTCTGCGCAACGAATGAAAAAAACGTAAGCATTTCATTCTCCTGGTCCAATGAACGTGCGTTCTGAAACCAAGCAGGCCGAGTGGTACAAAAATCGCAGGTTTTCTCTCAAGGGGCATATCCCAAAGTTCACTGGGCCAACAGGATCTGTTCCTGTCTACGCATTGGGCACGAGCGTAGAGTAGACGAGACGAGAGGCTTCGTGAGGTTTCCTGTCAAGCAGGATACGCCAAGGGGTCGATCAGCAAACAATCTAGAATCTGGATAGGCACGATACTAGGAATACATTGATCTTGATGGCTTTCGACACACCTCACACCCTCCACTCAGCAAGCGGCAACGAGTTCGCATACGTCTCGCCCATGAGACTATCCATGTACCGATTCCCAGCGACCTCAGCCTCCTCTACCAGCTTGCGGAGATGCTTGACATCCTCCGGCGACAAGACGACTTCACTGGCCTTCGTGTTCTCTTCGAGGCGGTCGATGGAACGGCTGCCAGGGATGACAGCCCCTGATAGTACGGATATTTAGCATCGAAAGTGGGGACCAAGGAGAGGGGATAATTACAGTCGGGATGTTCGGCAAGGATCCAAGCAAGAGTAACTTGGGATGGGGTGCAGCCGATCCTGTCGGCGACGGCCTTAAGCTTGTCGACGATGAGGAGGTTCTTGTGGAAGTTCTCCTCTGAGAAACGGGGCAGCCAGAGACGCCCGTCTTGGGGGTCCAAGTCAGCTCGAGACCGGTACCTGTATGCACCATCATGAACCTTCTGTGTAACGGTCTGCTAAGGAGGCTGGACATACCTTCCACTGACCAACCCTCTTCCCAATGGACTGTATGCGACCAAACTGACACCAAGCTCCTTGCACGCGTCCGCCATCCCATTCTTCTCCACATCCAACGTGAACGGGCTATACTCCAACTGCACCGCAATGACCTTCTCCCCCAGCCCTTTCACCTTCTTCGCGCGTTTCAATGTGTCAACACTACACTCCGAGAGCCCAAGCCAGCGGACCTTCCCGCTCTCGACTGCTGGCCTCAACGACTCGAGGACGACCTCAATGGGCACCTTTGGGTCAACGCGGTGCTGGTAGTAGAGGTCGATGTAATCCGTCTGGAGCGCGGCGAGCGAGGCTTCGAGGGCTTGCGGGACGTATGCTGGGTCGGAGCAGGCACCGGAGAAGGTGTTCTCGGTGGGGAGGCGGCAGTAGCCGTATTTCGTGCAGAGGAAGATGTTCTTGCGCTGGTCGGAGTTATGGGCGAGCCAATTCCCAATCTTGTTCTGGGCTGAAGGAAAACAAAAGCATTGATATTAAAACGTGAAGGTCAAATGATGCTTGGAAGGACGTACAATCGCCATACACATCGGATGTGTCCCAGAACCTCGCACCAACTTTTACGGCATGGGTCAAGAGCGTGTCTACTTCTTCTTGGGTAGACGGAGCCCCATAGTGAGCTCCGATGGCTATTGAATCGATATAGTTCAGCATCGCCTCGCCTCATGGTACAAAGAGACCAACCCATTAGACCCAAGCCGACTGGCGTAACAGCAGGTCCATTTTTACCGAGTGTACGAAGAGGTGCAGGTGCCATTCTGGATCGCGACGAAGAGAGGCGGGCGGAGACATTCTGCGAGGTTTATATAGACAGCTGGTCCCAGCGACGGGTACGGTCATAGTAGACTGAGTGATACCCTGCTGGGTGAAAATGATTGGTTGGTTGTTGTCGGGGGGCCAATCGTGTTTTTACGCAGTTCTATTCCCGATTTAGATGAAATTACTTCATCCTTAATGGGCGGCCCGGAAGGCCCGAACTTGAAATCCTCTTAGTCCACGGTTCGCGGTGCTGGAGGAGTCGACACGTCACACAGCCTTCCTTCACAGGAGGCTTCCAGGTATATTCTTGAGAATGACTGGAAAACACAGAGTTGTTGAGATGTCGAGCAATCGCCCAGACCGAGCTTGAGCGCTAGTTTTTTCGTGTGGCTGTGTTCCCATTGCACAAGACCCTATTCGTCGTACTCGTCATTATGACGGTACTCAATGTAGTCCGACATATTATCCTCCTTATGTATTATTAAAAACCATGCGCATTCTTAAGTTCCAATTACCAGCGTGCAGTTCAGACTCTCCACCTATTTAACTTCTTTGCCAGGAAACATCGCGCAGCAAGGAACAATATTCCTGCAATTACGACGCAGCTCTGAAATTCCAGCCACCGTCAATTAAAGAGTACGAGATAGTTGGAAGTTGGAAGGCTTACCCCACAGAACGCGATAGGATGGATCCAGTAGTAGTGTTTCGTCAAGAGGGCACCGGCGATCGGTGCGGCTACACAAGGAGAGAAATCAATTTAGGGCAGCGAGAAGGTAGGAAGCGCCTTGCCTAAAAGACCGAAAAGACCTGTTACAGATATGAGTACTTATATCTTAGCCATCGCCTTTCTGAAACTTGAGAGCGCGCACCTCCAACACCGAACACAACCCCAAGCATCGCACCGACCTCACTAGAGTCCTCCGCGAGCTGCGCAAACATCGCAGGGGTAAGCGCGATCGCCGCCCCGGAGAAGAACCCAAATAGAAGTGCGAATGCCACAACTGGGGCAATTCCTATGCCAGACGACACCGCCGGCGCCATGCAGAACAGAACGGCTCCCATGGCGAGAATCATCGCTGAGCCGAGGTTGAACAGTCCTACGTGTGGTGCCAGAGCACCGGGGATGGTACGTCCGGCGATGCTCGCTGCATTGATAATGGACAACTGTGCACATGTGCGTGAGCAGTGAAGCAATAAAGGTGGAAAGAGGAGAAAGAACACACTGCGTAGAACGCGAACGTCGGATCGATGCCATGCGTGATCGCATCGAGCTGGAGGTAGAACACGGGGAAGAATGTCCCGGAGAAGGAAAACACCGACCTGCAGGTAAAGGGGAAAGTAGTCTCGAAGGTCAGGAAAGTTAACTTCAAAGCGTTAAAATGAAAGGTCATCAAAGGCTCCGGAGCCAGAACGCGAGGCTGTCGAATGAAGACTATAAATGAAAATAGCTTACGCGAAAACTGAGATAGCGTAGGCCGGTTCGCGAAGCCAGCGCAGCACAGGGAACCGATCCGACCAGTTCCTGGGCTGTGTTTCATCTCCCTCACTGGATTTGGGTGGGCCTCCGGGGCTGAATCGAGGGTTCGGTTTCATGACCGCATAAGCAATGACAAGAAGGAGGATGTTAAGCGCAGCGCTGATTCGAATTCCGGTGTGGAACCCCACATGAGGCGAGTTGAATAGTTTGTTGAGCATTATTGGGTGTAGGACGGCGCCTGAAGTGAAGGAAGTCGGATACATGCGCACTAGTGGACGAGAGACGATAGGACGAACCTAGGGCGGACCCGGAAGAAACGATCCCGACGGCTAGCGCACGTCTTCGTTCGAAGTAGTGTCCTACAACGCTCAGGGCTGCCAGAGAGAGGCTATCAGTCTAAAAAAAGATGCGATTGGAGTGACTCACAGGGAATGTAAGAGAGTCCACACGACAGTCCGAAAGCGACCCCGTTCGTCAGAAAGACCTAGGACGACATCAATTAATTGCGATAGTCGTAAGTCTGATGGAATAGGCTAACGTACCTGATAATACGATCCGGGACGCGATAAAGACAGGGAAAAGACTACAGCCACGACGAGGTGAACCTCAATGTTATCACGGAACAGGAAGACTGACGCGCGATAGCATGGAGGAGGATGCTTCCTATTATGAGAGATCTGCTGTAGACGAGAATCCACGATCAATTCGCTTTTGCAGCATGAGGATTGGCATAGGTAGGAGAACTCACAAATGCCCTCTATCGAAGATCCGCCCCGTGAAGACTCCCAAGAAAAAGTTGAGAAAGATTTGGACACCACCGATCCATCTGAGAAAATGAACATTGTCGATGAGATTCAAGAAGAACGAGTTCAGCATGAGCATGCACACCCGATATCACTGGGGGAATAGTTACTGAGGTAATCGCGGACGTAGAAGTCCTGGTATACGCCGAACGCATTGATATATCTGCAGAGATGGATCAGACTGCAACGTCGAGAGTAAGCCAAAGGGCGAAAGCCCACCCAAACGATGCATATTGGACGAGAAACCTGGAGAATGTGTCACTTCTCGAGCTCTGAGAGGACGAGTCGTATTAGGCAGATGCTTACGCCCCGAAAATGGTCAGCCAAGCGCGATGGCCACCTTCAGGCAAGCCGGACTCCGAGGGGGACAAGGCACTCGAGTTCTGAGGCCGACGACCTATACTTGCATCGGGTTCAACTTCCACACATACGTGAGCTCCCTTCTTCTCCTCCATTTCGGTTCCATCGCCACAACCATCGCCGACGCCGACGCCGACGCCGACCGTCGATACCGTGCCATGGCTCTCAAGTTGCGAGCTTGTAACGAGATCAATCACTGTCAGACGGTCCGACATTGTCTCCAGCAAGACCAGTTCCAGTATCGAATTGAAGGGTGAGCGCCAGGGAGAAGTAGATGAACGCGGGAGGACCAAAAGACGTCATGGCGCTATCCAGGCTATTATATGCTCTAATCGTCCCGCGGATCCCGAGTAGAAGAACGACTGACAACAGGATCAGGCGGGTCGGCGTTGACGATGGAGCGATGATGACGCTCTGAGTACAATCCACTTCATGCGTCATGGTCAGACCTGTCTGCCAGAACTTGTGACAGTGAACTGGGGACGACAGGTCCTTAATCGTGAAAAATGTGTACACTGGCATGAAAGACGTCCACCGGCCAGGAAATGATAATGATGTCCACAGAGAAGGATTTCCGATGAAATGAAAACCTAGGCTTGCAGGAAATGTCGACCTCGAGTCTCGAAGTAAATCAGGAGGTGAGTTGTGCGCACGGCCCTGAGATAGAACATGGAGCACCATTTTGTACTCGCGAAAGGACAGGTTCCGGAAGTGCTGTAGCAGCGGAAGGACGGTTAGACGGGAATGTGCTGGCGGTTAGCGCTTTAGCATCTAGTAAGGCAACCGTGAGAAAATCAACTTGCTTCTTACCCTCATTGCCTTACCACTCTCCTGCGTTATCCTACCCAGCAGGCCTGTTATCGGGATTATGGATCTACCGCTCGGCGTATATATCCATCCGCCCGACTTTTTTACAGTCGCCGGTCTACTATTACCTATGCTATGGCTTTTCTTACCTAATCTAAGTTCCGGGATGAGGCGCCAAAGGATAAGATAATGGAGTGATAAGTCATCGCCCTCTAATGTACACAAATGTACACACGTATAAAAAATCCTTATCTCTCATCCTCGTAGGTGCTCGTCGCCAAGAGCCTCTCGTTTCAGCCCGCTCCTCGCTTTTTTCGTTTCTCCCTCCCACCTACTCCCTAGTGTTTGGTACAGCCACTTGTCATCCGGCTCGGACAGCCTCTGGTTTTCCAAGCGCTCAGGTCAGCTGGCGGCTGGTTTGTCCCTCCAGCGCAGCGCGCCGCAACGTCAACTCGCATCGCGTCGCGTCGCGCTCAAAGGCGCTTCTTAGGGATCATGTGATTCCAAATTTGAATCACACCCAAGCCGCCGCCAGCGACCTCCGCACCCCCAAGCTATTCGTACCCCACGAATAGCTTGTGTTCTTCTTCCATCATTCACACTCTATAAAAATATAAAACCTTTCTCCAACACTCCAACGAAATAATCTTATGATCTTGCCCACCTACTGACCTCTCCACCCCTATGGCTCATACACGACGGTGGCTCCGAGAGGTGTGGACGTGCGCGATACTGACAGGCAATGATAATAGACATCAAATTCTCGGCGTCTGCTTTCTCGTGGAACAAGGGGACGCAGTCATTCATAGTTGATAGCCCCCCGACGGTCAGACGGATGTCTTTCTCGGCTATGTTGTTCGGTGACTCGACGACTGGAAAGGAAATGCACCCATATCGGGTCGACAGTGAACAATACAAGAGGGCCTCGGACTTGAACCAGCGAGGCGCGCACATTTACTCCTTTATGGATGATATGCTCTCAAGAGACGGATTGCAGTGCGTCGGTAAGTCCTTTCCCTAGATGAGGATGCAAAATTTTGATCTTCTACATGGAGCTTTTCACGCAGAACACGCCACCAAATCAACGCCTCAAAGAAGGATTTAAACAACAATTAACGAATGGCTTTATTTCTATGCACGATCAACATTACATTTCAGAATTTCGGCTGAGGGTATATTATAATTACGGTACAACGCCGTTCAAGTTCTAGTCCAGAAAGATCATTCATTACTAACGCTCTATTCCAGATGTCTGTCACTGCGCACCTTTCACTGCCAGCACTGAATCTATTTGGCGGCGGTGGGAGCAGCGGTGGGAGTATGACTGTAAAAAGAGTGAGTCATTGAAATGAGTTTCAGAGGCTCCGGGAAGGCACACACGTCCAGATAAAGGTGGTGGTCGATTCGACGAAGAACGGAGACTTGTCGATGATCGTGTGGAAGACCCTTTCTCCGGTGAAGGTCTGAGGCTGAGGCTGATCATCCTGCCTGATGTGCAGCTGAACACAGTCAGAGTCAGCTTCATCAAAGGTCGACCATGATAACGCGAGCATACCGCAGCGGCAGTCATGACCGGAACGGCGACAAAAATGAGCGTCTTGAATTGCATAGTGAGCGAGAGGTGTGGGGTAAAGAAGGTGATGTGGGACTGGTAATGTGGGAGTTGTGGTAGTTGCGGATTATGGGGAAAACTCATCGTTCGTCCTCCAGTGTTTATAGCCTTTGCGGGACCCTTCTATCGAGGCGCCCAAGGTGCGGCGTATCGCTTGGCAACGCGCCTAACTGCGATCATTAGCCCTTTTTAGGCAACGTGGCGCCGTGTCGCGCTCTCACTGCGAGCGCAGCAATTCTGATGCAACTGCGCACGTCCGTGACCTCGGTGTCCTACCCGTCGTATCCCACCGCATCGGCAGCCAAAATGCCTCCCAGGCAGACGATCGTCCCACCTCCGTTGCTACCTACCTACTTGGTGCGCTTCTTCTCGGACAGCATTCCGCGCAACCGCTCGATGGGGGACACTAGAGAGCGTCTCCGACATGGTCCCACGACATAACTTCTTGTGATCGCAGAGGCAAATAGAAGCGACTGCGCCGAGCGAATTGGCGGGGCCGGATGGCCCACCAAGTAACGCGTTTTCACAGAGTCTGAAACTACAGATGCCAGACACCATACCGTAACGATAAGGCAAAAATAGTCTGGCCCGCATAGGCTCTGGAGAATGGGATATAAAAGCTTGGGTGTCCGACGGCTGAACCCCAGAAAAAACATTCCTTCGACTCCTACGTTCTTTATTTCTTTAGCAACCCTCTCGATGCATTCTTCCTTCCTCAACTTCGTAATTCTCTCCGTGATCGCTGGCGCCTACGCAGCCATAGGCCCGACGGCAGAGCTGTATATCGGTAACGCCGACGTCTCCCCCGATGGCTTTACACGAGCGTAAGTCACCAACTTGCTCGTCTTTTCATCTATGTTGATCGTCGTGTATCTCTTTTAGAGGGGTTCTGGCTGGTTCCGATGCGAGCTCTCTTGCGTTCCCTGGACCGGTCATCACAGGAAATAAGGTATTCCAGATTCGTTTCTACACTCGATGGGGCCGCTGACTTTGTGGCAATGAATAGGGCGACACGTTCTCTATCAACGTCGTGGACGCGTTGAGCGACACCACCATGCTAACGAGCACCTCTATCGTTGCGTAAACTCTCCAGTCCACAAGACTGTGATTCTCACACCATGGTCTATTAGCATTGGCACGGTTTCGTCCAAAATGGAAGCAGCTGGGCTGACGGCCCCGTTGGAGTGACCCAATGCCCCATCTCCCCTGGAAATTCGTTCCTCTACGAGTTCTCCTCTGGCGACCAGGCCGGCACATTCTGGTACCACTCGCATGATTGTGAGCCCCTCCATTCTATGTGGCAATTACTGTATGTTGACTTGATCGTTATTAGCGACTCAATACTGTGATGGCCTTCGAGGTGTCATGGTTGTTTATGACCCTGAAGACCCGTACTTGAGCAGGTAAGTCGCTGTATTTTTTCGATGAGGGTACGTTGAAGATTAATTCTATGTACGCAGCTACGACGTCGACGACGAATCCACGATTATTACACTCTCCGACTGGTAAGAGTACCCAAGTATCACCTCCGGACCTTTCTAATAATGTATTCTAGGTACCATACTGTCGCCCCATCCGCCGGCCTTGTCCCGACTCCCGATGCAACTCTCATCAACGGCCTCGGCCGCACCGCTGGGGGAGACACGGTGGACCTGGCAGTCATCACCGTCACTTCCGGGACGAGGTACCGCTTCCGCCTCGTGTCCATGTCCTGCGATCCCAACTTCACTTTCTCCATCGACGGCCACACAATGGTGAGCTCTCGTCTACCCAGAAAAAAAAATATACGACCAGTCGGAACTGACGATATTTTTCCTAGACCGTCATCGAAGTCGACGGCGTCAACACCGAGCCCCTCGAGGTCGACAACATCCAAATTTTCGCTGGCCAGCGGTATTCCTTCATCCTCACCGCCGACCAAGACGTGTCCAACTACTGGATCCGCTCCGAGCCCAACGTCGGAACCACTGGCTTCGACGGCGGGATCAATTCGGCCATATTAAGATATGATGGCGCAGATGAGACCGACCCTGAGACGACCTCGTCCACGAGCAACGCGCTCGCCGAGTATAACCTTGTACCTTTGTCGGGAGCCGCTGCTCCAGGCACGGCGGAGGCTGGCGGCGCGGACGTGTTGCTCAACTTGGACATCGCGTTTGACGCTACCAATCTGGTGTTTACGGTGAATGACGCGACATTCACGAGCCCGACGGTACCAGTGCTTTTGCAGATCATGAGCGGGGCGCTGACGGCGGCGGAGTTGCTCCCCTCGGGATCTGTCTACACTCTTCCAGCAAACTCGGTCGTTGAGCTCTCTATTCCTGGAGGTTCTGTTGGCAGCCCGGTATGTGCCCTCTCTGTGTTCCACGGTTTGCTTACGCTGATCTCTCCCTATAGCACCCCATGCATCTTCACGGAGTGAGTACAAAATACTGCATGCTAGTACCCTTATACTTACCTCCATTCCCAGCACACCTTCGACGTCGTCCGCAGCGCCGGAAGCGAGACATACAACTACGCAAACCCCATCAAACGCGACGTCGTGAACATAGGTGAGGAAGGAGACAACGTCACCATCCGCTTCACCACCGATAACGCCGGTCCATGGATTCTCCATTGTCACATCGACTGGCATCTTGAAATGTACGATATTCCTTTTGATGTTTTCTGATCTCCATGGCTGACGGTTTCTCATCCGTTAAGTGGCCTCTCCGTTGTCTTTGCAGAAGATGCTGAGACAGTCGCCTCTTCTACCGTTCCTGGTACGTCACTTTGATGATGGGGAATCTGCAGGCTCTAACATATCTGACTGCAGTCGCTTGGGATTCCCTATGCCCGACCTATAACGAGGCCTTCAACGTCACCACCGATTCCGATTCTCGTCGTCGCCGCAGGCGGCACGTGAAGTTTTGATTGGGACTTCGCCGTTCATATTCCTCGACATTCGCCGGTGCCACCTGCTATCAAACGTCTCTCCTTGACCTGTTAATGATAATCATCTACGTACTCAAAAGACCTTGTCACTAGGTCTGTAATTTCCACCCACCTTCGTTCTTAACCGCCTGTCATTTTTGCACCATGTTTTCAAGTTGAGGTAGTCAAGTAAAGAAAGAATTCAATGTATATAGTCAATTAGAATTATGAACATCCTGTCGTCCACCTCGTCGTTTGCTTCAAGTCCTTGCGGTCCAAAGTCAGTACTAAGATTTTATTTTGTCCAATGACCACCTCCGACGCAGGCATTCAGATAAAGTACAGTGCAATTCATGATCTCGTAAACAAACTTGCAGTCAAGCTACCTATACACATTATTTTCGACTTCTCCTCACGAGAGCGTAGGCACCGTCCAGTCAATCCAATCGGCATCGACGAACCCAAGACCATTGGCACCATCGGTCTTGATGACATTGCTGTTTGTAGACTGGCCCTTGAGGAACTTATCGATGAATGCCTTGAGGTCACCTTGCAACGAGCGCCGCGAGCATATGGTGGTCGAACGGCAGCACGGGGATCTGCCTCACGTATTGCTCGAATGCTGTTGAGAACCACACATTCTCCTCATGCCATTCGACATCATCTTGTCGGAGATGCGCCAGCACCCCGCTCCGCAGGCTCGAACGCGCCGACGACCAGGGAGCCCTTGCCGTTGCGCGAGCAGCTGGCCGTCGCCAGCCGCTCCAGGTTGATCAATGAACTTGAATGGATCAGGGTGGCGACGAGGTTGATCGTGGCGGGGAGGGAAGGACAACTTCCTCGGGCGGTTGGCGGAGTAGAGCCTACAGTGTTTGTGGCAGGGGGTGCGGTTGGAGGGGTAGTCACTGGGGTGGAGACGGGAGGAGCGGTTGTAGCAGGAGGAGGAGGAACGGCAGTTGTTGCCGGGCCGTCCGTTACCACCGCCTAAGAGCCCAAGCCTTGATAAGTGTTGCGCGGCGTGAGAGAGAGGCTCAAAACGTACATTGGCCCCACACCTGCTGTTGTTGTGCGACCGCAGGAAGAGAGCAAGAGCCAGAGCTACTAGTAGCGAAAATAGAAGAGCCATCATGACAAGAGGAGACTCACTCCTTCTACCTTCAAGAGCCTCAGTGCAATTTTATACTAGCCAGCGCGGTGGCCAAAGAAATGAAGGATCAGAACCAGTCTTTGAACGGCCCTCTGCAGCAGCAACATTGTTTCATTTCAGGCCTTCAAAGCGCTACGAAATGGCCATATCCAGTGTTTATGATGGACCGAAATGGTCCACCCTGAGAACAAAAGCTCTTCATTCAAACTATGAAGATTGATCCGGTATTGGAGTTCTGCACTGGGGACGTACCTTATCCTGCCTGGAGGTGATATCTGGAGCCCGCAGTTCATGAAAATCCTGAGGCCTAGAAGGAATAAGGTATGCTATTTGTGTGTCATCAATATTTCTTTGCTAGTAAATCATGTAGGTAATGCCCAATGTTTCCTTGGACGCAGCCTCTACCTTGGGAGTCATGAGTTGTATGGCCACGATAAGGATGTACCACACGAGAAGGTCTAGAAAGGTCGAACCTCTTAGGTTCTGGCCTCGTACCCCCATGGGTCAAAGGACTCAAGGCAAAGGAAAGTACAAAAGCCATGCATATCTCGTCGTGGGTGGATTGTCATCTATAGGGCGATATGGTGCGCTCTCTTGCCCTCACCCTTTACACTCTTCATCCTCATAAAGATATACACACTATAGATCTCTCCCCTCTTGCTTGTATTTCGAAGGCGTTGCCTCACCCATCACGTTCCCACGCTTAGCGCCCACCTCCGTCATCCATCTTGGAGTCGCGCATGCCCTCTAGCCGCACAACCAGGAACTGTCCTCGCACGTCAGAGCTTCCCATTGTGGTGTTATGTATGTGAAACAGTTGTCATTCCTTATTCTCTCATGATCATCCCACTGTAGACACATCAACGGATTGTAATTCTTGCATCGCCCCTTCATTATGCATAATTGATAATGTGGTAATGTAGGCTCTTCTACCAAACAAACTCTGATACTAAATCAGTGACCACTAGCTGGAATGATTCTGTACGTTTGATAGTCTACAACTACGGCTCGGGCTGGGGGTAGATCCTAACCGGTTTCTCCTCCTCCACGAGGTTCAAGCTGCTGCCTCTGAAGATATGGACTCTTTTCCGTCACTTGCCATCGGACTTTTCGTGGTAAAGGGGGACCTCGTCCTTCAAGAACTCAACTGTTATCCACTGCCGACTACGGTCGCCTCTGCCAGGAACATGGTCATGGAACCCTCCACTGTAGGAACAAGGGCGATCAGAAAGAGAAATAATAGCACCAATCATTGCACATACGCAATCTTGGCGTGATTAGCACCAAAATCATTAAACCCGATGATGTGCCTACGGTGGGGTGATCGTGCGAATAAGGAATGACTAACACACACCCAAAACACCGCAATGAGTGGCTCTGAGGTGCGAGGACAGGTTCCCGGTTGTGCGGCTCTAACCAGTGGGCACGCGCGACCAGCAAACGGGGGACGACGGTGGGCGCTAAGCGTGGGATCAGAATGGCGATGGCGGCGAGATCGAAAGACGGGGCAACGGTGGGTCGAAATGGCGAGTCGAAACGAGGCTGAGAGCGACGAGAGAAGGCGTACGAGAGACGAGGGCGAGGTATGAGTGCCCCGAGTGGGCAAATGAGACGAGGAACTGTATGTTATTGGGGGAAAAGAGTAAGTACAGACATTTTGTATCTACAAAAAACAGGAGCACCGGTGAGGTATTTCTCCGAACCGGGCTGCAGGAATAAAGAATAAGAGAAAATCTTCCACAGAAATAAATAAGAATGATAAAAATTAATCAAATGACGAGGGGACGCAACGGACGACTGCGCTGATGGTCTTGATATGGCAAGGGTGGCGCGTCGAGGCTTCGCTTCGACTGGAACCATGTGGGCCGATCACGGGGCTTGCTGATGTTCTGGCTGAGGGTCTCCGGGTGCGTCGAGGAATCATATGGCTCAATGGGAAAGGTGTCGGGGATCGAGGGGACGACGAGAATGCGATGACGAAAGTCGAAAAAAGGGATTTTCCGAGGCTAGGCAGCGGGCTGGCTCATCACCGAGCTCGGACGCAGCACGATAGGCCGCATCGATGACCTCCTGCTGTTCCTTGGAACCAGCCTTGTATGGCGCTTTTCCCTTCCAGGAATGAGAGGAAACAGGTTGAGTGACGGCAAGCGAGAGTATTTTTTCTTCCCCTTGAGGGCTATCCCTAGCCGTGTTATACACAACGCGAAGCTTGCTGGGAGGCATGATGAAGTGTAGATTGTTGTTAGGAGTATGAGACTAATGGGAACAGAAGCAACAATGAACGAACAACCAGGTTGGGAGTAAAGAGATGGGCAAAAACGATGGTCTATATAGGCTAGTCATAATTGGGGTAGTGGAAAAGGAGTGATGAGCTACAAAGCGGTACAGGTGGGCGAGATTAAAAGGAACATCATTGGCAGGAGGTATGGGATGACGGAGCTGGACTGGAACAAGCATGAATAATGACGTAGAATAGGATGAGACGGAATGGTGTTGACGGACAGCGGATCGACAAGTGCTAGTGAACCATTATTCAGTATAGGCGCTGGCGATGAGGCACGCATCACGAATTTTCTCTGGCAAGTTATAACACGTCATTCAAATGAGGGTGGCATGAAAGTGAGATTTGGCTTTGCAGGCGTCAAGGACAAGTCAAGCAGGCCGTGCTGCAAATAATTACATAAACATCCGCTTGCGTAAAACTTGTATTTGTTTGTCCGGGCAGACCCTAGAGCCGATGCTCTCGCAATCACAGTCAACTATCAGGAGGCTCCTTTCTTCACCTTTGTTCGATTATCACACCACCCTCTGCCACGCCCGCAAATTCAAACGAAACTCCTCTTCTCTGTACAGACGCTCGTGCTCTCCCAATGTCGACGACGACTTACAATGCTGAAGACGATGAAGGACTGACACTCATGTTCCCGGAGGAGCCTCTTGGGCTACCAGCCGATATGGGCTTTGGATTTTTTCAAGGGTCCCCGCTGGACGTTCTTGGTCCTGGTGGACGCTTTCAATTGCGGGCGAAGCTTGGATTTGGAACTAACTCGAGTGTTTGGCTTGCAAAGGACCAGCAGTACGTCCAAGTTCTGCTTCTTGTTAACCCATGTTCATAAGTACAGCCTCGGCCGCCATGTCGCTCTTAAAATTCTTACCAGATATGCTTCGCAACTGAACGCCAAGAACCTCTTATGTGAACTCGCCGTTCATAAGCGCCTGGCCTCTCTTCCAGCCAATGAGACCAAGCACTGCAATCGCCTCATCGCCCATTTCGTGCATCAGGGGATTGAAGAAGATGGCGACCACCTCTGTTTGGCACTCGAACTCGAACGGAGCACCCTGGACCATATATGGAGTGGCCACAATTTCAAGTTTTTGCCCATCCCGATTGTTAAACGGGTCCTGCGGCACCTTCTTCATGGCCTGGCTGCCCTCCACAAGTGCGGCGTGGCACATACAGGTATGTGATTATGTCCTCAATGTTGTTCAAGAACCTAGAACCTATTGTACAGATATCAAGCCTGACAACATTGTGATTAGTCTCGGTTCGAGTTGGACTGACGAAACCGTCAGCCACTGGGCCTGCGCTCATCGACCACGGGTATACGAACCCTGTCGAAGTCTCAATAAGGTTGTGACAAATGCGTTCATCTCTGAGCAGTTTCCTGCCCCTTCGCTCGCAGAACTTGAGACGTGCAACTACAAGATCAGTGATTTCAGCAATGGTGTGTTTTCAAGGCTTTCCTCACCTTTTTTTAGAAATTCATCTCAGTTTTTCATAGCCCAAGAGTTGGATCATCAAACAACAGACAACATTACGCCCCTCACATTGCGCTCTCCTGAAGTTATACTCGGTGGCCCATGGGATGAGAAGGTTGATATATGGACTTTTGGATGTTTGGTAGGTGATCCCCTAGCCTCTATTGTCTCTTTCTGAGTATTTTCTGGAGATCTTCACGATCCTCACGAAGGTGGCCCTCTTTACGGAACGTGTCCAACCGGTCCATCTCCCTTTCCTTCGACCCGGCATTGATCCTGATGTGGATGGCATTGAAGTTGACTACACACTATGGTTGATGGCAACCTTTGCTGGGCAGCGCTTTCCACCGATAGTACTCTGGCTTTATCCAAACAGCCACAAGTATTTTAAGAACAACGGTATGCTTATTATTGAGCTCATGATCTGCCACTCATCACACTGTGCAGGGGATATGAAATGCTTCGGATCTTTCCAGCATCGCCCACTGGAAATGTGTGTTCAAGACACGGGCTGCCCAGCATCAGAAGAGGATGTTGCTGGTGCATGCTCACTCATTCGTCGCTGTTTGAAACTGAATCCATCGGCACGCCCTTCTGCATCAGAACTGTTGCAGGCAGGATTCATGGCTGAAGGAGTGCAATGTGTAGTAATTCTTCCTGTGCGCAATCTGTATTATTATTTTTTGTTATCTTTTGAATACTCTTGTTGTGATGTTTAAGTTTTCGCATTGATGGAACACTCAAGCAAAATGGTGAACATTTGACTTGGATTGGAACAAATGAAGAGCCACTGTTGGGACCGCAAAGCGGTTGTGGCCATCATGATTCTGATTCGTGCTGTGCTTTCTGTGTCTGGTGAATGGGGCGACGTTCACGAGCACGATGGTGCCGGTGCTTTTGCAGATCATGAGCAGCGGCGGAGTTGCTCCCTTCCGGATCGGTCTACACTCTTCCAGTAAACTCGGTCATTGAGCTCTCTATTCCTGGAGGTTCCGTCGGCAGCCCAGTATGTCCCCCCCTGCCTTTCTGCGCTTGCTTATGCTCATGGCCCTTCTCTCCCTATAGCACCCCATGCATCTTCACGGAGTGAGTACAAAATACTGCATGCTAGTACCCTTATACTTACCTCCATTCCCAGCACATCTTCGACGTCGTTTGCAGCGCCGGAAGCGAGACATACAACTACGCAAACCCCATCAAACGCGACGTCGTGAACATAGGTGAGGAAGGAGACAACGTCACCATCCGCTTCACCACCGATAACGCCGGTCCATGGATTCTCCACTGCCACATCGACTGGCATCTTGAAATGTACGACATTCCTTATGACGCTTTCTGATCTCCATGGCTGACGGTTGCTCATCCGTTAAGTGGCCTCTCCGTTGTCTTTGCAGAAGATGCTGAGACAGTCGCCTCTTCTACCGTGCCTGGTACGTCACCTCCATAGTACAGAAATTGGTGGCTCTAACATATCTGACTGTAGTCGCTTGGGATTCCCTGTGCCCGACCTACAACGAGGCCTTCAACGTCACCACTGATTCCGATTCTCGTCGCCGCCGCAGGCGCCACGTCAAGTTCTAATGGGTTTTCACCATTCCCATTTCTCGATGTTCGCCAGTGGCACTTGCCATCGAATGTTTCTCATAAGTGATAGCCACCTACGTACTCAAAAGACCTTGTCACTAGGTCTGTAATTAACTCCCACCTTCGTTCTTAACTGCCTGTCGTTTTCGTATTTGCTTTCCAGTCGAGCTAGTGAAGTAAAGAAAGATGTAACGTATATAGTCATTTAGAAATATGAGTCCTCCGTCGTCAATCCTGTCGTTTGACCCTCTTCGTAAGCTGAGGTCAATACCGAAGACAATACGAGTCTGGGGATTGGTCTTTCAGAAAATGCAATCCAATTCACAATCGCGGATACAAACTTGTCGGTAAAAGGCCTAGATAATATTTTACATTCCTCCTCACGAGAGCGTTGGCACGGTCCAGTCGATCCAGTCGGCGTCGACAAAACCAAGCCCATTGGCACCATCGGTCTTAATGACGTTGCTATTGGTAGACTGGCCCTTGAGGAACTTGTTGACGAACGCGTCGAGGTCGCCTTGCTCGCTTCCGGGGAACTGGCAATGATCATGGTTTCCGACTTGCGAGACGCCCATGGAATCAGCAACGCCAAGGGCCTGCCAAACCTTGTTCGCAGTCTTCATGCAGCCCCAAACTGACTGAGGACCGAGCCAGTCGATGCCGGTGTTGTCGATAATGAGCAGCGCGCGAGGTGCGACGAGCGCCGCAAGCATGTGGTGGTCGAATGGCAGCACGGGGATCTGCCTCACGTATTGTTCGAACGCCGTTGAGAACCACACATTTTCCCCAACGATCTCCGACGCCGTCTGGGTGTTGATCCCATTCGACATCATCTTGTCGGAAATGCGCCAGCACCCTGCACCGCCGGAGCCGGACTCCTGTGGGATTGTGAGCGCGATGCGGGGCTCGAACGCGCCAACAACCAGTGCGCCTTTGCCATTGCGCGAGCAGCCGGTGACCGCGAGCCGCTGGAGGTTGAGGCTCGGCAGTCCGGACGTCGTCTCGAGCGCGTCGATGACCCTTGAGACACCCCACGCCCACGCCATCATCGCCGAAGCGGAATGGCCGCTGCCGTACAAAGTGTAGAATCTGCCCTGACCGCGCGAGCCAGAGCTCTGTTGCGCAGCCATGTCGTCGTTGTTGAACGTGATGACCGCGACACCTGCGGGGGTGGGGATGGACGAGCCCCCGATGGCGATGATGGCGGGATACGGTGCAGTGCCGGAGCTCGGGGTGCTGATGGACACCTGGAAGGAGATGGACTTGCCCTGGTCGGATACGTTGATGGTGAGTCGCCCGCCCGAGTACGAGCCGGTAACGCTCTCGGGCTTGCCTGGGAGCGTGCCGAGCTCGTAGCGCTGGAAGAGTTGACTGATCTCCTCGCGACGGCACGCCCAGTCGTCCTTGCTGGCGACGCGGGTGCCGCCGACGAATTTGAATGGATCAGGGAGCTTTGAGTTGGCAACGAGGTTGATCGTGGCGGGGAGGGAAGGACAACTTCCTGGCGCTGTTGGTGGAGTAGAGCCGATGGTGGTTGTAGCAGGGGGTGAGGTTGGAGGGGTAGAGACGGGAGGAGCGGTTGTAGCAGGAGGAGGAGGAGGAACGGCAGTTGTGGCTGGGCCGCCGGGCTGGCATTGGAAGTACCAGTCATTGAGTTTCACGCATGTTGTGCCGGAGACGCAAGAAGTGGGTCCCGTCCAGCCATTACCACCGCCTAAGAGCCCAAGCCTTGATAAGCGTTGCGCGCGGCGTGAGAGAGAGGCTCAAAACGTACATTGGCCCCACACTTGCTGTTGTTGTGCGACCGCAGGAAGAGCGAGAGCGAGAGCTACCAGCGAAAATAGAAGAATCGCCATGACAAGAGGAGATTTACTCGTTCTGCCTCAAGAGCCTCAGTGTCATTTTATACTCGCCAGCGCGGCGGCCGGAGAAATGAAGGATTAGAACCAGTCTTTGAAAGGCCCTCTGCCGCAACAACGTCGTTGCATTTGAGCCTTCGAAGCGCTACGACGTGGTCATATCCAGCCTTCATGATGGCCGAAATGGTCCCCCAGAACAAAAGCTCCTCATTCATATGAAGGTTGATCCGGTATTGGAGTTCTGCACTGGGAACGTACCTTCATCACGAGGGTCGTGTCCTATATGAGTCTGCAAAGAGTAAAATAAGAAATAAAGTAAAAGCTTCATTGAATACACTCATCCACCTGACCAAGGTTCTAGTAGAGAAGAAGATGGGGGTTTGGGTGAACAAACCCGGATTGGCGAAACAAGAAGAGTGGATCACCGAGGTCGAGCAGTGGTGCCGTAAGGAGAGCGCGAGGATGGAGATCATCGAGTTCACGGAGAATAAAGTCTAGGTAGGGCGTGGAAAGATAAGAATTGCGGTGGTCCGGAGAAACAATAAGGTGTTTCACGGTAAAAAAACTTCGGCCCAACTTGAGCTCCAACTTGGGGTGCAAATCGTGCTCCGACCCACGATTTGAGGCCCAACTTTGATCCCAACTTGTACGTCTGATTTTGTAACAGTTCCCCCTCCCCTGCAGTCCTCCATAGCTCTTCCGTGATACAAACTGGATTCTTGTATAGATAGAGATCGATTGTATTATATTCCCATTTTTGATTCATTTTAGGGGAGGGAGGTAGCTCAGAAATCATGAAGTCGGACCTTAAGTTGGACGCCAAGTTGGGATCGGCAACTCAGACGCCGGGTCTCAACTCGGCCTTCCAACTTGCGCAGAGTTGGGACCAAAGTTGGGACTCAAGTTGGGGGCCAAGTTGGGCCGATTTTGGCTACCGTGAAACACCCTAAATGTCGAGCAGGCCACTAGAATTTAAAAGCGATGCTGGAGGCCGCAGCTCATAACAATCCTGACAAATTGAAAGATAAATGAGGCAAATAACACACAACTAGGCATCCGAGAGGTGAACTGGAGCTGAATCGGGGATCGTAGGTTTTGGTCGTCGGTCGAGGGAAAAGAAAGCAGAGCTTCCGAAGTTGATCAGCTTGACCGGTGGAATTTTTGGCCGTTATTAATAGTCGCGCCAAGGGAATACTCCGCGATAACATACACTAATAATAGGTCTCGAAGTCAGTCAGCTGGCGACTGCTATCGTTGGAGAACCGAGGGAAATAGCCACAGTCGAGCAACGCGAACGAGCAGATACTCCGAGAATTTCAAGATCGGCAGCCGAAGCGTCGTAAATATGTTCTTCGAGACTTTTTTTGTCTCTTCTCGTTAGGCAGAAGTCAAAACTGATGGGGCGCGGACGTCGTCGGTCGTGGTGTTCAGGAGGAAGCTAGGGAATGCGCGTGAACTTGAATCCAAGCGGAGATTGTATTTTCGGCAATTCCCTCTCTTAAGGTCGATCCGGGCCGTCCTTCCGCTTTCCTATCCTGCACCTCCACAAAGGATTCCCAGCTCCTTCATTCCCGCATTGTGGAATTACGTCTAGCAGCGATATCGAGCTCATGGAGTCAAAAATACGCCTTACTCTGATATGAGAGTCAGCACTTTTCACCCTGCACTTTGTCACTTTCCCAGACTATCGCACACCCAACACCTTGCTGGGTCAGTACGTACTTCCCTTGCAAGATGCCAAATTGCTCACCGCGGGCCTTAGTAACATTTCTGCTCACCCTATTATTACGGGCGGGCCCCACACGAGACCCATCCAGGCCTGCCGTCGTTATGATACCTGCTACTCAACGTGCTTTGGTCTTTAAGAGAGGAACACCCAGCGTTGTCGATCGTGCTGTCCCAAAGCCAGCAAATGGAGAGATACTGGTGAAGATATGCAGCGGTCAGTATTTTCGCTTCCGATTTGCCTCAATAGGTCCGCGATTCTTATCTTCCTCCAGCCGCGCTCAACCCCATCGACGGAAGCTTTGCTTTTGGAGGCTTTTCTGCTGGAGGTGTTGTTCCTGAAGTGCTCGGCTGTGATGCCGCAGGGGTGGTTCAACATGTTGGTCCAGGAGTGGCTGGATTTATCGAAGGAGACTCAGTGTGCGCCGTATTGTCTCTCTTGCTGTGACAATATATCTGAGCCGAAGCCTAGGTTCTATCAATGCAGCTTCTTGGATTCCAGAACGACTTCCTTCCAACAATACGCTGTCATTCCAGCGGACCTCGCAGCAAAAGTACACTATTCGTGTGTCGATTGAATGTCTCTTTGCTGACAAATCTATGTAGGTACCGCCCAATGTTTCCTTAGACGAAGCCTCGACCTTGGGGATCGCAAGTGGGACGGCCGGGATAGGGATGTATCACACGCGAGAAGGTCTCTTAGGTTCTGGCCTTACACCTCCATGGGTCAAAGGAGGCAAAGGAAAGTACAAAGACCAAGCATACCTCGTCGTCGGTGGGTCGTCGTCCATCGGGCAATATGGTACACTCTCTTTCCCTCACTCTTCACAACCTTACAATCTCACCAAACGCACAATCTACAGCCATCCAATTCGCCCGCATGTCCGGGTTCTCGCCTATCATCACAACTGCCGCTCCTAAGCACGCAGAGTACCTTAAGTCCATCGGAGCCACACACATTCTCGACCGCTCCCTATCCCAACGCGGGATGCTCTCCGCCATCCGGTCTGCACTCGGGTCTACCCCACTCAACTACGCCTTGGAGGCGATATCGTACTCTGACACCATCGCTCTAGCCCTCGCTGCGTTGGCGCCTGGAGGGACACTTGCCTCGGTTGCAGGCGGCTCCGGGTATGTGAAGGATGGAAAGACTGTGGTCAACATCTTTGGCAGTTTGCATACCCCGCAGAATGTGGAGTTTGGGAAAGGGTTTATTGCGGGCGTGGGGGATCTTTTGGCGACAGGAGAGTTAAAGGTAAATGACTAGTCTTTCAGATGAACATGATGCGAAAACTGATCGTCCCAGCCCAATCGCGTGGAGGTGCTTCAGGGTGGACTAAATGGAATTCCAGAAGGCTTGAGGCGGATTTCAAAGGGAGCTGTTGGTGGCATTAAACTCGTTGCGCGGCCTCAGGAGACGGTGTGAGGATAGTTCGCAGGATGGAGGCAGAAGCTTCACAATGGACGAGAAGTCGCTTTCCGAAGCATGTTAGCGAGGCACTGTAACATGACATACAGCAGAGGAAGTCATCAATATAGACCTAGGAGATGTACCACAATGTGCCTATGCTTCTCGGGGCATCGACCTTCGTCCACTGACGACACGCAAGAAACTCTCGAAGAGGTAGGAAAAGTGGTCGCCGTAATCTCTAGTGTACAATCCGCTCTAAATCTACAAAAATCATTTAAACCGAAAATAACGATAAGTTCTAGACCGCACTTTCAAAAGCACGCTTAATGAGTCTTTCGACCTCCTGTTCTACCTCCTTCATCCTCCTTCCACTCAGGACAGCATCGATAAGTGTACTTCCATCGTGTAAGCGTCCGGCAATCGTGACGGCGTTTCCAATCAGAATAGGTGGCGCCATCAACAAGGACTTGTACCTCCCAAGAGTTCTTCCCCCACCAGCACCGCTCCAATTGATATCCACCATCCGCGCGATCGACATATTCGACATGACCAGCGACTCTTCCGCGCTCGAGTCAAATGGAAGGAGGGTGCGGTATCCTTTGAATCCGAAGGAGTGGTTGACTAGCTCTTCGATCTTGGCATGCACCTGCATCGCGTGTCCCAGCGACAGAGAAGCCCGGACCCCAGCCAGGGTGTACGCGATGTTATGGACGGGGGTTGCTTGGAGATCAGCGACGGTGAAGACGGGATACGGGATGGGAATGAAGCAATTGTGCGGGTAAAGACTGAGCTCTCCGCCAGAGAACATACGTAGGGAGGCCATATTTGATAGGTGGACGCGCATGTCTTGGCGAGGCTCTGTGGCGTACACTGTCTAAAATGGGAATTTAGATCGATCGGCGAGTAGACGCCCACAGCAGTGCGTACCTTGAAAAGCCAAGCCGCCAAGACATCCCCAGTCGAAATCCGGGATTCTTTCTTCCCCTCAAGAAGAAGCGCCTCGCGGGCGTCAAGAACGAGTTTCTCGTACGCTCGGACCGGAAGTACGATCATCTTCTTCTGCATGTTGTGCCATACCTGCTGCCATACGTGCCAGAAGAAGAACGTGACGACAAACCATATTCCAACGACAGAGACGCCGGTATAGTTCTCTGGTGCTTCTTTGCCCTCCTTGACTATCTCGTTCCTGGTCCGGTTCAGGAACACCTGAAGATGATTTTCGTTCTGCCCCGAATGCAGCGCCGGAGGCACCGCCCACGGCTTCCCGAGCATCTCAGCTTCCAACGCATGCACCAAATTCGCAATGCCCGTCCCATCAAGTAGAGCATGAGAGAACGACACGCCAATACAAGTGTAGTGCATCCCCGGCTGCTTAAAGTGAGTAATGTGCCAGTACGTTAAGGGGAGCTTCTTCTCGACCCAGGTCCGTGTGGCCTTCGGGACGGAGGGATCGATAAAGAGTTCCTGCGGAAGGGCGTCCGAGACCGCGGGAAGAGGAAGCTGGACGTAAGCAGTGATTGGTGTCGAGGATTCGCGGTGTGTCAGGGCGAAGGGAAGGTAATCAGGTGGGAGGGTATCGAGGGGGACATTGACTCTGTACATAAGTTTCTAAGGGGAGCGAGAGAGGTCAAGAATGGAAGAAATGGAAGAAATAAAAAACGTACGCTGATGAACTCTAGTCTTCCAGAGAGCATCGGCCATTTGGCAATGATACGGTTCAGGCCTTGCTCGATCGTGGTGAGATCAAGCAAACCTTCAACGAGCCATCCCGCCGCGATACCACAGTGGTCAACCATGCCATCGAACGGAGTGAGAGGATAGTAAGCAAACTCTTGTTTCTCCATTTTGTTTGGAGATTGGCGCGTGGACATGAGCCCTTTCTTGCGGTTGCTGTACCTCTTATACTCAGTTCGACGAGGGCCAGCCGGGAGGCAGTATTCATGAGATTGACAAACGAAACATGACTACACGAGATAAAATCAGGCCGAACGTCGTGTATTTCAAGGAGATACCGGAGCGTCGTCTTGAAACACGAGGTACGGGAGAGAAATGGGTGTCCGTTCGACCTTCAAAGCTTCAAGCTTCAAGCCTCATCCTCGAGGCTTAGCCAATTGCGTATAGTACTAGACGTAAAGCCGAGCTTTCAGGAACTACCTAGATCAAGGAACACACCAACATATAAGATATTTCTGGGATGTATGAAGTACCCGGAGAAGAATGGGAATAAATAACGCAAAATCATCGTACGCATCGGACGGCGCAAGTGGGGCACGTAAATCTCTTGAGCTTTTCCTATCATTGGGACTTATTCCGACTAGGAGCACGTTCGAGCGATTGAAAACAGATTTCCACCTCCGCAAGCCCGTATTTGGAGAAAATTTGAGGAGATTAATCATTTTCCAAGTGCAGAAGAGGGTATCGGCACAAGGGCGTCTATTTTCAGCTCACGCCTTCTTCTGGTTCCAACCTTGCCGATTTCAGACTCCGGGTGAGTCGGAGGCACTCCTGCCACCTGCGGACCGGTCATCTCGAAGAAGTCAAGCGAAAGAACGTATGGACGCTTGGCGCCGGTGATATCAAAGTAAATATCAAATGTTTCTTGGAACGTCAACACTTGAACGAAAGACGCTTTCTTTCCTCAGTTCCCGGACGTAAAAAGGGAAACCGTGGGTAAGGGCCGGAGTTGGTGCTAGAAGCTGTCGCAAGGCAAACTTGAAAGGATGATAGAGTGGTAGAGCGGTCTGGACTCTCATTATCATCAGCAGGATGACCACTCCGTCGACCTGTCTTCCCCCCTCTTCCCCAAGATGGGCTTCGCGGAATTCAGGCCCCGTCTAGAAGGTCCCTAAGCAGTCTAGCATACGCAAATTTTGAAGTATCCAGTAAGTGAAATCTTAAGAATAAGGACGGCTGCTTGGCCATTAGTGCATCCACAAACTCTTTCTTTCCTATCGCAATTACTCTCCTATCGCACTTACTCTAGTGACCGGGCTGTACAAGAATACTATCCAGAATGTACGCATGAACCATTTTTCTGCATAGCATTGTTCAACCTCCTCGGAACGTGTTGATCCTTCGCACGACTTTCCTGTACGTCGCCCAACCGTAAATCACCGATTTAGATAAGAGGTTGCCTTATCTGGAAGGGTCTTCTGAGTCGGCAGAAGAGTCTTCAAGAGATGGCGCCAGGGCTCATGCACATGACCCATCCAAAGGAGCATTAATGCGGACCCGGGAGAGTTTTCAATCAGCTTTCTAGGCTCTCAAACTTCGATCGTGCAGATGGCCACGTCACATAGGCTGCGTTGTCCATGCTCAGCGGAGATGAACTCGGAGCAGAACTCAAAAAGTCAAATTCTCCCCATCTAAGCAGAAGGCTTCACGAAATCCAGTACAGTGATCCGGATCTATAGTGCCCACATCGGGCCGCTCGCGAGACCAAAGGGGGTACTCAGAACCTCCAACCACCAGTAAGGTCCATAACCCGCTCCGGGTCATACACGTCCCTCAGTGCCCTCAACCTCGGCAGGTTCTTCCCGTACATCCTCTCGAGCGGGGTACCTTCAATCACCAAATTGGGGTACAGCTCCGCGTTCTCGATTCTCTGCCCCTCCGCCTCTGCGTCCGCCCTCAGCTTCGCTACCGACGCCTTCAGCGCGTCCCACACCGCCTGATCATGTGCCTTCTCATACCACGCGAACGCGATGTTTACGGGGTAGTGCACAGACGCGGGGTCGCGAGAGGGAGGCCAGGCCGACTCGGTCCCGTGCGAGTAGTACGTCGGGAGGAAGACCTCGACTACGTAGTCGAAGAAGTGCCCTGAGTGGTTCTTCTCGAGGAATGATCCCCAGTGTTTGGTCTCGTTGGCGATAGAGTCGAGCAGCTTCGGCGTGTATTTTTGGACAGGGGCGACGTCTTGGATGCGCCGTGGAGTGTTACGTGGTTGGCCGGCGGAGAGGAGGGTGGCGAAGGACATGCTCGCGGCAGTCACCTTTCCGTTGGGAATTGAAAGGAGCTCATCGAAGAGCCCTGGTGGAGGTGAAGGGGCATCGTAGAAGAGGATGACGATGGCATTCAACTGAATAGGGTGCCATGAGCATTAATCGAAGAAAGGAAGGAAAAGAACACAGACCTCGCCCTCTGCATATTCATAGATGATGTTCAGGGTGGCCTTGGGGTCTGTAACGGTATCTGCAAATTTCACGACGGCATCGTGGGCACCACCGATATCCTTCTCGGCGAGGATAACCGTTCCGCCCCAAATGTCGGTCTGCGGGTACACTCCCAGTGTGAATTTCGTTACGATGCCCTGTCAATTGTTCCTTAGTATACACCCCACAACGAACGTCGAGCAGACTTTACAAAGTTATTGAAACCGCCCTTCAGTCCAAAGAAAAGATCTGGGTTCTCGTCATGCGACGCCCGAACGAAAGTTCCATTCGGCAGAACCACTTCGCAAGATTTGAGGGTGTCGATAGTCAGGCCAAGCTGATTCGTCTTGAATGACAAACCTGTAATCAACGGCCTTCATATCGACTCTCTTTACTGGCCGGAAAGGAAAATACGCACCTCCACCAAGGATGAATCCAGCCACGCCAACACCTCTCACTCGGCCACCAACAACGGTATACCCTTCTGGGTTAAGGTAGTCGAAAACGTGGTCCCACCGCAGACCTGCGCCGATATCGATCGTATTTTCGTCCTTGTGCCATTCGAGGGTATCGAAGCCCGACATAGAGACGTGAATGCCAGTTGTTGATGAGAAACCTGGGTTAAGAGCGTGGCCTCCGCCGGAGATCTGTCGTCGTTGTGTCAGGAAGTCGATATGGATGAAGGGGGAGAAGGATAGGTACAGCGAATGGTGTTCTCGTCCATCCAAGGATTTGAATCTGTTCAAAAAACTCGTTAGTCTCGCTTTCTATAGTTCAGACAGAGATCTAACTTCCAATTCTTGAGAGATCATTGGCGTTGGCGGGTCTAACAGAACATCTCGACTTCTCAGCACCAGACACCGCCCAGTGGTGAACGTCCGCCTCAAATGCGGGTGTTCCTACAGAAAATGAGATAAACATGCACCAATAATCAGTAATTCCCAAGCATACCTGGCCAATGTACTGCAGATCTGTTTGAGACTGCTCCAGCTAACACCCGACATACCGATCCCAGAGCGTCCTCTCCATGATGTGTTAGACGAGGAAAAGTGTGAAATCCTGCGCTATTGCTGTACCAGACGGCAGTCACCACCGCGAAAATAATGAAAAGAGGAGAGTCGTAGGGAATCCTGAGTTTGGAGGAGGGCATCTTAGGCACCTACCCTGGAGCTGAACGATGTTTAGCCTCGCACAAAAACGACTGATGAAGGTTTGCGCGGTGGAGCGTACTCTGTATTCATGGATGACAGATTTATGTACGCTTCACGCATTTGCATTGGGGCTTGAGAAGAACCGGGTTGATACCCTGCAGAGTTTGTTGCAAGAAACGAGAAAGGAGCCGTGAGAACTTTACAGCGGCATTCCGGCAAACATATCCTTGTGGCAAAAATGGCGACACTCGAACGACGACCACTCCAACCAACCCGCCCCCGAAATCTAGATGCAGCTCCCGCTCTCCGATTTTCTTCACTTGCACACACCCTCTCCTTATCTTCAGTGATGCTTAATCTTCCTCTTGGGATCGTGCCCATCTGCCCAGCATTATCCTCTGAGACGCACTACTCGGTTTTACCCAGCAAGGTCACGAACTGTGCCTCAGAGCCAAGAACCCTCGAAAAAGGCCTTAAGCGTCCATCGATTCACCCCCAGCTCTCGCCCAACAACGCATCCGGAGCGCCCACATATTCAAGACACAATCTAGATTATTCTTATGCCACCGACAAAACCGTATCCAACGCGTCAGCTGGGTAGGAATGGGCCCACAGTTAGCGCCATAGGGTATGGTACGATGGGTAAGTCTATACTTTCCTGCTCCACCGGCTGATTCGCCATCCTAATTACTGCGCACATATTCTCCGTCAGGCATTGGGGTGTGGTACGGCACCCCACGCACTGACGCCGAAGCACAAGAGCTCCTCACTACCGCACTCGACCGCGGTCAAAACCTATGGGACACCTCCGACTGCTACGGGACAGCCGAGAAGGCCATCGGGAAGTGGTTCGCGGCCAACCCGACTCGCCGCTCCGAGGTCTTCCTCTGCTCCAAGTTCGGCGCGTGCAACTTCACCAAGACGCTGGTCGACGACTTCGTGCCTGACTCGGACCCGCGCTATGTGAGGGTGGCGCTATACCGGAGCTTGTATATGCTCCAGACGGATTACATCGACTTGTATTACCAGCATCGAGTTGACCCGAAAGTCCCTGTTGAGGTGGTGATGGAAGCACTGCGAGACCCACTGGAGAGGGGCCTGATACGTTGGATTGGCCTCTCCGAGTGCAGTGCCGCAGATCTGAGGAGGGCGAAGGCAGTCCCAGGCGTCGGAGATAGGATCATCGCGACCCAAGTGGAGTTCAGCCCGTTCTCGCTGGACATTCGCGACAATGGAATCGCGGAAACGGCGAAGGAGTTAGACCTAGCGGTCGTCGCTTATGCACCTCTTGGGCGAGGTCTTTTCAGCGGACAGTGCGCATTCTCGTTTCCCTTGAAAGGCGTGACCTTAGCATTTTCTGCCGTCAGGTTCCGCTCTCGAGTAGACTTCCAAGAAGGCGACTGTCGTCTCATCCTTCCCCGCTGGACGGAGGAGAACTTCCCAAAGAACCTCGTTCTTGTCGACCAAATGAAAGAAATCGCCGACAGGCTCAATATCAAAGTCGGGCAGCTGACCCTCGCCTGGATCCTCGCTCAAGACCCTGATTGTACGTTTTCATCTGCCCCTTCCCCAGCCACCTCCACCTCCTGCTTCTACTTCGGTGGTTGATCTCTTTGTGCAGGGATACCCATCCCCGGAGGCCTCTCCGTCGAACATGTCCTCGAGAACGCAGACGCGGCTGAGATCAAGCTTGCCCCGGAGGACATCCAACTTGTCAACAAACTCGTCGAGCAAGCAACCGGTACCGTCAGTGGGACGAGATACCCCGAAGAGCTCTTGTACACCCTCTACGCCGACAGCCCACCCCTCAGTAGCTGGAAGGGCTCTAAGGAGTAGACGATCGGACGCTCTCGACCGCTTCTTCATTTGTCTTTGCTTCGGGGTTGTTGCATTTAGATATTTCAGCTTCAATGATCACGGATATTGCATGAACATCTTTCCTCAGTGTCGAGATTGACTCGTTGGATGTCCGGTCAGCACCACCGTCAACCTTCGGCGCAACCTATGCTCTCAACTCGGGGTCAAACATTCAAGTCGCTGCAGTGAATTAGATCCTCGATCACGCAGAAAGGGCGCTTGCTCGAATTGTTGGAATTGGAACGCCTCCTTGACCTTCCTTCAACGCGGAGATGACCGAGACATGTTCAGATTCCGATTAGCCCCTTCCACGTTTCGTCCACAATGCTTCCAGGTACTGTCGAACCTACCATCACCACTGCAACTGTCATCCTAGTGCCTGAGGTCAGAGATCGCAATGTTGAAGCGAAAGACCTTCTCAAAGGAGCTGACATCTGAGGAGCAAGATTGGGTTCGCCTCCAGCCGGTGCTTCTTAGCTTTGGTTATATACTACGAGCAAGGTATCAACCAGGCTGGCGGCCGTCTTGGAAGTGATTTTGGCGTATCGGGGCGTGTGATTTCGACAGTGAGGATGGTTTGACTTGCACGGTGAAGAATTTGATTTCTTCTTTCTACGGCCAAGCTGATCGGCACCCTCTGCTTTAGAATTGACAGGTCCTAGACGCTATTCGCATTTGAGATAATGCACGCGTCGTCTTGAAGCAGGTTCAGCTGGACTCGGATGAAATCCCCATTATTGAGTATCGCAACTCAGAGGCTCTCAGGAAGGACCCTCGGAATCGCACCGTTGCTCTGCTCGATGTACTTCGTCCGCCGGGCTCAGACATTGCTATCCTGGTTATGCCAAAGCTATTGGGATTCTACGTCCTTCCATTTCGGCATGTGAGCGAGATGTTTGAAGCTCTTGGACAGTTTTTGCAGGTATCATTGTCTTTACTCTATGTGTGGCTCGAGGACGTTCATTCACCCCCGCCGCAGGGCCTTGTATTCATGCACGAGCATCGAGTTTCTCACGGGTTCGTACTCTGCATGTTTCGAATGGCCCCGTTCTGACCTCCTCTACAGAGACGCATGCATTCTGAACGTTATGGCGGACGCCACACAATTGATACCTGGTGGCTTCCATTTTATTTCTCACTTTAGGACGGAAGATGGGCGTCGACGTATGACGTGGAAAACGCGCTCCTCAGTACCACCTGTGGACTATTTCTTCATCAATTTTGGACTCTCCTACCGCATCCTGACGAGGGAGTTGACCCTCGTATGATCGGCGGTGGGAGTCAAGACCGCACCGTGCCAGAGTTGCTCGATGGCATCCCTTATGACCCCTATAAGCTGGACGTGTACCAGTTCGGAGGAGTCATCGGGACTATGTGCCAGGTGAGTTTCTAAGTCTTTCCTACATGCGCGCCCACTTGGAAAGTCACTCACATACCAGATTGGATAGACCTACGAAGGATTTGGACATGCTCAGACCGCTTGTATCTAGGATGAAGACACGCGACTTCACGCAACGCCCGACGGCCACAGAAGCCTATCAGATGTTTGAGGACATACGCTCAAGTCTCTCTCAGGATGACTGGAACAGGCGTATCTGGCACGTCCGGACAACCCCAGAGGATCGTCACCGCATCGAATTTCTCAGCGAAAATCCCATGGATTATAAGACCATGAAATTAAGCGGCTACTAATTTGAAACGCCAGTGCGTTCCAAAGCGGGAGTCTTACGGGGCGCACCTAAGTAAACCAGACCGAACTTCGTTGGTAGTTTACGCAGATGCTAGAAAGTAAGAACTAAGGTACGAAAATGATGCGAAACGAGATGAAAAGGCGACGCCAAACAGTAGATAAGATGGGCGTGATTAGATATGCTAGAGGGCGGTTACACCCGTTACATAATTATATTTCTCTTGTTTGACTACCTAGAGTTGCTTGTCTTCGCCGTCAGCTGCCGCATTTCCCCTCTTCGCGCTCTTTCAATTGTACCCTTCCAGTGCTGTGTACAAGACCGAGCCCACCAGTGACTTTTGCCCAGCTAGCTGAGGTTGCCTCGTGATAGCGAACGGCCGATAATCGTTGGTGACGGCTTCTTGTCAGTTGGCCATGGAGTCTCGTCTGTTATTGTCTTCTCCCTTCGTTCCCGGCGTTCAACATATGCTTCGAGAATCTCTGGATCCCAACGTCATTGCTGTGGGCGAAACCCTCTTCCTGGTCAGCACCTGCAGATTGTTCCCAGGACCCTGCTCCTCCAGACCTCCATCGGGATTCCGAGCCCTGCCCATTTGGTTCCATGATCCATTTCGTGTGATCCTTCCTTGCTGTCAATTTGTTGGAGTGAACACACAGCTGCCTCGTGCTTCTCGTCATAATTTGACTCACTAGAACCTTCGCCAAGAGGTCCGTTTGCGCGGGCGAGCCGCACAGCGTGCCACCAATGATCTACAGGGATCTATAGTTTATTTTTCATTGTCATGTACAATTAGATATAAGTAGTACCGATTTATTGAGGATTTAGTTGCAGAAGAGAGATCAGTCATTCGATCAAAAGTACCACAAGCTCGTTAAAGGATTATGCACCTTCAAATCGCCCTCATGATGAGAAATCTCCCCGCCAAGTCTACATCTGAGATGACACGGAACCATCGAACGGAGAAGGCGGAGTAACAGGGGAGGGAAGGAGAATAAGCGCTCGCCGACGCTGCAGCGCACAGCGTGCACCTCACTCCGCCTGCTGCGGACAAAGCATGCGTGCCCGATCCACTCCAGAAGAAATTGTTCCTGCATGACTCCGAAATTGTGAGCAAACGCCTCGTGCATTCCATCTACCGCATGATTGTGCGGTCTCAGGGAGGTATGAGATATTTCCTGATCGGCGGAAGCCAGGTTGTCTGAATGAATATAACTTGGTTTGAGCCACGTCGTGTAAAGGTCGGGGCAATAAAGTATCTTTGAAACATCAGAAAAGCTCAACAGAGAAGTGGAGATTATGACATATGGAGGTCGCATTTCTCCGTTTGACGTGCTGTGTGGACTCACAATGGGCCTTATAGCAGATGTTGCGCAATATTGAGTCACATACTGTCGACGATGAGGAACGGCCGCCCATTGCATGTCACCGGTTTTAAATTCCAAGCCCGATATCAAGATCAGAGGACGAGCGGCCAGGTGCAGAAGCCTTGCTGACAGCGATTGATGGAAGGTGCCACCATCAAGACCAAGCACTGGCTGGAAAAGGAAAGAGTTCCCTTTTTCGACACGCTATGCACAGCGTAAACTGTTGGCTGAGTCAAGTGGACGCGAGCGGTTTAATCGTCTACAGGTGGGGTTAAACGTAGTCCACTCAAATGTTGGCCACTTAAAGAACGCCTTCGTGGAGATAACCAGAATCTTGGTAGTTTCTCCGAGCAGCAAGCCCAGAGGAATGCAGAATCGCAACATTCTTGTGCGGTGTGGCCTCTCGTTCCTGTTCTGAATACCAGAACAAGGCAGAAAAAGTTTTTATAAACTTTGATTTGGATAAAAAGCGGCAAGAATCATCACTCAGCAGTGTCAGCTCCCCTAATACCCCCAGCAGAATAACACGCACCACGACGCCGACTTAACACATCAATATGGACAGCTCCCGTGGTCAATATCTTACTCAGATCAGCGACCTCATTAGAGAGATGATTGGTTTGAAAGTCAGGATAGAGAAGGAGACAGACCAGAACCTGAGGGACTCCCTCCTCAATAGTGTCAACCAGTACGTGAAGTTCTTCATTTTACTCCAGTCCCCAGCTGTTTTTCCATGCTAACATTCAATCATATTTTAGCAGCCTGGAGGAATTACGTCGTCTGAGCGCTGACCGTGGCGCAGTTTCCTTCCTGGCTAAACTCACTGGAGTTGAAACTGGAACGTTGGGGCAGCAGGATATATTCCTGTGGCATCAATGGATCAGTGAATTTCGTGTTGAATACGAGGTCTGTTCTGCGTTTTCGGATAAGCTATCACTGACCCGTTGCTCCTTCAGACGCTTTCCAAGGAGTCAGAAGCAGTGGAGAATAAGAGACGTTTTTTGGCCAACTGTCGTGCAATCGAGGAAGAGGTGAACAAAAACTGGACTAAATGGGTCCCCGTGGCAACTATTGGTGTGCCTTCGACCGAGAAATACGCGTAAGTAATCCGGGCATCATCTAGAGATTTAACCAGAATATAACAACTATGGACAGGTATAGTCATGGCATTGGCGACGAAACATCACACTTGATGATCGAAGAGTAGCCAATTTCATTCTGTGCGTCGAATAAATCTGATCATGGCGTTAGGCCCCACCACCGCAGACACCACCGCCGCGGCCCCGGGATGTCCATTCCAGGATTTCAACCGTACGTTCTGCTTCTCATAACAACATTCCCTCTATTAATCTGTACGGCCTTCTCAGAGTGCCAAGTCACTTCGTCCATCCTGATCAAGCTATGTCACCTTTTGTGGCGGGCTCCGACAACAGGAGGTGTGTCCGAAATTCACATCTCATTCCAAGATGGCCTATTTCTAACTCGATTCCACCAAACTATAAAGCAGTGTCGCATCCAGTGTCCCGACCCTTCCACCTGGACATTTGGGTTATCCAGCGTACGTCGATGGTCCTCCGCTCTACGCTATCCCTGGCTATGCTAATATCTCACTTAGGCCAAATGTGCTAGGCAGGTCGGATGGCCCTCATGGACCGAGTCATGCTCAAGCAACCACGTCGGCGTCTGGAAACAGGTTGGCGATCTAACTTACGTTAATTAGCTCCGATGACTGTTAACATTATCACAATTGCTTTGTGTTCCGCGGCAGACCCATTGATCGACGGATTCTCTCGCCCGATAGATTCCAGGATATGTTGACAAGCATGTACGGCCCACCACCGTAAGTGGCTGTCCCTCAGACCTTGCCACTGAAACACAATATTTGTCTGCTAGAGGGCAAGGTATTTCTGGCCCACCACAAGCCGCGCACTTTCCTGCAGGGGTTCCTGTCTCACAGCAAGGCCACTATCCACAACTATCCCAAGTTCCAACTATTCCCATCAGCAGTACTATCAGGCCCAGCAGCAGTAAGTCGTTATTGTACTAGGGAAACTCCATCATAGAGCCTCACCTCAAACCCTAGCGGCCTGCCCCCGCCCCCACCGGCGCATCAATTTGGGGGCCAATATCCTTGGACAACAAGCCAATACGGATATGGCGGTCAACCTTCCCATCAACCTGGCCCGTCGAGTCAGCCTTACTATCCAAATTACCCGACGTACGAGTTCGGAGGCTCGATCTATAGCCACTCTTCCACAGGCGAGGGAGAATATGAGGATGAATCGCAATAGACCGACGTGCAACCACGAGTAGCATATTGAAGACCAGATTTAAGTGGGGAATGAGGACGAAATCAAAGGAAAGGAAATCAAATGCTTATTACTTAGCAAGCATCTTATTGTCTTTAGTGCCCGTTTCTATGTGTAATTTTCATTGGAGGTTATGTAGTAGTATAACAATCTGCCGTAAATGTAATATCACAATATGAATCAGCGTTGAAACTAAAGACTGTCGTGACTCTAGAGGCGTACCGACGGTAAACTGAGCGCAGATCGTATGACATCCTTTTGAATTCCTGGAGTTCATGAAATCCCATGGGCGGAAGGTCTGAGGCTTGACGGGTTGGAAACCCCGTCCAACCCGTCCGCGTATGGCAGCCAACACGACCAAGAAACAGCATACTCGCATCGTAAACCTGACACCAACGTCAAATGACGCAGTATCCCTGTCTGCGATGGTACAGCCATCTGCTTGTGTGTAGATCGAGCATCGACATGCATGAGCAAATCGTGATGTAGCTCGAGACGACGGAGCTGGAGGAGCTGATATTCGTGCTCATGCTCGTCTGGCAGCCGCTATGCGGATACCAGGACATCAGCCCGCGTCCTCGGCATACTGGGTAGAGGATGCACACTGAACCGAGCAAGAAGGCTACTGTGATCCTCACGAACGGCGGTGGGGGAGAGGGCGGGGGCTGTATGCATCATTGAGTTGGGTGTGCCCATTTTTTACCGTCGACAAGTGTTCGTTACCTTCATTTCTCAGCATCCCGCGGACACCCCTCAGCCTCGCCATCTCTCGCATTCAAAAGATACCACACGAACACCCCTGCCCACATCCCCTCAGACCGAAGACAGCAGGCGGCGGGCAGTATACTGTGGTGAACGTAAGTCTCTGCCGTGAAGGGTTACTTACCTGAAGTTAGTGCACAGGTAGTATTGCCGTTGCGTGGGTGGGAGCCCCGAGAAATTTCAATTAAATGAGTGAGTAAAGCGGTCGACGGCCCGGGTGAGCCTAGTGGCACGTGTACTTTGACTCTGTTTGCGGGGGATTGTCATAATTCATGCACAGCTTGCTGAGCCATATCTTCTTCTCTTCCATGGGCTTAGAGCTACCCTTCTTCTGCTAGTTGCAAGATTCCGAAGTATGGGGAACACGTCATCCTTAACTGCTCCACTCACCAGCGAATCCACGTTGCGACCTGAACTTCTACCATACGAGCATTTCTGGGTGCTTCTCCAACCATATTTGCTGGAACAGGGATACAAACTACGACCACGGTATGACCCGCGCTGGAAGCCATCGTGGAAGCGTCGTGCATGGTTTAGAAGTCACTTTACTCCCGAGGACAAGCTGGCGATTCGGGTATGTTATGGTGACAGCCTTGATCCTCCGTCGCTACAATTACTATTATTTTCCAGAAGCCCGATGTGATAGATGCTATCCGAATACGAGATAACACTGCTGTTGTACTGAAGGTTGTGGAAAGATTTGGTGACGAGCTCCGAATCATCCAGTACCTGAACTCAGAGCCCCTGCGAGCTGACCCTCGCAATCACACTGTCCCGCTACTCGATGTTGTTGCTTTACCAAACTATAGCGATCGTGTCATCATAGTAATGCCAATGCTTACTGGATTCTGCAGCTTACCTTTCCGTTATGTGAGTGAAGTTATGGAGGCTCTTGACCAATTTCTTGAGGTACGCTCTCTTTTTCGTGCAGTCCACACCCGAATTCACTGATGACTCAGGGATTGGCATTTATGCATGATAACGGCGTGATACACAGGTGGTTTCATTCTTGATGTATTTCCCTGTATGTTCATTACTAAAATGTTGTAGGGATGCCTGCCGCTTGAATCTCATGATGGACACTACCAAGATAATACCGGGGGGCTTTCACTTTCTCTGGCGAATCGTAGAACTCGATGGCAAAACCCCCATCCAGTGGCACGACCGCCGTTCCGTTTCCCCGGTCTCCTACTATTTTATCGACTTTGGCCTCTCTTTGCTTGTATCAAAGGATGAGGATTACGTCCCAGGCTATGGGTGGGTTGGGCAAGACCGTACTGTTCCAGAATGCTTCAGCGGTGCTCCGTACAACACTTATCATCTTGACGTGTATCAATTGGGCAACATCATTCGCCAATTATGTCAAGTAAGTCCGAGCCATGTAGACTATCTCTGAGCCACCTACTTAGTCGTGATACAGGCATATCCTGGGCTTGCATTTCTCATACCCCTCGGCGAGGCAATGACCCACCAAAAGCCAACAGAAAGACCTGGTGCTGGACAAGCATCCCAACTCCTCAGATATATTTTGTCCAAGTTGTCCAAAGATCAGTTGGCCCAACGCATCTGGCATCGGGATGTCACAGCGGAAGAGCGCCAGATGGTCGAAGATAAAGGGGTCAACCCAATGATGTGTGCAAGCGGTATATAGCTTTACTTTATCATGAATAACCCCTCCCCTGTACCACTACGCTATGCTTTGCTGTGTTTAGCTTTCTTCAATATAAATTGTCACTTTGTCTTTCTTGCCTCACAGTCAAATCCAATGGTGCTAGGAGTAAAAGGTGATGGCGCGTTTCATTACCATGTTCAACCCCGTTGGTGCCTATCCATCCTCTTCCTGTAATTGCGTCTTCTGGTTTCCACAGTTGTGTACCAATCCTTATGCTTCCCGTAGTCTACTACGGGATAATACGAGGCTCAGCCTCACAGCACTATCCGCGATCTGCCTAAAGCTTAGAATTGGGGGTTAGATACAACTGACTCGTGTGCTCATGCCAGCCCTTGGTTCTCCGTTGCGTTTCTACTCCCCTGGCGACTCGCTGGGGATGGTCTCTCGACCTTTACAGCTATTGGCAGTCTCGCGAATGGAGACACCATCCGTTTGTGCCCGAGCCATTATGGTAATAGGTCGGCTCAATCCGCCACCAAACATTCAGGAATAATTTATGAGAAAGTCGGGTGTCGAAGCAAAAATGTCACCGTAAGCTCTCACTGTCCCTCTATAGCTCTCTCCCAGGACAGTCGTCGTTCTCGGCATTTATAGATATCAAGTTGGGTGTCAGAACGCGAGAAAATAATAGGATCGGCTCCTGGAAGGCACAACCTGTCTTGACAACAAGCGTTGTCCTAGAGTACATGGGAAATCAGTTGTATTCGAGGGGATTCTCATTACAGAACTCAACCCGATGGCGCAGTTCCGCTGGCGTTCTCGTCTTCCATATGCGTTGATGATTCAATTGATCCTCGCTCAGGTTCAATATTGTGTCCACAAGCAACTCATAGGCTTCGGTAGCGCTGGGGCGCTGATCCGGATCTGGACGTGTCATGGCGTCCGCGAGCGGTTTGAGAGATGAAAGATCCTCGTAGATCTACGCGTATTCATCAGTTACCTTGCAGAAAATATAGGAAGGAATACTCACGTCAAGCTGTTTCACGATTACATTTCCGAGTTGATAGATGTCGAACTTAAAAGCGTCGTAAGGAACTTCCAGCGATGCCTCGGGCACTGTTCTATCCTGGCCGACCGGTCCCATAAGATTGAATTTTGCAACATTCGGAGGAAAGCGATAGGATAAACCAAAATCGATTATATAGTACCTCACTGGGGCGACAGATTTTCGAGGCACCCATCTGAGTTCTTTCTTTATGCCGTCCTCTGTCATCCACCTTGCGAAGTGATATCCCGTGGGCACGACCCTAGAGATGTCCATCATGAAGTTACGCCAGCACGCATCTCTGAGGAGCGGGTCAGCAAATTCATTTCGACGGCAGAATATTGGCGGACCTATGAGCGATTTTGTGTTCGTGCATGAATACAAGTCCTTGGGTGCTTGCCGGTGGTATCAGAAAGGTTGTACAAGAGATAAAGAGACCTGATATACCTGAAGAAATTGCTCCAGGGCCTCGCATACTTCGCTCAGAAAACGGAACGGCAGTCGATCAAACTGCATCAACATAGGCATCACGAGCAGAGCGCTTTCATCCGTCCAGGGAAGTATTACCACGTCGAACAGGGGGACAGTCTTATTTCTCGTATCTGAGCGCAAGGGCTCGGATGTCAGGTAGCGGAAGATGGGAATTTCGTCCGAGGCTGTAGAAACATATTTGAGGACAACCCTCGTGTTGTCACTGAGGCGTATGGCATCGATAGCAGCAAGTTCCTACACTATATTAGTCGCAAACTGACTGATGGAAAACAGTAAAGAACATACTTTAATGTGAGAGTAATCTTCATGGTTGCGAGGACGAACGTTGAACTTCAACGGACCTGTCCAGGATGGCTTCCAATCTGGGTGATATCGTGGTCGCAGTTTGTAGCCACGCTGAAGGAGAAAAGGTTGTAGTTGGACCCATTTTTCTTCATGAGGGAACACGTTAGGAGGGAATGGGTCAGGTTTCGATGAAGAGCTGCCCATGAGTCGGACAGCAGTGCAGTGGAACCTCAGGAAGTTGCGCCGTCGGTGCTTGGGGGATCCGCGGATACGTCCAGATCGCACCAAGAAGGAATCCTAGAACGTTCAAGGGAGACTGAGCAATCACGAGCGAAAGCAAGCAGACAAAGCCATTGAGGGAGTGGACCAAGAGAAAACGCTACAGGCTGAGTACTAGTTCGTCGGTAGCCCACACGTGATGGAATTATCCCACGCCGTTCTCATTATCTCTGCCGCGGCCCGCCGCCATCGTCGTGAACCCAGTTCAACCCACCACCATCCCCTTCGCCGCCCACGCCGATGCCCATTCCGATGCCCATTGTTCGCCCCTCACCCACCCCTCTCCTCCCTGATGACTTGTAGCTTCACTACGCCCTGCGTTTGCATTCTCATCGTCTACGGCCCCGATGACTCGCTTGTGCTACAACCCAGTTTCCCCCCTCTTGTTACGACGCGATAAATGGGATTCTTGTAAGCTTCGCCGACAAAAGACGTCTGTAAATCACTCGATCTCATTGTATTATAATCCACAGGGTTTTCACCAAGAAATTCGATGCGGTGACGATCCTCTGGGGGTTGCCCGGACGTGCCAAATACGCTTGTTCCAGTCTTCCTGAGAGCGTAGATCCTCGAAGATCTGGTACACTTCTGTAGCTGTTGGCCACTGCATGAAGTCGGGCGTCCTCGTCGCAGATACAAGCGGTCCAAACATATCCAATCCTTCGTAAGTCTGTTCAATGTTATAAGCATGGGCGGAGGGACACGCAGGGCACCTACCTGGCACACTGTCTCAATGACCCCTCCAAACTGGTACACGTCCAGCTTGAAGAAGTCATAAGAGATATCACTGAGTAACTCCAGCACAGTACCATCTTGGCCGGCCACTTCCGCCGATTACGCAAGGATCCAAGTCCCCGTCTGGGACGCGTTCGGAGAGCCCAAAGTCGATGAAGAAATAGTTCATGGGTGGTACCCAGGAGCGCGTTTTTTATGTTATACCTCGATGTCCGTCTTCCTGCCTGACGTGAAGAGCAAAATGAAAACTACCAGGTACCAAATGGGTGGCGTCCATCATGACATTCAGCACGCAAGCGTCTCTACAGGCATGTCAGAAAAGGAACACGGAAAGCATGGAATACTCGAACCTGTGAGCCATTCGGTGCTCGTGCATGAAGACAAGGCCCTGTCCAGTGTACAGGGTCGTCGATGACTGTCCTCTGGCCTGACACGAAGATGAACAATACCTGTAGAAATTGCCTCAAACATCTCGCTCACATGCATGAATAGAAGAACATAAAGCCCTAATAGCTTGGGGATGACAAGAATAGCCATGTCAGAGCCCGGGGGGCAAAGTACGTCGAGAAGTGGGACAGTGTGATTCAGAGGGTCGTTCCTGAGAGGCTCAGAGTTGAGATATTCAATAATGGGGATCTCATCCGAGTCCAGTCGAACCTGCTTCAAAACGACGCGGGCATCGATGCGAATGGCGTCTAGGGATGGAAATTTCTACAGTGCGATTAGCTTCATAGCAGCAAGGGATATCATAAATACGCACCGGACAGGTCGGACCACCCTCACAGTCGAAAGCAGAGACTCCAATACGCTAAAATCGTTTCCAAGACGGCCTCCAGCCTGGGTAATACCTCGCTTGCAGTTTATATCCAAGATTAAGAAGCACCGGTTGGGGGTGAGCTCAACTTTCCTCTCCGTATGCTAGGTATTTCGAAGGGATCTTCTGCATCCTCTTCAACGTGAGGGTCTTGAGGAGGAAAAGAGGGCTTACAATTGAGGTCGACTGATGACATTAAATCTCATGTGCGCTGAGAGGGAGACACGGGTTCGGCCGAACTTTCGGCATAACTCAGCTGATGGGAACCTTTCAACCTTGCCGATACGAACACTGAGTACTGAGTACAGTACTGAGCGCTGAGCAGCCAAGCAGACGGGCAATGAGGGGAGGAACACATAAAGGAGATCCAGCGAGGGGAGACCAATGAGGTGAGTTGCGACTGATCACTGTACAGAGTATGGACGCCTCACCACCGTGCTCCATAGATGCCCACCGTGCCGCCGTGCCGCCACCCTCACCCATATTGGACGGCTTCGACCGTTTGCCGCCTTGCATCTTCTGGCTGCGCCAGCCATCCACCACCTTGCTGTTCCCATTGGGTCGTGCGCACCGCACCGCAGGGGGTTAACGAGGACGAAGCCCCTCCCTGCCCTGCAGATAACGACAGTGCCCTGCACCTCACTGCTGCAACCATGGTGTGCCACGTCACGGCGATTCAAATTTCACCACGAACAGCAGTACCCCACCGTGCTGTGAGCCCGAAAGCAGGTCAGTGGACTCCTGCGGCCCCGACCCCGCACTCGACATTGCCGCCCTCGTGCGCGTCCCATGGCTCAACGCCCCACCGTCCTGCCAGCCCGACCACACAATTGATGAGCCGGATCCACCTCTAACACTGGAATTCGCGCAAGACGACTCTTCCGAACATTTCGTCATCACGATACGGGCTCGCCTCGACACGTCTTAACGATCACCAAGCGACTCAATGAGTCGCGGATGCCCACTCAGCGCTCAGCAAGCACAGTCGTCTCCGTGACCAACAGCAACCCTCGCCATGTGGACAAAGGCACTCGGTGCGCCACTCTTTCCGCTTGAGGTAAGTCTTGCCACCTCCCCTGCCCCTTGCGTCGCTCTTATTCCTTTTTTTCCCTTCATTCATGTTTAAAATTTTCCCTCTTTCTATTTATTCCTGAACACAATTCGGCAAGACCTTTCCTGCCGAACTCCTTTTTCTTTGTAGTATAAAAAGCTCTGTATTTCGTGTTTTTCTGCAATAAGAACTGGTTCTCGTCTCATTTTTCCCACTCAGGGCCCTCGTCTCCAGTCCTCGTCACTTGCTACCTTTGTTTCTGATCTTCCACCCTCATTTCATTCGTCGGTTTGAAGGCGCTACTACCTCAACTTTCGATTTCGCCGTCATCTCGAAAACGTTCCCACGCTTAACATCCGTCGTCGCGTTTTTGAGTCGCGCGACCCTCACGGTTAGAATCGCACAACCGCGGAACTCATCCTCGTACCTCAGAGCCGCACATCACGGTGTTTGGGTGTTTCTTATTTCGTCGGTCCGCACGATCACCCACCGTAGGCACATCACCATGCATGTCCCAAAGAACAACGCCAGACCGGGCCCTCTGCGTTAGACCACAGCCATTGGCCGCGTCACTGGCACCCCGCCGACGCTCACCACCCTGCCCTGGCACGACACCGAGCACTCGCCGCTTCATGGAGACACCACCGTCCCAATGGTCTAGATCCCTGCTTCCTTGTTCTTCGTCTTCCTCCGGGCCCATATCCAGCTTGTAAATCTGGCCCCGATGGGCGCCCCCGGCGCAACCTCGAAGCACCCGCTAATCCGAGAGATCTCCACTTCCGACCTTTCGAATACGGTCCTTCTGTACCCGATACACCCTAAGGCTTGCAAACGGGAGGAGAGGCGCTGGAGGACGCAGCAGCGGCCGTGCCAGTGGCAGGAGGTTGCCGTTTATGGTCGAAAGATAGTGCAAAGGACACTTCGATGGGTCTGAAAGACGTTTAGAACGACTCCGCCATAGCTGGCTTTCTGTTCAACGTCAAACACATTTTCAAGTTTCCTGCTAATGTCTTCGAGAGGCAATCGTGAGGGTGAGGCAGCGTTTGGTCTGAGATAGGGACTCATGTTGGCGTTGAATAATGAGTCTGACGCAGTCATGGAGTGGCGAAACGGGCGAGGAAGCACCGTGCAAAAGCAGTGATGGAAAGTGTGAGAGACTGGATCCTGTCGCGCGCTAGCGCTCCATGCTCACGGGAATTTCAGCACTCGCTGGGGCTTGAAAACGTTGGTTATTGATTTGAATGGTACACCCAATCTCTGCAAATCCACAATTTTAGGCCCCTTCTCACCCTCCATTACGGTATACTCGTAGGGAGTTACTATAACCAGGTGTTTTCACAACCTGGGATTGCCGAGACACCTTCCCCGGACGAATCTGTTCCAGCTCTTCGAGCCTACAGAAAATATAAGACCCACGTATTCCAGTATACCCGGTGAGACGGAAGATCCAGAGCTTGGATGAAAATAGATCCCTTACTGCGATGGTCTAGCGATAATAAAGAGGTGTCGGCGTTTATTGTGTGCGGTTCCCCGAGCCATTGTGTATCCTTTCCTGACCTGATTTGCCCTGCCTTGGGGTAGGTACCATGTGGATCTGCCTCCGAATTTTGCAGACTTCAAGGGCAACACGGGAAAACAATGACGGAGGGCATCAGATGAATAAGCGCCCGCGAATGCCGTACTGCACAGCGCGAAGCACCGGCAATGCCTTTACGGCAGATAACGTCCGCATGGTCGTCCAGGCCACGAGGACACAATCTCAAAGAGGCTAGAATGTTTCTCAGGTACCCAGCGCGAACGGTCGGAGTACTGCCCGGCCGCAGTGCCCAACCCTCGCCCAGGAACATGGCACTCCAAATGACGACCCCCGTCCCTACCTCATTTGAAACTTAAACAGCCTGCCCTTTCTGACTTGATGGCTCACGAAAGACACCGATGGGGGGTCCATGCCAAACACCCTGCCAAACACCCTCGAAAGCGAAATCAGCCTTGTCGTCGACGACGACGAGCGCAGCAAGTATATGCTACAAAAATATTTAGGAGTAGTTCTACAATCTTAATAAGCATTATTTAGAGAAAAAATGGAGCCCATGAGGCCCAGTGGAGCCAATGCAACACTTCGAAACGGGAAATAGTCAACCTTGCATGCGCGCATGTGGCTGTGCATTTGGGCGCGCGTGCGCTAATGGCGTGTCAAGACGCGGGCACTCTGTGGATCCGAAAATCCATTCGCGTATTCTGCGCATCAAACGTATAGTATGAATATAGATACTCCCGAGGCATTTGGACCTCATGGGGCCATCAGTGGAGGCATGGATTTTCTTTTTTTAAAAAAGGGGAATTGGCAAGTTAAATGATTTATAGGACTATACACTTTATTTCCGCAAAGTTGGCACCGACTGGAGTAGTGAAAGATTATCCCATTACATAGCTGTTTGTAGCCGGGCTCGTTCACTTAATGTGATCCGGACCTTCTGGTACCGCGTTGGCAAAGATCAGCGTGCTCAGTGTGAGATTAGCGTGCCATGGTCATAGATGTACGTTAAGTCAATCACCTTCGGCGTCTATTAGTATTCGAGTCTGTGAAGCTTGGGCGCGATATTCCTGAATTAACTATTGCTGCCCTCCCTGTGGGCTTGTAAGTTTGACTGGATGATCAAGGATGTAGTATGAAATACTTGGTGACCTTACCAGCAGTATCGAGATTATTCGATATACTTTATATGCAAGGCCTGCGCTGAGGCACTATCCGGCGTGCTTGAAGATTCACACAGCTTGTCCTTAGCCGCCTGCTTACCATGGGTTTGAGAAAGCTGTGGGATATGACAATTAGCATTAATTTCCTCTCTCGCCATGAAAGATCCGATGGATTTTGGAGAAGCGGACCAAAACAATAGATTATACCGTCATAAATGCCCGCGTCTTGACACGCCATTAGCGCACGCGCGCCCAAATGCACAGCCACATGCGCGCATGCAAGGTTGACTATTTCCCGTTTCGAAGTGTTGCATTGGCTCCACTGGGCCTCATGGGCTCCATTTTTTCTCTAAATAATGCTTATTAAGATTGTAGAACTACTCCTAAATATTTTTGTAGCATATACTTGCTGCGCTCGTCGTCGTCGACGACGACAAGGCTGATTTCGCTTTCGAGGGTGTTTGGCAGGGTGTTTGGCATGGACCCCCCATCGGTGTCTTTCGTGAGCCATCAAGTCAGAAAGGGCAGGCTTGCACTTCTGGGCCACCGTATGTGCGGCGCTCTAGCAGCCGCCTAGATTCCATTAGGAAAGAGATTCAACTAAGGAAGCGTGCACAATTGGCGGATGCCTCGTGTTTTCTGACTCGCTCAGCGGGCCTGGGCAGATCGTCGCGATTCAAGGCCTTCCAATGACGAATGAATGCGACTATCAGTTGCCCGCTCAAGAAGGGGTATCGTATAAACCTTCCAAATCGAATCGTATTGACTCTGTCTCCCAAGCAGTCGTCATTCCCGAGAGACAGTAACGTCTCCCCGGACGCAGTGCCCGTACGCGCTCAATTGCCATCTACAAGAAATGCCTTCCAATTCTGCAGCGTTGTTGGCGATCTGCCGTGAAGCCACATTCTATGCTGTGTTCAGGGCACTTTCATTTCCTTCTCTCCTTTCGATTAATGACCTGATGGGAGAGGTCGTAAATCAAATCTATTCTCAAATAAGGATGTGGGGGTTTCGTGATACACGGAGTCGCGGTGACGCGCTTGTCGGCCGGTCATTCGAAGAGAAGAAAGGAAACGTGTTTTCCCCGAGTTATGTGAAGGACAAGGGCTCGGGAACCGTCCAAGAAACACCTTGTACATGCGGCCACTTTCATAGACCACTCCCCCACTCACGCGCCTCCAGACTATTCAGGCCTTCGCACGCTGTAGTGTTTCTCACTCACTTTGGACTGATATCGAGATGTGATCACCATTTGACTCGTTGTGAGTGGGGTTCGTGACTTAGATGTTCCTGCGAAGGCGCTTTCAAGTTAGCCTAAGTTTGGACGTATGTGACTGAGAGGCACAACAAGTCCCTCCTTAGTTCGAACGTCAGGGAGATCAAAAAGAGACGCTATGCAATCGGTCTTCCAAATCGACAATGGATTCTATTCATCCACACGCTGACACCAATGGGAGATATCCCATCAATCAAAATACTCTTCGACAGGGTTTTCACCGCAAAATTCAATGCGATATCGTAGATCCGGTGGTGTCCGCCTATGCCAGATTCGTTGGTCAAGCTGATCTGGAGCCAAAGACGCGACAATTTCGACGAGCATTCTGTGGGCCTCTGCAGCAGAAGGCCGTTCTTCCGGGTTCCGATGAGTCATCACGTCGGTTAGTGGCTTGAAGATAGTCAATCCCTCGTACATCTACAGAGGAGGTGTTAGAGCTGCCTCTAGGCATAAACCAAGAAAGCGCTTACCCCAACCAGTCGAGCAAGAACGTTCCCGAGTTGATATACGTCGTATTTAAACGGGTCGTACATTTCACCGGTCAGTCCCTCTGGAACGGTTCTGTCTTGCCCGAACAGACCGCGAAGTTTTACGCCGGTGACACCTGGAGGAAATTGAGAGGACAAGCCAAAATCGATGATGAAGTAGTCCGGTGGAGAAACAGATCGCCTTTCCAATGGTCGAACGCGTTTATAGAGCCCGTCTTCCGTATCCCAGCAAGCGAAATGGTATCCATGTGGTAAGACATGGGTGACATCCATCATGAGATTGCGATAACAAGCATCTCTAGGACATAAAGTCAGGCTCAGGAAGATAGGGTGCTTGCTTCACTCACCTGTGAGCAATATTGTGCTCGTGCATGAAGGCGAGTCCCTGGTCGTATTCTGAGTTCGGTTCTTGGACCGAAAAATTGAAGATTCATACCACAAAGAATTGTTCCATAGATTGGCACAGTTCGTTCATGTAACGAAACAGTATAGCATTAAATTGCAAGAGCATGGGCATAACGATTAATGCTTTCTCATCTGTATGGGGAAACAGGATGACGTCAAGCAGTGGAACCGTTTTATTTCGAGGATCCGAGCGCAACGCGCCAGAATTGAGATATCGGATAATAGGAATTTCGTTGGATGATGTAGAGACTATTTTCATAACCACCTTCATGCCATCCTTGATCCTTATAGCATCAATTGTGCATGGCTTCTGTATCGTGCAAAGGAGGCATGAGTTAATTGACGACAGCAAAAGCAATTCCACCTACTGTTAACACCTGTCCGTCCTCAAATGCTGTGGCTGGTCCAAACAGAGAGAATTGCCGCGTCCAGGAAGGCCTCCAATTGGGGTCGTAACGTGGTCGTAGTTGATATCCCCTACGAAGGAGTAGAGGCTGTAGAAAGACCCATATCTCTTCGTGTGAGCAAATAAGAAAATTGGACTGATAAGAGGTGCCCAGGAGACCGTGACATATGAGGCCCATAGTAGTGTCAATCAACGTTTGGAAATACGTAAGCCAGGTTTGGCGAACTTTGTTCATCGAACCCACGACCCGTGACCGTGATCGCGCCCGTGGGAACCATGATTTAAGCTCTGTGGACTGCAACCCCCAACCACTTCGAACAGCTGCCATTACCACAGGACGCCGAAACTTCAAATCACACTCAAGGCTTAAGTGAACTCTCCCTTATATTTCTCATCCTTCATATCGCTCTGCTGAGGAAAGCAGGTTGAGCATCCTTGTCATTGCCACACCCTTCAATTCACCTCGCCAGCTAGTTGGCAGCGTCGGGTTATGGGGGTCGGTTGTTCTAAATCTGACTCTTGGGAATATCGAGTAGACGACCATGAAGAAATATGGGTAAAACTCCAGCCCTTTCTTCTCCGGCGGGGCTACAAACTGCGCCCCAGATATGATCCTAATTGGACGCCTTCCTGGAAGGGGCCCTTGAAATTCAATGCCAATAGACGGCACCACGAGGACTATTTCTCGACTAAGGTAAAAGAACTTTAATGGGATAAACCGTAAATGTAACTGAGTGAATTTTCGAAGGACTTTTATACCATCGATGCGGTCCGCCTGTGTGACAACACGAAGGTTGTCCTCAAGAACGTTTCTACAGGCACAAACGAAATCCCGATTTTTCGTTATCTGACCTCAGAAACTATGCTCTCTGATCCGAGAAATAGACTGTTCCCCTACTTGACGTGATCTTACTTCCATGGACGGATGAGAACGCGTTATTAGTGATGCCAGTGCTCATGCAGTTTGACCGGCTGCCATTCCGCTTCTTGAGCGAAGTCTGTGAAGCCCTAGAGCAATTTTTCCAGGTTTGCCATGGACACCCCTTTCCGCGTCGTATTCATTGACTCTGATCCAATTAGGGACTTGTCTTCATGCACGAACACAGAATTGCTCATAGGTATGCTGACGTCCTCTCTGCGAAAAGAGACTTCCTGACCAGGCCTTCAGAGACGCTTGTTGGCGTAACTTGATGATGGATATATCGAAGGTGATGCCGACGGGGTACCATTTCTCGAATTGGATGACAGAGGATGGCAGGAAGAAACCCCTTCAATGGTTCCCCAGGAAGTCTGTAGCCCCAGTGAAGTACTACTACATTGACTTCGGTCTTTCGTACCGCTTTCCCTCGGACGCAACCAGCTTCAACCTTATGGGAGTTGTTGGTCAGGATAAAACGGTTCCGGAGAAATTCGCCAAGGCCCCTTACGATGCCTTTAAATTGGATATCTACCAACTTGGGAATGTCATAGCGGAGCTACTCGAGGTGCGTCCTTGTTTTGGTGCTCAACGTTCATCTCTGTAATTGATTATTAATTTTCCAGAACTACGAGGACCTTACCGTCTTCAAAGGGCTGAGCGAATTGATGAAGAACCGGGATCCCATGCAGCGGCCATCAGCTTCGGATGCGTACGAGACGCTTGTGGACATCATAACGGATTTGACTGAGGAACAGCTCAATCGACGAGTTTGGCTCAAGCAGTCTCCGGCGGACCTGCGCTATCGTGTGGAATTCCTCAACGAAAATCCCGTGGAATACTATTGTTGATGCTGTGGCACTCATAATAAGACTGTGGAGATCGACATGTGTTTGGTGCTGTGATCGTCGCATCGCACGCGATTTTTCTATCTGGGATAGCAGGAATTTGCTGAGGTTTTCAGAGACACCCTTCGTCTTTCCAGGGTGGGCGCGGTGCTTGTGACCGAGGTTCTGTCGATGGGAATGCCATTCTATTCTATGGACCCTTCTGACTCGGGGTTCGGCTCTTTTCAGAACAGAATGCTCTTCTGATGCAGTGAATGACATGCACAACATGGTCCCTCCGGACCGAGAATTGTTTATAGGACAAGAAAAGGCAAGTGTTTCCTTCTTTGCACAGATGGAGGCTTAGTGGACTCAGTGCTGTGTACCATCTCATCCGGTTTAGGCCATGGTCCCCGGTGATGATACTACCCGATCCATATCATGTCCTACAAGTGAGAATGTTATTGCGAAGAAACTTTTGACTTCAAGTCCACGAGTCTCCGGCGTCAAGGTCCCGTCCTCGTCGCAACGAAAAAAGTTTTTGTATTTAAGAGCGCACAGACCAACAGATGAGGTATATATAATAGCGATCGCGAGTCTTTCTCTCCCAGACGCCCACATCCTCCTTCAATATCTCCCATGGACTTCAACTCTAGGGTGAAGAGCAAGCTTGCCGATGTCGAGAACATGCTGCGTGCGCTAGACGACTTCGAGCACACGCTCAAAGAAGACCTGGGAAGGGAACGAAGCCTGGGTCATGTAGGCTCTCTTCAGAACCAATTCCTTCAACAGGTTCATAAGTACGCCGTCGCTTATTCTTTTCTTGCCCTCGATCTAACACCCTCTGAAGGCTCCGTAAAGATCTCGAAGGATTTAGAGGCCGCTTGAATAATTTTCTTGCAGTCGTAAGAGCTCCTAAGAAAGACGATATTGAAGCCGCCATGAACCAAATTCGTCAAAATGTCTCATCTTATAAGGTATTGCTCACGCTTTTCTGATTCTATCCGGTGTCGCTCATAAGATTCACTCTCAAAGAAATTATCAGAACCCGATGGTCAGGCACAGGAAGCATCTGCGCAGGAAGAAAAAGAGGTGGGGCAAGCGATGAACAACACGAAGGAAGAGATCAGGAGAATGAGCACTCAATATAGGCGAGAGTCTACCGACGTCGCCAGGAAGTCTGAGTCGGGAGCCAGTGAGATTAAATTCAGGCAAGCATTGCATTTCACTTCGACGATATTTCTTTCTAATTACTTTATTGTCGGCAGACCGCGCGACTCTGGCTCGTCATGGACCCACGACGACCGTGCACCGCGCATTTTCCCTCCGTCGGATCGGTGAGTTGTGTCTTTCGCCCTGACTTACTTACAATCAACAACTTCCGCGCAGGATCTCCCGTCCCGTGTTCAGGTCTCGAGATTCAGATGATTCAGATGAGTATGTTCAATTCGTTGCTTCAATTATTTGCATCTAGTCCGTTTGACCATATATATTTAACCAGGGAGTCCAAAAGCGGTGCCAAAGTTTCGCAAGGCCCTAATCCATTTGAGAGGAAGATCATGAAGCCTTCAGACCTCCAGAGCATAGCGGATCAAGTTAGCCAGGGAGCAAGCTACGGCTCTCCGCCTGTATCCGAGTAAGCCACTACAAAAACACTCTCGGATAAGGAACCGATTGACTGATTTTTTGCTAGAGGATTGCGGCCGCGCCCTGCAAATATGGGAAGTGGTGCCCGTAGCTTTCATGGAGGGAGCACGGCTTCTCAGTACTCGCCCATGGCCAGGGTCCCGGTCGGTCAACCTCATACTGGCGTTTTCGGGCCATCTCCCAATGTCAATTCTCTCGGTTATCCCATTGGTCCGTCTCAGGGAGCTGGAGGAAGTCCCGCCTATTATGCCCACAGCGGGGATGGCAATGTGGATAGGCGCACCACGGGCTTTGGGGGATTCAATTCCCCGCCCTTGCCTATGTCCCACTACGGGCACGGAGGGACCCACGTCCACAGTCAGAGTATCGGGTCTTTCACTGGGAGCCAAGCGTCGACGGATACTAGCCCATCTTTGGGCGGCGAAGGGTACTCCGCTGCCCGCGACAGTTATTACAGCGTCGTCGGCGGTGGGACTCAGGCGCCCGCGGGCTACTCCTTCCCACAGGGCCATCCGGCCAGTTCTTCGTATCCTGTTGGCGCCGGTTCCGCCTATACAGCTGGCGGCTCTCCGGGTCCTTCATCCCAATGCATGGGCTGGCCTTCTTCCAGTGCGGCTTACCAGTCTTCCTCAAGCCCCAGTCAAGATCCTCGGGACCCGCGAGAACCCTTGGTGGGAAGGTCCCAAGGATGGCCGCTATGGTCGTAAATAGCTATGCCAACCAGTTCTGGCTCAGTAGAGCCGCTTCAGCACCAGACCTCACGATCACTAACAACCCCTTTTGCGCTGCGTACGACCGAATGCATTTCTTTTTTCTCTTATACTGTCCTAATCCCCGATCTGCCGATATTTTTTGAACAGCAAAAAAGAAAAAAGAAACACCATACATACCATGACGATTATGCCCGAGAACCTTTTGTATTTTGTGTACTTTTAACGAATTCGATTCAATCTTCATCGTAATGAGTGCTCAGAAGGACAGGCCACCAATCTCATCTTAGTAAAGTTGCGCTATAGCATGACGTAAGCTGGCAGGAGGTAAAGCCGTCTGATGATCACTCTCAGCGACATCGGCTTTAAAGGATGAATATGACACATGTTGACAACACATTCGTTACAGGATCAGCTTGTCTACACTTCGTTGCGCAGCATAATACTGAAGCAATGCTCGCAGTATGGCTGATCACCTCGTTGAAAGAAGGACGGGTCTTCGAAGGGTTTATGACAACTCTGGTTTCAAGGTGACGCATATTCATCAATCCAGCCTAGAAATGCACAGAATGAACGGACTCACTGCGCAGACAAAGCAACTCCAACACCATTTCCCTCCAAGGGCCTCGACGGCTTCTTCGTGGTCGCGAATCGACTTCTTACATCGTTTGCACTTCGGTAACCGAAGTCGAACATGACAAGCTTCGCAATACGGGTGACCCTTGTACACCGTAAACCCTTCAAATTCGCCGTCACCACTAAGAGCGAGCTCTCCTACGAAACGGGAACGAACATGTCAGATAACATGCCACAGAAGAGTAAGTGAGCTACCCACCATGAGAGTCCGTGGCGAGCTGAGTGGATGTGTCCAGGAAAGGATCGCCACATTCCGCGCAGAAGAAGTGCTGAGTATGATACGTTCTCTTTCCAAGCGCAGGATCATCCAAACTGATAAATTGCTCCTCGATGATGGCGGTTTTGCAGGAGTAACACCTCGGAGCGAAGTTCTACCCACGCGACTTCAGATGTCGAAAAAAAGCCTTATCAACAAAAGGACTCACCTCATGATAATCCAGATGGCAGTAAGGCCGCCCATCATGCTCGTACGAGCTAACATGCTCAAGCAACTCGCCGCACACCGCACATTTGAAGCAAGAGGGGTGCCATCTTGAACCCATAGCGCTTACAATTCGCCCGATGATTGGCCCATGGCACCCACCGCAGATGAGGCCACCTGGACGCTGCTGCTGCCCATACTGCTGCCCAGCGAACTGAGAATGCTGAGAAGGCGGACGCCGGGGTTGATGCTGGTGCTGTTCATGACGAGGGCCATGGTGATGCCCGCCATGATCGTCAGGCCCCGAGATGTTGATATTCGGACCGGAGTGGTGGGCGTCAAACTCAGGTCCGGAGACACTGACACCAGGAACCTCAAAGACCTGCACGTTTGGCCTATTCGCACCCTGGCTGGCCTGCTTCCTGGGTGTATCGGAGCCTACGTTAATCCTGGGAGGTTCGACATTGATCATGGGCATGGCGTTGGACATTCGGGGTGAAGAATCGATGTTGATCATAGGAATGGAGGACGGGCCAGAGTCAACATGAATCCTCGATACATTAGAGTTGGGGGTGTTGATCCTGGGGACCGTACGTTCATGGTCACTCCCGTCGTTGCTGTCTTCCTCCAACTTCGGAATATCTGCGAGCTTTTCTCTTCCTCCTATCGGATGCGGCGACTCAATACCAACCAGAGCGGGAGGAGCAGGAGTCTGAGGCTGCTGTCGGTTATCAAAGGAGAACTGAGGGCCTTGGTCGGGGAAAGAGAGCTGTGGCTGAGACCCAGGATGGCTCTGATTATGGCAATATTGCTGGGGTTGCTGGTGTTGACCGTGGCCAAACATAGGTTGCGAGTTCCCATGAGAAGAGGCGTAAATTTGGCTTTGAGGTCGCCTCTGCGGCGAAGCATTGACTTCCTGGTGGATGGGTTCGCTTGGAGCAGAGTACAACGATCGACGGCGTTGGAGCTGCTCGTTGGCAGTGTTCTGTGGGTACGCCTGGCTCTGAGGGCGACTCCGAGGCTGCTGGGGCAGTTCTCTCTTGAAAGTGTACCCTGATGGACCGGGAGATGGCGTCCTGACAATTGTCGCACGAGGTGGAGGGTCGTCTATGTTCAGGTTTGGTCGTTGATTGGGAGTTCCATGCACTTGGTTGTGTCGGAAATCTGAACCCTGCGATGACATGCCCTGTTGTGGCGGGCGAACATCGAAGTATCCTCCAGCATCGTTGCTAACACCTCCTGGAGTCGTTGCCGATCCAGGTGTCCTCGGCAGACGCGGAAGGTCTGCGGGCCATGCACCAGAGCTCGACGAACCGCGACTGTCGCTCCGGTTTCCATTGGGGCCTCCATTCAGATTAATAGCTGAAAACCTCATGTGGAGACTATGCCCCTGATTGGTTGGCCGACGAGGCGTCGTGTCCTGGTCGTCCTCATCCTCGTGGTGTTTGAGTGGGGTTATCTTCCGTCGTGGTCCTCCTTGAGACTTTTCCGGGCTCCCTCGACCTTCGCGTGTCATCGCAGGCAGTTGAGGTAGCCCAGTTGATCCACCGCGATATCTCAGTCTAGGGTCTTGGTCGTCGCGATAGACTCTTTCTCTGGAAGGACCGCGTCGACACTCTTCCTCTTCGTCATATTCATCCCTATACCGCGTCGTAGGATCCGTCGACAAAGCTCGCCGCTGCGCCGCGGAGGGCAGGTCACGAATACCCCACTGAGGACTTGCGGCTGACCGACTTTCCCTTCCTTCACATTGATCGAGGTCTCTCTCCCATTCCCGAACTCGTTCGCGTGTTCGCCTGGTGGCAGCACCTCTCTTCGGCATGTTCCTCCATTCCTCTTCCTCGCTCTCTTCGTCGTCCTCGTCCTCGTACGCCAACCTCACGTCGTCGTCGTCGTCATCGTCGTCGTACCTCCTTCGCCGTGCAAACGCTGACCCAGGCCTTGGTCGTTCCCTCTCGCTTGCCACTTCTCTTTTATGCCTGACAATCTCTCTCTCCTCGAATGCGCTCCTCGATCTCTCATGACTTCTGAGCTCCACAGGCTCTCGCTCGCGAAGAACCTTCTTCGGCTTGCGATCATGTAGCTCCTCTTGGTATCGCTGCACCCGCTCGCGAAACTTAGGCCGTATATTAACCTTGGTCGGAGAGCCACTACCGTCTTTGCGACCTATGGGGGACACGTCCATATATCCGCCATATGGATCGACCTTCTCCCTGGGGCGCAGAATCTTCTTCGTAGGCGACGCCCGCTGCTCTGGCTCATACCCGTATCCGCCATGAGATCGGTTCTGTCGCTGAGCTGGGTAGTCAGATTCCCCCTCCTCCTCTTCATCGCCCTCATCCGACTCTTCCTCTTCGTCATCTTCCTCCGTCTCCTCCGTCTCCTCTTGTTCCTGTGCCTGCTGCTGTCGGCCTTGGGGCGCGTAGCCCGCTGGGATCCGACTATGGGCTAACTGCGTTGGCTGTGACAGCGCAGGCAGTGATCCCAAAGGCTGCTGGTAATAGGACTGCCTCTGCTCGAACGTACTCGCTTTGGGGTATTGTGTATTGAGTTGCGTAGGAGCTACTGATGGAGTGGGTGCTTTTGGTGGTCCTATCTTCTTCTGCAGCTTACCTTTCCCCTTCTCAGGAGATCCGGGCTGTTGTTGCGCTGTTTGTGGGGCGGGCTTGGGATGTGGCTCCGACACCATCCCAGCGGCGTACCCCCATGCTGGGGCGGGCATTTCGGGAATCGTCGTCTCCATAGAGGGGTAAATTTCTTCGGCGGAGCAGTAGAAGTCGGGGAGGAGGAGGATTTGGTATCCGTAGTTATGTTGGTTGAAGTAGATGGGGCAGATGAAGATGGAGGTGTTGACCTAGCAGCTATTGTCGTCGTCGTTGTAGATGGGGGTGTAGATGTCGTCGTAGTCTTCCAAGATGTAGATGGCGGTGCCTCCTTCACAGGGCTACTGGAACTCGAATTAGGGTTGGACTGGAATCGAGGGGGACTAGCACGTCTGTTGGGTAGTGCTGATGTCCCACTGGTCGAGGCAGGGTTCTTGTTGATACCGATGGCGTAGCTTGAGGTCCTGGAAAGGATTGTGCTCTCATTAGGTTTATTCTGGAAGAGAGAAGGCGGTGTAGGTAGTGAAAATTTCGTTGGACTTTGAGAACGCTTGTCTAAAGTTGACGATGTCGCGGAAAATGCCGAACTTGATGCAGCAGTCGTTGACAGTGCAGGGGACGCTGATCCCGATACCAATTGTCCAAGATCGACGGTAGCACGCTTGTTAGCTGCTGTTGGTGTAGGTAAAGGTCGACTACGCGTGGGAGATGGGGTCTTCGAGGAAGGAGGAACTGTGGTTTGGATGGGTTGGACCGTTGGGAAAGGTTTACTCGATCCAGGGGCTGATTTTGCGCTCGCTAGAGTCGGGGCACGTTGGTGCGAGTTCGTTGGGGGCAGGACAGGGGTCTTGGCGTTTGCACCTGGAGAAGGTTGTGGCAACGGCCTTCGCGTGGGAGTTTGTATTGTAGAATGGCTCTGTTGCGTTTGTAAAGCCACCTGGGCCTGTTGAGCAGTCGCATGTTGAGCCAAGGTTGCCGAAGGAGAAATAGGTGGGCAGCGAGCCGTAGTAGCGGGCCTCCAAGACGTCCCGGCAGAACTTGTAGGAACCATTCCCGATGCTTTGTTTGGGAAAGACGACGTTGGCACCTGTGTTGGTGCTGGTACAGGGTGGGTCTGCTGAACAGGGTATTGTTGGGGCGGAGGGTACGGCGTCTGAGCCTGTGCATATGGAGTTTGCGATACAGGGTAAGGGGCCTGCTGTTGGGTAAAGGGAGTCTGCTGTGGTGCAAACGGGGTCTGTGGAACAGTGAACGGTTGGGCAAACGGAGTCTGTGTGGGTAGGTAGGGCGTTTGGGAAGGTGGATACGGCGTCTGGGGGGAGGCGAATGGAGTTTGGCTCATCGGAAAGGGTGTTTGCGCTGCTTGAGGCGGTGGCTGAGCATATTGTGGTTGGGAAAATTGAAACCCCTGCGTTTGGATCGGGAGTGGTTGCTGTTGAACAAAATTTGGATGGGACTGAAGATGAGGCTGAGGCTGAGGTTTCCCTAGTTGCTGGTAGATATTCTGAGGCTGCTGGAATACGGGGGAGTACTGCTGTTGCTGTTGCTGAACAGGCCGTCCCTGGGCCTGGAAGAACGACATGTCTGCAATATGCGATATCGATCTAGGACAAAACTAGATGGTATTAGCGCAGATGAGCGAGGAAGATTGCACAGTCGATAATCACCGACAATAGATTCTATGCTCAACAGGGTCTACAGTCCGCAGTAGGCTAGATCTCTGGCTCCAGAATCAATAAAATATCGGAAACGAATTGTCGAACGACGATGTTCAAGGTCAAGGTTGAAATCGCCAACAGAACGCGGTCATCGCCCCACACCGCGACACTCACATGACCATACCTCAATTCGACAATTGCCTAAATTTGGAGTGTGCCCCTATCAAGCTGGCCGAGTTTCCCTCTGCCGCAGAGAGGAAGGAAGCCTCCCACAATCCCAAACATAATAGTACACACTTGACTGAAAACTATCTATTAGAAATTCGTGAATTTTGCACCTTGCTCAAGGGTTGAAATGGCCTTCTGTCTACCCTGATATGCACTGCCATTGACTAGCTCGGTCGCGAATGACGCGAACAATGTGTCGGGCGCTTGGGTACACCGTGTAAATATTGTTGCTTGTCCATACTACATCGAACGGCAAAAAAATCGAGGCGTCGCAGACATTCACCCGATCAACTAGTCAAGGACATTGTCGCAATTGAGCCTGAAGGAACAAGTGTTCACAGTAGAGGTTATTTGCACCTCGAATATTCCTAGAATCGCGCAAATCTCATTGGCTGAAGGAGGCCCCAAGCCAATCAGATTCACGGATTTGTGGAGCCCTCAGAACTGCAAATAACCTCTAGTCGCCTGCTAGCCTTCAAGCCTCCATCATCTTGTGGCGGTGCATGGAAGCTGCCGAAAGCCCTAAAAGGCAGTTATAAGTTGCCGGAATTTGCCGCCTCCATTGAGGAGCACCAAGCCGACACTGCTTTGCGCTCGGCACGTGTGGCCCTGCCGTTCGCACTGTCGTCGTACATGATGGGGTGGAAACTGGTGGAAACTAATCTACCGCCCTGCTCGGGCTTCCAAAGGCCACTTTCATCCGTCTTTCCCTCACCACCAACGCCCTCCAAACCCTGCCTTCAATTTTTATCTAGGCACCGTATGCCGCCCAAGAAGGTCTGGTACCGCAAGATGTATTCTCTAACTGCAACAACACGCGTCCGGCGCGCTGCAAGGGTGTTATCGACAATTTTGGTTCTGTCTTTTATTTTCTACGCACATGGATCTTTACGCGATTTTTCCTCGACCACGACAGCCTTGGACGAGCTTCATGGCCCCGAAGCGCCCATCGCGCCCACAGAACCCACCACGAACGAACCTCCCATCCTCCTCGTCTCTGCAATGTTCCCTCTGCCGACGTCCAAGCACTCAGCAGAGGACTATGTATACTGGCTGCGGGAAATTTTAGGCCCTATCACGACCAACATCTACTTTTTCACGACTCCTGAATTTGCGCCGACCATTCGCAGTGCCCGAGGACACGGCCTTCCGATCACCGTCGACACTACCTATTCATCGCCATTCCACATACCGCCCCTAAAGGGACTGGAGGAGCAGTATAGGAAGATGTATGCTTTGGATAGAGAGAAATCCATACATTCACCCGACCTATACGCCATTTGGAACGCCAAACCGTTTCTCTTGGATCATGCTGTGAAGAAGCTTGCTGAAAAGCAGCAAACGTACACGTACGCTTTTTGGAATGACGCAGGTAGCTTTCGCACAACGCACCGATACAAGGAGTGGCCGAGCCCTCGGAGAGTGGAACAGATATGGAAGCAAGGCAGTCGGTTGGCCGGAACTCCCCAAGAGGATTTGTTCTTCTTCCCCCTTTGTGCCTTGCCCGGCGTGAGTATGAGATATTGGAAAGAGGATATGGGACCCGTGGACTACGACGTTAGCGAAGGTGCGTTCCTAACTTTCTCGTAATGGACATATTCTATTAACTGTTGATCTCATCAGGCTCCTTCTTTGGTGGTAACCCAAAGACAATCTCATGGTGGTCCCGGACATACTACGCCTACCACGGCTACTACCTCTCCCTTGGTCTCTTCGTCGGAAAGGACCAAACTCTCATCAATGCCCTCATGCTGTTGTTCCCTGAACGCTTCATTACTGTCTGGTATTCCGATCCTCTAGCGCCCGCACACTCGGGTATCATTCGCCACTTTGACCAAGGGCATTTGGGCGCTTGCGGCATGGAGTGGTTCTATTACCAGTTCTGGCTGGCTGATAGCCAGACGCGCGACGTTATGAGGGAGCTCTGGACATCTTGGACAAAGTGGGCTAATTGGGAGTGGTGGAGAGAGAGGCAGAAGTGTCGGATGACTGGCGTGTTGGCGCTGAAGGATCTCTTGGCAAGGCAGTTCGGTACAACGTGGACACCGCCAGCTAGAACCCTCGAGATTCCGACTTCATGAAGAGCAAAATTCTACATAATCCCACTGTCTTACGAGACCACGCAATGCTAAGGTCAGGCCGAAACCTACAACGCGACAGAACCTCAGTCAGCACTGCAGCAACCCCTTCCCGGCTGTAACCGGATCCGAATTTGTTGAGGATGTAGAGCAGTGGATCGCGCCCATAGCCAGCCTAATTGCATGTTACAAATACCCTGCTATTTGTATGTTACGATAATTAAGTAACATTGTTTATACAAGGTCCAACTTGAAGAAGTCAATTGATCGAGTGTGGCGCACCTGCTTCCGCGTCGAAGGAATCGCCCTGTTTGGCAGTCGTCCAATAGCCAAACAGAAGCCAGCGTCTTTGGCACAGACCAACGTAAAAAAAAATATCTCTCTCTCTCTCTCTCTCTTCCATCATCTCCTCAATGGCTGACACCAGACCTACCGAAAACCCTCCAAGTTCCGTCAGCTCGGAGCCTCACAATAACCCTCAACCTCCCAAAGCGGAAGCAAAGAAAAGTAAAATGAACGGCACACCGAAGGAAATTCCCTTGGCAGATATCATCGCGCAGCAGTTCCCGCCTTTCGACGCTCAGAATCTCGTGGTGAGCCCCTTCGAGGAACGAGCGAAGAAGGACGCAACATTTGAAGAAGGTACAGCCGCACACCGCCCTTTTCGACCTCATTTGACGCGCATATACTCACTTTTTTCCTTCCATTTTTACGTCTTCCTGCCCGCATCTCTCGCATCAGAGCTTAGTGCCATGCTCCTGGATTGTATGCTCGAATTTCACGCCTGGTCCGCCGCTCGTCCCAAGCACGAAGCGAGCCTTGCGAGTCAAAGCCTAGAAGAACAAATCTCCCAGATCATGGAGACAGAGAAGCAACAAGGCACGTCCTCACCAACACCTTCCTCCTCCTCTTCCTTGAGATCATTCCACCGTCATCGAATCGTTGGTATGCCTCTGTTCATCATCCCCTCTCGCACTTTGATCCCCTTCCCTATTCAAATCGACGGTTGGGGCAAATTACTCATGTGTATATGTACTGACAGAGAGGACTCGAGCCAAACTCGGAGAATTTGTGGAAAGAATGAAAACAGCCCTGGCTGCTCTTACGAGCGCTCTAGTCTGACCCGGCAGCGGCTTCATCCTCGCTTTCGGATTTCCCCTAACTCCTTGGGCTTTCATTAATACTTATGGATACTTTTTCTTCACTTCGTTGTAATACTGACTGCCTTGCCGTGGAATCGGATAGTCGGATCAATCGCATATTTTCACCATGACTGGAATAGAATGAATTCACGGTGGGCGTTAAATATCATCATATCACACCTTTCGACTCCGAAGTCCGGACTGACGTATAACTATAAGATGGTTCTCTGTATTTTATACACCTTGTAATATGTAAGCATGTGCTACCCCAAGCGATATCCGTATCATGACCTGAATGGCTTTTATTCATGAAAGCAAGACTCTTCCACATCCAGTCGCGCAAGTGTCTGCGACCTGGATGTTATGAAAATCTCGATTCCGGGTCCTCGGGGAACCAAGTCTCCGGCATGCCCGGCGAGACTACCGGACCATCGGAACTTTCCGGCCGCCACACCCGATAGGCCACATCGCCTCGGAGTCGATATTTTCGTTAAAAGCGGTAAGCGGCGCCTGAGCCTCAATTCGAACTGCGTGCACAGAGCGTCTCGTGCACTATACCTCGTTCCTCCTACCCACCACAACCAGGCCTCGAGCGCGCTCCTCAAGACGGTACAAACTATGCGCGTTCGCCGTCTCGAGGAACGTCCACCTTTAACAGGGCAGGCTCCTGTCCCCACTTCGTCCCGAACACCAATTCTCCGATGGCTTGGCTGGTTGTATAAGACAGGCGGTCGCCTGGGAACTGTGCTTGCTTGTCTGTTCTTGAGGTCCATCCCTCGAAGTCGCTCTTCTTCCCTCCAACCCATCCGAAAGTTCCTCTCTGCTCTTCGTAACCTTGTTTACCTGATGTGGCATAGACGCAAAAGTTGTCCCCCGGCCCAAAACCACGGCTCTAGAGATATCATAAGGCTTGATTCTTCCAATATCTTCGCCAGCTCCCTGCCTTCGTTTCATTCCTCTGGGTCTAGAAGCTGGCCTCTACTACCCGTCACCATTCAAAATTTACCTCCCAGCGAAATGAGAGACCACGAACATATTCAACTCGTATCCCGTCAGGTCAACGCAGGAAATCCCAAAACAGACCACGAGAGAAATATGAGTGGGGAGACTGCTGTCTACATTCCCACTAGTGAGTCAGATCCCTCTCCCAGTGCATGTGTGGAGGACGTCTCGAAGCGGCAACGCAAGCATTATGCCCCAATCTCAGATTACATCCCTCTCCTCGTGGGCGTTACCTCATATGAATATGAACGATATGACAGAAATGTCATCCTGTGAGTTCTGTCTGCGCAGAATTCTTGACATCGATCAGCTGGCTGAGGAATGCTGTAGCGAGAAGGTCTATTATAATAGGTTCATGCTTGACCCGCTGGAGATGGATTTTTCACCGTGAGTGTTCCAAGGTCGCAAGACTTCTTAGATGCCTCAAATTGCCCTTTAGCCCTGCTACTCCGGAGAACTGGACATCTTACACGCACCCGGAAGGCGCCGCATATTTTCAAAGCACAACGTTGGTGCGTCGATTTAGAATTAAACTCTCCTTAGACCTCATGGATCGCGGCAGGCTACTTATCCCATCCTAACCGATGTTTACGTCTACGAAGACGAGCCTCGTGCCAGATTGGAGGATTATATCCAAAAGATCCTCAGGTATGTTGGAGAACATCAAGTGCAACTGCCTAAAGACGACATCTGTCTCGTGCTCGAATTCCGACAGAGCGGGAATTGCGGTTACTACTTCGTTAACCACACCCGAAAGTGTCTCTTCTGGCTCGATGAATTTGATGCTATTGACTTTCTCTGGGCAGTGAGAGTGAGCTATGAGCCATCTCTTGTCGGTGAGCTTGTCGCCGTCATTCATCAGCGACCTTGTGGATAACTGTAACACGTTGCAGCCCATGAAATGAAGTCCCTGTACTGGTTAGTCGAAGTGCGTGCAATCTCATTGCTGATGCTCAACGACGGCGATATTTCAAGGTTGCACAATGAATACTTCCCTGATCCACTTGTTCATCCCATGGACGATGACGTGCTCACAGAACTCGAAGATATTCTGCACCACGCAATTGGGGGTGAATTTCTTGTTATCCTCACTATCCACCGCTTGATACTATTCCATATCCAGATGCTTTAACGTCGTCGTCGCACACGATGCCATATCCTATCGATGTACTTCAAAAGATGTTGAACCTAACGAAGGATGTCAAGCGTGAGTCAATGCCGATCATTTTCAAGCACGATAACCTCAATTCGAGCAGGACTGGACCCACAGGAACGGGGGTCTGGGTCGACCTCCATGATGTGTATGTCACGTCAATCTAGGTAGCCACGCAAGCCTGCTAATTGTCTTAGACCGATTTTTGTACAACTTTCGTGAGTCCGCATGTTGAATTATTGATTGCAACATAGCCTCTAATGTCTATTCGTAAAGACCACGAATACTTTCTCCATCTTCGTGGGCAGAAGGCTTCGCGTCTGAATAGAGAGCAACCGATCCATCCTGTACAGAAACAAACACTCCTTATGACCATTTTCTCGCCTCTATTACTCTATGGTCCCGAGATTCATCTGAAAACACTTCGGAAAACTGCCGTCGACTCCACGGTCCGGTCAGCTGACTGGAACGAGCTGCTCGGGCGCTTGACTGACGACTGGAAGGAGTTCAGTCTATATGTAAGTCTCCAACGCTATGACCCCGAAAGGTACTTAATCGGTTAACATCTAGGCCACTGTGTTGCTAAACGCGAATGTCGCTTTTTTAGCGATTCAGAGCGTCGACGAGGCAGCTCCACCGGACGGGCGTTCACTGCCACAGAGAGCTAGTTACTTTTCAATCGTGACCAGCATCGGTTCAATTATGCTAGGCCTCCTACTCGTACGCTTGCACAATACGACGTCGAAGGTAGATCTAAGTCCTTAACTCTTGCAGGAAAAAGAAACTCATGAATGACACTTTCTGTTAGCCTGGCACGTTCCTCGCGCAACGAACCGTCTCCTCCTGGGGCCTCGAGACTCTTGCTTTGATGTACAGTCTGCCATATGCGCTACTCATGTGGGGGTAAGACATTCTACGAACTTACGACATAGTTGGTACATCCAGCTAACTTGTCTTTCGTTCTCTAGGACTGGCTCTTTCCTGGGAGCATTCCTAATCATGGCGTTCGATTCTCATGACAAGCCCACCATTGTTATCTTGTCCGTTTGCTTGGTCACACTCGTCTTCCTCCTCTTGTGGTGCATATCATCCTCTTTTGAAAATGAGGAGTTCTGGTATCCTTGGCCGTTCAGGAAAGTGATGCACCGCTTCGACCACAGATTTAGCAAACAGCGCGAAGGCCGACTGCGGCCCAGGAAATCTCGGGAGAGTGTCAGCACTTGATGTGCTATACCGCGTGTTGGTGTTTTCCTTTGGTATACCTAGGTACTTGCTTAACTCTTCATCTGTCTTTACAGGACTCTTCAAGTACTTAGGAGGAAATGGGTGCTGTCATTTGTATTGAATGATGTGATAATCGGACATTATGTATACTGCTCTGGCCTCCGACTCGCACAAACTTTATGGGACTCCCTCAAGGGTTTCTTTATAGGCGCTCAATGAGTGTTTACACTTCATCTGTGCTACACCGCCATTTCCGCGAAACGCGTTAGCAGCGTGAAATTCTCACGGAGTTGAGGTATTTTTGGAATGTTGCGTCGACGTGGGCGGAATATTGTGGACAGTTTGACTCTGGGATTTGGACACCGTGACTACATTTAATGTGGGTAGCACTTGTAATCTGATAAGCCGTTCATGAATTTTGGTAGCTTAGACGGTTGCCTGTAACAATGTGCTGTCCATCTTCCTCGGCTTGTTTCTACCACCATCTAATTTGGTCTCATACCATGAAATTGTTTACTCTACCGGCATGTTTTTTGATGTGTTTTTGCGATACTTTTCGATAGATCAACTCCTTGCCTGTATGAACGCGTCGTTCGCATTTGTAGTTGGCGCCGTGTGATCCAAAGTAAAAGCGAACATTCACTCCAATTTCCCCCCCTCAATTACCCGTCGTAAATGAAATCGTTTACATTATTAGAATCATGTCTCAGGTCCGCTCAACTGTGCTTTTGCGATATGTTTCAACAGCTCAGCTACTGGCCCGTATGAATGTGTTGTCCAGATTGGTACTGGGCCCCATCCGACATACAGTAAAGGCGAACGTTCGCTTCAATTTCCCGCCCTCAATTACCCGTCGTAAATGAAATCATCTACATTATTATAATTGTGTCTCAGGTCTGCTCAACTGTGCTTTTGTGATATGTTTCAACAGCTCAGCTACTGGCCCGTATGAATGTGTTGTCCAGATTGGTACCGGGGCATGTGCGATGCACTGTAAAGGCGAACATTCGCTACAATTTCCAGCCCATTGTTTGCAGTTACAAATTGCACTTCAGCCATGCCGACTCACAAGGCGGTAGCTAATCATTCAACCCAGCAAGGACTGACTCTCCTGAATCACCGTCAGTTATTATTGCAGAGGGGTTCAACAATTTGTTAAACACAAAAATCCTACAACATTTCAAGCCCTCGGCACCTGTCTTAAGCAAGGTCAGTTAGGTTATTAGAGCAGTGTTTCTCAGGTTGGGACCGGCATGAAAAATGGCCCATACAAAATGTGCATTTATCAAAAGAAGTCGCATCGATGCCCTGTTATTATCACACTATATCTATCCCCGCAACGACATCATCAACGCGCTGCTGCCACTCATCGGGAACAGTATCCCCAATCACATATTCTTCCGCCGCACCGTATGTAGCTCGATCAATCTTCAGGATTTCATTGAATGCCCTGCATAGAATGTCAGCTAATTATCAATGAAGAAGAATGAAGGGATGGTAGCCCACCTCGCTGTTTTAGAGGCCGAGGATCCTGCTCTTGTTCGGATAAATTCAAGGCGTGCATCGGTCAGATTCCAAAATTTTTCGCCACCATTGCATTCGGCGTGAACCGCACGCTAAAATTGCTCCAGTTCAGAAGGCAATATTATGGACAAAGGACAAGAAGACACTTACCATGAGCGCAACACGGGAGCACAGCTGGATCGTCGTGCGACAAGGCGTGGAGTGAACAATCATCTGCGCAAGCGAAAATATATTGGTATTTGCCTTTATACTGTCTTTAATCTGTATAAC